TTTTCAAAGTCAACTATACAAGAAATGTGAGTATGTACAACAGGGAAAGGACGAAGAGTCGACCAATCCATCATCAGCTGATCAAAGCAAATATTGACAGGCAAAATTATATATGACTATTTGGTATTCACCCACCCACCCCTCATACACACTGACCATGAGTAACAAATCAAAATGATAAACAACAGATTTTCTACGATTTCTTTATGCATACATTGCATTCAGCTCATCTGATGAGTTACTTTAGTGTGACATTACCAACATAAACAGATGTCTTATATCCAAAGACTTTAATAATTCCCAATCAAGATCCCATCCTTAAATCAAAAGCTGAGCCCAGAAGTCAGTGCGAGTGTTATCTGACCCACAAAATCATATCAGTCATAGCAGGATCATCACAGATCTATATCTTCATGTCAGTTAGTTAATCGACTAGTTAATTTCCCCAACTGTCTTGGTAACGAGGGGACTAGTTCAAGTTCCTAACTGTCCTTGCACTAGTCGACTAGTTAATTTCCCCAACTGTTTTGGTAACGAGGGTACTAGTTAAAGTTCCTTACTGTCCTGGCACTAGTCGACTAGTTAATTTCCCCAACTGTCTTGGTAACGAGGGGACTAGTCCAAGTTCCTAATTATCCTGGCACTAGTCGACTAGTTAATTTCCCCAAATGTCTTGGTAACAAGGCGACTAGTTAAAGCTCCTTGTTGTCCTGGCCCAATAATTACAAGCTCTTATGATACAGCTTCTGTTCCAAGAGACTGCCAATACAATCCTCAATACAACTTCATGGATAATACAATACACAAAGGGATCATGTACATGTTTTCTGCAACAATACAACTGTCACATAATATATAATACAACATACTGGTAACTTTAAGAACTACGACACCAAATATGACAAGTCATAAACAATTGTATAAAAAATAGAAATGCATGTACTTTCCATTCAATGACCCAGAGACTTTTCACAACTACCCACATGTCCCAGAGACTTTTCACAATTACCCACATGTCCGAGAGACTTTTCACAATTACCCACATGACCCAGAGACTTTTCACAATTACCCACATGACCCAGAGACTTTTCACAATTACCCACATGTCCCAGAGACTTTTCACAATTACCCACATGACCCAGAGACTTTTCACAATTACCCACATGTCCCAGAGACTTTTCACAATTACCCACATGTCCCAGAGACTTTTCACAATTACCCACATGTCCCAGAGACTTTTCACAATTACCCACATGACCCAGAGACTTTTCACAATTACCCACATGCTATTAAGTATGCCTATGTCATGTTGCTATCATGATCCATGTAACCTCTGATATTTACTTTTCTGCTGCTACTTATATTTCCAGTTTAACTTATTCAGTCAAGGTTTAAAATACCCCCCCTTCCCCGACAGTCTGAGATGGTCTATTTTGCTGACGGATGGTCAGTTTTGAAAAGTTGCACCCCTGATGGTCGAAAGATAAAGTTACCAAGTTGACAATCAACCAGTTTATTGCTATTTTCTGAGAACTGACATTAAACAGTATTGTTCTTATGTTTACCCTGTATTTACTTTGGTTTGTTATTCGAGAAAATTCTGGACTGGCAACATTTTATCTGATCTGGTAAATTTGCAGTTGCCTGTCCGGTTGTCTTAATGAAAATTTTGGGAATTTATACACTGATTCAGTCTATTTGTCTATTTTGTGTGATCACTTCAAAATGATTGACTCAATCTTGGAAAACAGAAATCTGGCAAATAGGATATACCAAAATTACAGCTAAAACATTTGGTCCTAAATTTTGTACGATTTTCTAACTTCCTACTTGATATGTTTTAAATGTTGTTGCAAAAATAATTTTGCTCTGGTTTAGCCATAAGTCCTCATCATTGTCAAAATGCCCACCTCTGTACAATGAGTAAAAGATTTAAAGTACAGTAAATGCAAGATGTAACCCTGTATAAGTCATCGAAACATAACCGCAACAAAACACTTCATTTAGTCATGTATCCCCCATGTACATGTAACACACACAACAAACATCGTGTTAAAGCTGGTCATAGGACACTGGTCAGACACTGCAAGGACGGGAAATGGGCAGCCTGATTATCTCCCTTGCCCAGCTTCCTCTGTGTTATTGCGTGAGTCCAGGGTCAGACCAGGGCCCCTTCCACAAAGTCATCTTAGCACTTCAATGATAGTAAATGCATGTTAAAGTAAGTGTGTTATGATCACCTTAGCGCTATAATGATCGTTAGTCTTTGTTAAAGTATGGGAATCATAATCACCTTAGCGCTACGATGATGGAAAGTCTATGTTAAAGTATGGAAATCATAATCACCTTAGCGCTACAATGATGGAAAGTCTATGTTAAAGTATGGGAATCATAATCACCTTAGCGCTACGATGATGGAAAGTCTATGTTAAAGTATAGGAATCATAATCACCTTAGCGCTACGATGATGGAAAGTCTATGTTAAAGTATGGAAATCATAATCACCTTAGCGCTACGATGATGGAAAGTCTATGTTAAAGTATAGGAATCATAATCACCTTAGCGCTACGATGATGGAAAGTCTATGTTAAAGTATGGCAATCATAATCACCTTAGCACTACAATGATGGAAAGTCTATGTTAAAGTATGGGAATCATAATCACCTTAGCGCTACGATGATGGAAAGTCTATGTTAAAGTATGGGAATCATAATCACCTTAGCGCTACAATGATGGAAAGTCTATGTTAAAGTATGGGAGTTATAATCACCTTAGCGCTACGATGATGGAAAGTCTATGTTAAAGTATGGGAGTTATGATCATCTTAAAACTACGATCATCGTAGGTCTGTGTTATAGTATGGGAGTTATGATCACCTTAGCGCTACGTTGATCTTCAGTCTATGTTAAAGTATGGGAGTTACGATCACTTTAGCGCTACGATGATTTTAAGTCTATGTTAAAGTATGGGACTTAGATCACTTTAGCACTACGATTACGGTAAGTGTAGGTTTAAGTATGGGAGTTGATCAGCTCAGCACTACGATCATCGTAGGTCTATGTTAAAGTATAGGAGTTGTGATCACCTTAGCACTACAATGATCTTAAGTCTATGTTTAAGTATGGGAGTTACTATCACATTATCGCTACGATCGCTTTGTGGAAGGGGGGCCAGACCTACACAAATCATCATAAACATGCCATTGAGTTGTGGTTCTACACCTAAAAAAATACAGATCCATGCTTGCTTCAGGCACTGGTTGAAACAATGATCTAAATGATCTAAATTGGATGCAGCAATTTTATGAAGCAATATTACCTTGTAATCATCATGATCAGCCCTCGTCTGTGGAATAATCTTCCTGATCATATCACGCTTTCTTAAACTTTAGATTCTTTCAAATCACAGCTCAAAACACATCTTTTCCATGAAGCATGTGACTTGCATGAGGCAGGAATGTAGGTGGAGAAGCTGTTTGGTGCACTGTGCCACATACTACTTTACGTTTCTATTTTGTTATTGTTTAACTGTAGCACTTTGAGCATGCACCATGTGGATGGAAGCTAGCACAACCATGGTTAGAAACTAACTAACTAGTCCACTAGTCCTTATAATGATAACATATCACAAAACCCTTAAAAAGGGCAAATTTCTACTAGTTATGATACCATAACTATTGGGCAGTTTGGCAAGAACTATAGGACTAGTGCCAATTTGTATTGCTGGCACCACAAGTTCACTCGCTCATTGATTCTCTGATCTCATGTTTTAGATGGTGATGCTGAAAAGCTTCAGATGACTTAACAAAGCATGTGGGATGCCAAAGTTGCAGAAAAAAATAAACATTGGCTTACTGAATGTGAATCTCACCCATGCATAATGCTTTATAATGACCTCACAGTCACAATGACCTCACAGTCATAATGACCTCAAATTACACCATTGTAGGTTGCCCACTTTTACTTTGATGATAAGCAGAGCAACTAATGACACAGTAAACCACTCGCACACCTTGGACTCTGATAGATACTACTCAACATTTGATAGGGATATTCTGTGTGTCCAGGCGGGGAGACACCTGGGTGTTTGTTTGGGGATGTAATGTACGAGGATGAGATCTGGGCAAGATGCTTAGCCTGATTTCATGAGAGTTGAGTAGTATTGTTCAGACTCACGCATTTGAGTGAACTTAGGATACAGATTGTTGTCGTTTTGGGTGAGAAATAAAGCTTGTACATAACAAAAATTAACTTCTTACCATTCACAGAGCTCCAGATAAGCTGTGTATCTGTGTAAAATACGCATCAGAATTGCAGAAATATGCAGTAAAATAAAATCAAAGCGTATCAAATATGCAACGAACATTACAGATACTCTACAAAAATAAAACTTGTGCGTATCATCAAAATATTGTGAAGTAACTCTGCGTATTCGATTAGCAAATCAGCAACTTATTTTGAAATTATAAACGGGCATTCCGTCAACCTTGCCAAACTCCACGAAGACAGTTACATCATGATCATTTGCCATCACACTTTCTTGTGGAAGTATCATGGTATTTTTGAATCCTATAAAGCTCTCGAACCCACACGACACCAGTTTGCAGGGACTAGATGAATAGTGTTTTTAATATTTAACTTAAATACCCACATGTGTAAAAACTAGTGGGTAACAGAAATTTGAATACCCAGATAGAATTACTGATACCCATTATTTTAAAATGCATGGGTAAAATACCCACAACACCAAAAGCTTATCTGGAGCTCTGCATTCAGTGTCTCAACACTTACACCCGCTGTGTATTGCCTATTGCGATATTGCGGAAATCTTCTAAAACTTAGAATGCATCCTCCCATGTATACTTTTGTTTCCCGTGAAGATCTGGGTTAGAATAGGTCTTCTGCTTGCTGTAAAAGGCAAGTATGCTTGTTGTAAGAGGCGACCAACGGGATCGGGCAGTCCGGCTCACCTACTTGGTTGATGCATGTCATCGTATCCCAACTCCATGTATCGAAGCTCATAATATCAATCACTGGATAGTCTGGTCCATACTCGATCATTTACAGACTGCTGTCATAGTTGGAATATTACTGAGAGTGATGTTAAACAAACAAACACATTTGAAAAGAAGCTTAACAGGTGTCAGTTCCAGGGCCAAGCTACATCCTATTCATATGCCGACATCTCCTAACATTCAACAGGATGTATCCCCCATCTTACACTCAGAATATCCCTCAAATGTCTAGTAGTATACATGATGTAGATCAACTTGTAACTTTATAAACATACAAAACATTTTGAATTTCAAACGTATCTTAAAAAACATATACAATATGCTGAAGCGATGTTATTAACTCATTTGATATGATTAACATTTCATGGGGTCAGTTGGAAATGACACAACAAAACTGGTAATAATTCTAACAAAGTGCAATGTCATTGTTTGTAAGTAGTCATAATATGAATGATATCATGCAATATTAACATGGATATCATGCAATATTAAAATGGATGATATTATGTGATGTTAACATGGATGATATCCTGGAGGTTAACATGGATGATATCATGTGATGTTAAAATAGATGATATCATGTGATGTTAACATGGATATCATAGATGTTAACATGGATGATATCATGTGATGTTAACATAGATGATATCATGTGATGTTAACATAGATGATATCATGTGATGTTAACATGGATATCATGTGATGTTAACATGGATGCTATCATGTGATGTTAACATAGATGATATCATGTGATGTTAACATGGACATCATGTGATGTTAACATGGATGATATCCTGGATGTTAGCATGGATGATATCCTGGATGATATCCTGTGATGCTAACATGGATGAAATCATGTGATGCTAACATGGATGATATCCTGGATGTTAGCATAGATGATATCATTGATGCTAACATGGATATCATGTGATGTTAACATGGATGATATCATGTGATGTTAACATGGATGATATCATGTGATGTTAACATGGATGATATCCTGGATGTTAACATGGATGCTATCCTGCATTTTAACATGGATGATATCCTTGATGTTAACATGGATGATATCCTGGATGTTAACATGGATGATATCCTGGATGTTAACATGGATGATATCCTGGATTTTAAAATGAATGATATCCTGGGTGTTTACATGGATGATACTCAAGATGTTAACATGGATGATATCGTGTGATGCTAACATGGATGATATCCTGGATGTTAACATGGATGATATCCTGGATGTTAACATGGATATCATATGATGCTTACATGGATGATATCATGTGATGTTAACATGGATGATATCATGTGATATTAACATGGATGATATCAAGGAGTTTAACATGGATGATATCATGTGATGTTAACATGGATATCATGTGATGTTAAGATGTCGTCTTATGTGATAATATTAAGAGTTTTCCCTCTATATATAAATAAGATCTAATCCTATATTTGTTTGAATAAGAACTCAGTGAAGGCTGCCATCGGCAGTATAGATTTCAAGACATTGAATACAATATCTTAATGTTCCCATGTTTGTCTGGTCAAAATGGTGAAATACTTTATCCAATGTATTGTAAACTATGTTGGGTCGCTTCCATGTGTATTCGTTATTTTCTAGTATCCTTGGCTGACCTTCCCGAGTGGTCTGACACGTGTGGAGCAGTCAACTGTCCTGGAGGATCAGCCGATTGTCCTGGGAGGAGCTGATTGTCCAGGGGGATCAGCCAATTATCCTGGGATCAGCCAATTGTCCAGGGATCAGCCGATTGTCCTGGGATGAGATGATTGTCCTGGGATGAGCTGATTGTCCGGGGGATCAGTCAATTGTCCTGGGATGAGCCGATTGTCCAGGGATCAGCCAATTGTCCTGGGATCAGCCGATTGTCCGGGGATCAGCCAATTGCCTGGGATCAGCCAATTGACCTGGGATCAACGATGTCCAGGGATCAGTCATTTTTCCTGGGATCAGCCAATTGTCCTGGAGATCAGCAAGTTGTGCTCAGGGATCAGCTAAATGTCCTGGTGATCAGCTGGTTGCCCTGGGGTCAGCCACATTTTCCTGGGATCAGCCACTCTTGGGGATCGACTGACTGTTCTGGGGAGGAGTAATATCAAGGAGCAGGATACCAATCAAATAACTCTTCATACAACTTATGTGTCAAGGATGAGGATGAGCAGAGGGCGATGAAACAAATGTGACACAATTGCAAGAACATGTAGAAGTAACATGGTATTCTGGGCAGCAATACTCTGAATCAGCACTTTCTTCCCTTGCTGTCCAAACTTGAAAGTTTCCTGGGTTTTGTTTTCATATTTTGAATATTGCCTCTTTTACTTATAACAAAATAACACAGTAACTTTTCAGTGCAATTTCTATCAAGTGACCTCACTACTATTGAAAAGTTTCATTGCTAAGTTGATTTGACTGTAGATCTAGCACAAAGTGTCCCAGAGATCCGAACTCTGTGAAGCGAAGGTATTCCTTGATTGTGGAGGGCAGTGGAATGGACTCAAGGGTTTTCTTGTTGAATTTCCCGCACGAGGCCAATTCTAGAACTATTTTCCGACGACAAATGTGAGCAAGGCTTTTTGTGGAAGCTGGAACAGAAACAGGCATCTTTGTATTTGTCCATAAAAAACATCATTGAGATACAGAGACCCTTCATGAAATCAAAATATCAATCATCATATATTCTCTAAAATTCAATCTCATTCAAATCAGATCTTAGTGCTCAATACCGCTACACAAAGATCTGAGGACATCCCATTACAGGTCACATGAGAACAACCTATGACTGACCAATGAAATGACGAACACTGTCACAGGAAGTTGACATTAGCCAATCAGAAAGCAGCTTTCTCAATGCTTACAGCACTAGACTTCCATTCCAGACCAAATTTTGAAATGCCTAGTAGATGGCCGAGATTGTATAGCAGTATGCTATGGAAAAAGTCTCTTCCATTTCAAATAATTATCGAAATGAAGGAAGATAGATGATGACTGACGAAATCAGTCATTCAGCTCTTAACTGCCGTTTGGAATAGCCCACGTTATTAGAAAACACATTTGGACCTGGATTTTGGTGTAGTTGTAGTGAGCACTAAGATCTGATTTTAATGAGATGAGATGAGATGAGATGAGATGAGATGAGATGAGATGAGATGAGATGAGATGAGATGAGATGAGATGAGATGAGATGAGATGAGATGAGATGAGATGAGATGAGATATGAGATGAGATGAGATGAGATGAGATGAGATGAGAAAGTGAGTGAGTGAGTGAGTGAGTGAGTGAGTGAGTGAGTGAGTGAGTGAGTGAGTGAGTAATGCTGTGTGTCACAGAATGTCCACCTAACCATGTTAAAGCCCAGATTAATGCAGATTGTAGACATTTATGAGAAGCCAGGAATGGATCTATACCATGCATACAGATTGGAAATGAGACATTGACAAGGAAACATCTGTCACCAGAGACGCCAACCCTAACTGAAGCTTTGGCGTAATCAGTGAGGTCGACAAGAATAACTTCATATGAAAAAGAGTAACGTTCACTTTTTTAGAATGGCCATCACCTTTGAAAATCTCTGATGTGTGTGATCGCTTCGACATTTTCTTTAGGCCTAGACGAGATGTGGTCAAAACTCCAAACATTCATAAAATTCATCATGTCCCACTGATTAGCTGTTTTTCAGACAGGCAATGTGTTTCAAGTTCTGAAGTAATATCGGTGTACATGCAAATAGTTCTGTCTGCACCCACAAAGATCGATCAAATCATGCAAAAATCAAGCGATAAAATCGCTTGAGTGTGTCTTAACATAACAACCAATAAGAGACCACCTATCACTGTGTAATGGATATTTTAACACTATGAGAACTGAAAGCATGGCTCTCATTGGTCAGCATGGTCCTGCTGTAGAATACATTATGTCACTGTTTCTTGAACAATTTGCTGTCTGTGTTTTTTTATGCATGTAACTAGTTCATGAAAAATATCATAATTTCAGGGTACATAATCAAAGTAGCATCATTTTTAGGCTCAAAACTCTTATGCCATGGCTGGCATCTCTGTGTCACTTAACAACCTACCAAGATTACTCTAGAAACTTTCAGAATTTGAGTGAGTGATTTTGGTTTTACACCGCTTTTAGCAATATTCCAGCAATATCACAGAGGGGGACACAAGAAATGGGCTTCACACATTGTGCCCATGTCGGGAATCGAACCCGGGTCTTCGGAGCGAACGCTTTAACCACTAGGCTACCCAACCGCCCCTTCAGAATTTGAATATGAATAAAGACATTATTTGCTCTATACAACTCTTTATAAATAGTAATGTAACTGTTCAGAGTAGTAGAGCTGGGACAGTTAACTCGGGTAGTCGGGTTGGATGGGTGATAAGACCTGTGAGAAGTCACGTGATACAGTTAAAGTCCATTGTTTCACAACAAGTCACGTTTTCTTCTGACTATTAACTTGTAACCTACAGCCGGTACTCTGGTCGAGTTGGGTAATAGGGGGTCGGGTACCCAGGTAGTAAATTTGGACTTGTCCCAGCCCTACAGAGAGTAGCACAATGTATCAGTAGTGTCTATGTAAGAGTGAAAATTATCCTACCCTATATTTTATCCCGGGGATGAAATTCTCTAGTGTCAGAATGACTCTCCCTAGTGAATTTGAACCCATACCAGTGTGGCACTAAGGTAGGATACTGTACTCTAGAGTATCCCGGGGATGAAATTCTCTAGTGTCAGGATGACTCTCCCTAGTGAATTTGAACCCATACCAGTGTGGCACTAAGGTAGGATACTGTACTCTAGAGTATCCCGGGGATGAAATTCTCTAGTGTCAGGATGACTCTCCCTAGTGAATTTGAACCCATATCAGCATGATCAGTGTGGCACTAAGGTAGGATACTATACTCTAGTGTAAAACTTCCCCCGGGATAATATTTATGTAGGATATAATCCTTGCTTACATCTACACTCCCCCGCTAACATCACAAGCTATCTACCTGATATCCTCTGCAACGTTTTGGCATCTTCAGGATCAAACAAATCACACACATCACTGGAAATGTCCACAAAATGGCAGAAGAAGAGCAGGAAGCCGACAATAGGCAGGGAACTCTTCCTGTCCTGTGTCTTGAGTAGATGGAGAAGGCTGATGCGGTCCCCCGTCTCCATGTCACTGTCTACAGAGGGGGAGGCGAACAGAGACACAGCTTCACCCCCTGCAACAAGTAGCGGCCACAGGTACTGCAGGTGGGTGGGGCACTCATATGAACACTTGTCCGTCTCCGCCTTGTGGATATCATTCCGCAAGGCCAACAGCATTGCAATATTGCCTACAATATTATCATGGTAAATGTTGGGGTTGGCGCCGTGTTCCAGCAGAAGCCTATAGAACTGGAAGTTCTTGTTCCACAACATGACTAGTAATGGAGGCAGGTCTTTTTTAGTTTGTGAATTAGGACTCAGTCCTGCTTTTAACAACAAGCTGACCCCGTCTAGTGGCCAGTCATCCTTCACGTGACACAGAACGGATCCATGTGTGGCGGATGCTATGTCTGTTGCCAAGGGCGACAGCTCGGTAAGTTGGTCTGCATCCAGGGAGAGGGATAGAGACGGATCAAACCCTGAGGTGAGGAGTGTCTCCAGGATGAGGGTATTACTCAACTTGAGAGCAAGGAGGAGAGGGTGCATGTCGGAGTACGTCTCTCGGAACACATGCAGCTGCGTCACCGGCAGCAACCGCTTCACACAGCTGAAACATGGCGTATGATCATGAAGAGAAAACTTTCATCAAAGGATGTCTAGGGTCTGGAAAATTATAATAGAGGGAGGGGGGTGGGGGTGCAGTGAGATTGGTCATATTCTGCAGATCCCCCTCCCCTTATCTAATACTTTTCACCCCCCTCCCTCCAATGATAGTAAAAAAGCATGTAACAATTTTTCATGGCTCCCCTTCCCCATATTAAATGTCAAGTCCCTAAATAGTGTACAAATTTCACCATCTTTTGCGGTGTCATAATGTCATGACCCCCCCTATTCTTGCTGCCCTCCCCCCTTCTCTATAATAAATGACCAGTCCCTTAGGTGGGCTTCAAGTGATTTTTACTACTGCTTTCAAAAGTGATCAAATCCTCTCAAAAAGAAATTTTATGTTGGTTATCGAGATTCATTTCAAACACCACACATCTAGATTCAACAATATCCCATCAAACAAGATCTAATGGTTACAAGTTCGATATTTCTTTAAATCCTACTGACGTGCATCATGTGTTATGTTACCCAATGTGTCCTACTGACGTGCATCATGTGTTATGTTACCCAATGTGTCCTACTGACGTGCATCATGTGTTATGTTACCCAATGTGTCCTACTGACGTGCATCATGTGTTATGTTACCCAATGTGTCCTACTGACGTGCATCATGTGTTATGTTACCCAATGTGTCCTTTATACACGGCATACTGCAGGGGTACAGCGTTGATGTCTCGGACGGACATGTTGGCATTGGCCCCCGCCTCCAGCAGCAGCTGCACACACTCCTCATGCCCCTCCTGCGCCGCGATCAGCAGCGGGGAGGCGTTGTCCTCCGCACCTTCATTCACCAAGTCCAGCAGGCCTACAACACAATCCTCACTACGTCAACATTCACCTTACAATCAGCAGGGCTCACTCCAGGAATTCTCAGACATGGGCCCTTCATCTGAAAATTTCAAATATTCCAGAGGTACACCCACACTTGCCCATACAGCACAATGTTAAAATGCCCCATTGTCTTTGAAAATGTGGGTCTTTTTTCAAATGTAGGGACAAAAAGCTCAAGGCCCCTTCCCCTAGAATTATCTCTGAATCAGCATGATCTGGACTTGAAGAAAATACAATGACCTTCCATCACTGAGCAATTAGGTCCCCTGACACTATAAACCTATGACACAGTTATAGTTGACTTGGCTGAATAGTATTCTAATCAATACATACATTTATGTAGTGGGATTTCAGAATGCTTTATCAGTCCAAAATATCACATCCTTGCTGCATAGAAAAAAAATGGCCAAGAAATGGCATTTCCAATATGTTTGATGTTAGATTGGAATTCTGTGAGACTGTCTTAGAGACTACATAGCTGGGATAGTTCATACAAAGTTTCAGATCCATAGGACTTGCAGTTTCAGATGAGATGTCGAAAATGTACAGGTGAATGACAGCCAGACAGACGGACAACACACGACAATATAACAGGGCTCGGTTTAAGGAAGTTGATTTAACTTGCATCGTGTGCATGTTGACATGTAAAGCTAGTTGAACAAGACAAAACCAGGTTGCACCCTGGTCCCACACACATATCCAAGTTGAAACAGGCCGGTCTGCTGCCTGTGTCACGTTATTCAATGATGTATTGCTGTGAAACGTAATAGGAACATTTGCATATAATCTTGAAGTACCTGGGGGCACGGGTGGCCCAGTTGTCTAAGGCGCCACGATTCACTGTGCAGAGTTGCGTCCCTTGGGCATGCCAGAAACCTATGATTGTGGGTTCGAATCCCGGTTCGCCCCTATTATGTTTCTAGGTTTGTCAGCACCATACCTGTGCTCGTGGGTTTCACCGAAGTGGTAAACGTCTGAGACCTGCATCACTTCGGGCTTTCCTCCCACATTAAGCTGACATACCGCGATATAACTGGAATACTGTTAAAAGCGTCGTTAAACCCAACTCACTCACTCACTCACTCACTCACTTGAAGTACCCATAACCACTCATGGTTTATTCTGCCTGCAGTGTTTTATTGTACTCGTCTTTTAATTCTTAATTAGATAAATTGACTCGGGCTAGTTGAGAGTTTTATCCCTGATGTGTACTTCAGGCTGTGGTAATATCCATACCTTTGCTCTTGGCTGCCTTGAGGAGGCATCGGAGACTACCAGTGCGACCAAACTGAGCTGCCAGGAATATGGGTGTGAGATGGTGGTCAGCAAGGACGTCCAGCTTGGCCCCGTGATTGAGGAGATAGTCGACGAGGTTGTCCAGCCCCTTCTCTACAGCCAGGTGGATCGGGGTGTAGTTGGTGTACATCTTGGTGTTAGTGTCAGCTCCTCTACGTATCAACAATCTACAGCACTCATAACATTCCATTTTGGTTGCTGGAAAATCAAAAAGAGACTTTTTTCTATCCTGCAGAGATGTTCTAAGGACAAAAAAGATATCATCATTATTATATCTAAAAAGCATGAAATACTCATATCCCCCACCAGTATGACATGTCCGGTTGTGTCCAAGGCAAGATATATCACCAGTATACGGTTTTCAAGATCTGCACCATTTTCAGTCTAAGTCAAAGTTGTTGCCAAGGAAACTCAAAAAAAATTATTTTTTTTTTAAAATCCCATCAAAAGGCACCAGTTTACCACTAGACCTATTCATGTGCCAAGTTTGGTAAAGAAATATAGTACGGTTTTCAAGATCTGTTTCGGAAAGAAACACTGCCACCATTTACAGTCTAAGTCAAAGTCGTTGCCATGTAAACTCCAGAAATAAATTTTTCAAAAATCCCAAACTATCAAAAGGCACCAGTTCACAACTAGACCTATCAATGTGCCAAGTTTGGTTAAGATATCTCTCATGTTTTTTTTAGAAAGACGGATGGACGGACGGATAAATAGATGGAAGGGCGGACGGACAGAACCCATTCCTATATCCCCGTTCCATCATGGCAGCGGATAATAAGGCTTCACTTAACTTAAGTGACTGACTGATTGTTTTTATTCCACACTTTGCAATATTCCAGCTGTATCATCACATACGCAAGACATATGTAATAACATACAAAATAACCAAGACTGGGCCAGTCATCCTGTAGTTGATATCAAATGATAGCATAACACATGGGGCTACCATGACATACAATCAGTCACACCTGATTCTAAGTCAGCAATTAAAAACAAGCACTAGGCATTGGGGCATATTCAGCCCTGAAATCTGTGAGCACACAGCACAAAACAATGTCCCACTTTCTGTTGCTGGGTCTAAAGGAGTCATTCATTATCCGAATATTACTTATTTAAAACTGACATGGAAATTCTATAAAAGCAGGAAGGAACAGTCCATATGGTTAATAACCTTCCCACAGTGGAGTGAAGCCTTCATTAGTAGCGATGTTGGGGTCAGCCTGGAAAGACAGCAGCACTCGGACACAGTCCAGATGGCAGTGGCGTGCTGCTAGCAACAGAGCAGTCTCCTCAGCAAATGACACCCAGTCTGGATCAGTCTCATCTAAAGTGAACAAATAATTCCATAAAAAGAAGAACATAATTCCGTAAAAAGAAGAACATAATTCCGTAAAAAGAAGAAACAAGAGTTGCAAGACTAGCTCATCTGATTTTTTTATGTTAGCAAAAGGTTAAATTTTAAACAATTTGAACTTAAGATTTAACATGCTGACATCCACCTTTTCATGAAACTATTGTAGGAGCCATCTGGCTTTGAAGAAGTAGTCAAACTTTTGTGGAATCAAACTTTGATTAACTGTGTATCAACACACTCAACCAGATATCTATGCATATGGTCAAAAGATTGTAAAATTTGATGTTTTCATCAAGGCTCTAAATATAGCCTCGTCTTAAATCAGATAGCAATTCACATGCTTAAATGATGCTAAAATTCTAATCAGATCATCTGACCCATTCCAAGTCTACAAGATACTGACAACAGTCAACTTGGCACACCAGAATCTTTAGTTCACACGAGCCAAAATGGCAGTTAAAGATAACAAAATTAGCAATATTAAGAAATGCATGATAAATTCAAAGCTGTGAATGCTACAACCTTGTCTCAGTAGAAACTCAAGGCAGCCTGGGTGGCCATGGGAAGCAGCCTCGTGGATTGGACGCCACCCACGGTTGTCACGCACATCAACAGGCCCACCTACACACAAACGTTGAAATAATTTACCATGTTTACCTACAAACAGTTTTCTTCAAATCGAAATTCAAAATTTATTCTTGATACCCTCCTATGCCAACAACAACCAATTAACACCAGTTTGGCACTCATTCATTATTCTATTGAAGCAGTAAGCAATGGAAAGATTGTAACAGAATTGTGCACAAACTGTCCAAATGTTAACCTTTTTGTTAAATACAACAGGAACGTTTAAAACATTAACATTTTTAAAGCATTTACATGGGAAGAAAGCCAGCCACTGCTTGAAGTATTTGTTTAGGCTGCATCTCAACTTCCTCAAGCTTTGAGCAAATATTTACGGGTCACAGACCTTCTACCACATGTCTAGGTCAGACATGGAAACAATTTGTGATTTATGTTTTTCACAAATGTGCCAGCTTTGTATTAATTATGTTAATAAAAAATGGAAAAATATCTTCCATATTCTAAGGGTTGGTGACACCATAAAATAATAACAAAAAGTAAAATGTCTGACCTAAACTATGGATAAATTAAACTCATGAATGGTACCACACAACCATATAATGCTGTATAATTAACTGAAGTGGCTAGTCTAGACTCTTCCTACCATTCCAGACCAGTTGTTGAAGTGCCATGAGGTCTCCTGCCCTGGCCGCGGCCCCCACCGTGGAGCAGGTGTGAGTGTAAGCCTCACTGAAGTTCATTGCTCACACGCATTCTACACGAAAACACAAACATGACACATAAATACACTGAACATGTAAATTGAATAAAATGATTCTTATTAAAAATAGTCATTTTGTTATAACACAATACTGACATACACAAAGATACTCAACATATCTTGATCATATTGTATTAGTCCATGTAGTCCCTTAGACTAACAGCTAGCCTCTGAAATGAACATATTTTAACATCACAGATAACAACAGTTGTTAAATTATAGTTATAAAAAATATCATTAAAAGGAACCCAGAGACTATCTTCATTTTCAGACACTGCAGTAATCTAGACTTGTCCACTATTATAGACTTTCATAGGCTGTGTTTGATATATTTGTGTTAGAGTCTGCATGACAGACTATTAGTTACTATTCAATCATTACTAATCATTACTAATCATTCTAATCATCTCTCAAATATTTGAATTCATCATCATGTTAATCTTTTGTTGTATAACTTGTTTGCAAGATGTGGACTCATGCCCCACTTGACTGCAAAATGTTGGCCTTTCATTGGATCAGATGGTTTGTTTGTTTGTTTGTTTGCTGTTTTACGCCACACTAAGCAATATTCCAGCTATATGACGGCGGTCTGTAAATAATCGAGTCTGGACCAGACAATCCAGCGATTGATCTCATGAGCATCGATCCTTGCAATTGGGATTCGATGACATGCATCATCCAAGTTAGCGAGCTTGACTACTCGATCCCGTAAGTCGCCTCGTACGACAAGCGTAATCACTTTTTACAGCAAGCATGGGTTGCTGAAGACCTATTCTATCCTGGATCAGATGGTCCATCAGTGATGAGTAAACATACTCCAGTAATTTGAGTTGATCTACATCGTCTCCCATTTGAGTCAAATTTTATGTTGCATAGTCTATCAGGACCCTTATTTTCGGTTGTTTTGAAACATGAAAAAGCATTTTGTGACAAAATGGACTTGGACTATCAAACTGACAAAAACTGTATGTAGATACAGTCCTGTTTTCAACAGGTAGCAGTCTGTGCTATTGTTATACTATAAAGATTTTAATAAAAACTTCCCGAGGCAAGGGAGGTTACTGACAAAAAAGTCCTGTTAGGGACTGGAGTTATGCCTAACTGCAGGGTATGAAACTCCCAAAGATTTCAGCCAGACCACAGGACTGGCTAGCTGAAATACTTGCCAGCCCTGACCAAAACCTGCCTGCCCACTATAATCGTATGTTTCTCAGAATTATTTAATTAAAAATATGAAAACTGATTGCTTGTAGCATAAGCGCATCGCTAAATGTTAGGTTGTCTAAAAGCTAACTGGGTTTCTTTTTGGTTACATTTTATCATTCATCTATTTGTGAATTAATGCTTATCATCGGGAAATATTTAGAATGTTTTCACCTATGAAATATAACCTGACCGTCGGGCAGGGGGATTTGAAAATCTGACAGCCCGAGTTGAAATCAACCCGTCTCGGACGGTCAGGCAGGCAGGTATTTCGAACGCTGCTAACTGGCTGGACTAACGAGTCTATCAGTGTTCCCGCTGGCTTTTGAAACTGCCAGTTCTAGTGGACATGCAGCTCCAATAACTACCAGTCCCCCATCATTTTTGCCAGTCCCAACTTTCAACAAATAATAAAAACGTATGAAAATTACCTCGTTTAAATTCTTTCAACATCATGTTCAGTGCAAAGATGTCATCTCTGAAGTAACTTAATTAGATCTTTACATCATTCACACTAACTTCAGTCACAATTTTATCCTTTTTTAAATATTTTGAGACAAAGTCACTTCAAATAGATATTTAACCTCTAAGCAAAGCAAAATGTTATTTCCTTGCAAATAAATAGACAAGGGGAAACCCTGATGGTAACAGACAAGCTGAATTTGTTGGAAAAATGTACTTTTTGTACAACAAAGATTATTAAGGTACTTTATTTGCCGGTCCAGAGGGACTGGCAGTCACCTGAATTGCCGGTCCAAGCCTTATTTTACCGGTAAAAAACTGGTAATTGCCGGTAAACGGGAACACTGGTCTATGAAAAGTCCACTCAAAACCACATAATGAAATTGACACCTGCTTCATTAACAACATGGCAACTGCAAATTTCAGTCAACTGCAGGATTTGCACAGCACATGTACGTCAACTGGGTGTCAACAGATATTTTCCAAACCTTTTCATGTTTTTAATCAAGGTGCTCAAGTGAATTGATTCACTTTGTGAGGTGAGACCCATTTCATTACAATAAAGATCTTGCTTATTTATATTGATCAGATTGTCTTGGGTGGTAAATGCAGGTGATGAGAGGTGGAATCTGATTGGACAATAGGAGATCATAGAAGGGACTTAGCTCGTAACAGCCACTGGTGGTGGTATGATCAAGCCACGAAATTCCAGTCTAGTTTGACAAGGGTTGAAACAGGACTCTTCAAGTCAGTTAATGCCTTGCCTCGGGAAGATAAAAAGTATACAGAAGGTAAGTATGGTAAGAATGTAATATATGAGAATTATATTCATGGGTAGATATTTTATGTAAAGGATAACGGAGGAATTCCACACATAATAGAAAGTGATTAGTCAATATTTTCATATTTTCACAATATTGTAATCACACCACCAAAGAGAGCCTTGAGATTTGTATTTTGAGGTAATTACTTTGTGTTTACTTAACAATTAAGTAGATCAATTAACATTAAGCAGGGTTTTTATTAAAAAAGCAGTAGAAACTAACATTTTTAGTCCACTAGTCTTTATTACAATAACATAGAGTAAAACCTTTAAAAAAGGCAAATTCCTACTGCTACTAGTCCTTATGATACCTTAACTATTGGGCAGTTTGGCAACGACAACAGGACTAGTGTCAATTTCTAATGCTGTATTCGTGCTCATATTGCTTATCCAATGCTTATCCAATAAGTTGGAAGCTGATGGCCCTACTGTCAGCATACATCTTGAAGATGTTTGAATAAGTGAGTGGGTTGGGTTTAACACCGCTTTGAACAGTATTCCAGTAATATCACGGTGTGTCAGCTTAATGTGGGAGGAAAGAACAAAGTGATGCAGGTCTCAGATGTTTACCACTTTGGTGAAACCCACGAGTATGGGTATGGTGCTGACAAACCCAGAAACATAATCGGGGCAAACTGGGATTCGACTCACAATCATATATCACTGGCATGCCCAAGGGATGCAACTCTGCACAGTGAATTTGATGACTAGGCCACCTGTGGCCCCGGAAGGACCTCTACCCAAGGCTACTAAATCCAGTTGGAACAAACATAAATGGATCAGATGAATTAATCATTAATGACTGATTATGAATTGGGGAATGCTGAATGAATTAATAGAAAAGTATGGTTTGAATGTTGTGAAATCAGCAATAATGTCTTGCAAATGGTAAAATAATGTTTGTTTCCTTACAAATACAAATTAATATATACAGTGCAGATTTAGCCAATTTAGTGCCATTTTCGACAGGCAGTTTGGGGCCGTTTTGACTCTGTGACGTTTCAGTCTGCACCATACAAAACAACATCTGACAATGACATGTCTGAATCCACTTGAAAGCACTTATTTGTAAAATTGATGATTCAATCTCAAAGAATCTATGAATTATTCCCAGGTAAGGTTGGTTTGGAATGGAGCTATTTTGGTCTACATTCGAGCATTGCTAAAAATATTGTATTCGCTTCCTGTAAATGGCACAAGGGATCCTAGAAAACAATCAAGCGAACTTTTCGTGAAAACTATTCAAACATCAAGTTCATGGCAATGTCCATTACACATCATTGCAAGAAACCCGATCATTTTGTTGATGACACGTTACTCCATATTCGTACCTCTCCGGCCACCTTAAGATAAGCTCGCATATATACCTTCTCTTTATATCCCGATAGATGAAATTACAAGCCACAGAAGCACCTATTTTGTGGATAACCTCCCTTGAAAACAACGGTACCGCACTTACTGTTATGTTAAAAGCGATTGGCTGAAATTAACATTCACTTCGAATCTGCAACTTCCGGTTTTAGTGAACGTGCACTTGTCGCAGTAAACAATCGTATGGTGTGAAGGTTTCATTAACACTTCTGAGTTATTGTAGGTGTTTGTCATCAACGTCTAAATCCTAAAAGACACCTTAATCATGGGGTCGTCGAAAAAACACAAGGAAAGGGATAAGGAAAGGGAACACAAGCATAAACGTAAGCGTCGATCTCGGTCACGATCGAAGGAAAGGCGCAGCAGACGAAAGGACAGAGAAGAAAGACGAGGAAAGGAGGAACCGCAGGATAGACCACGCGGCGCTGAACATGTCGCTCCGGAAGGTATATATCCTAACACACTACCGACCGAGGGTATTATTTTAAAGTTATTGTCTTAAATTCAAAGGTATTTTAGCATTGTATTTTGAGATTGTATTCAGTGCAATAATATGAAACTATCAAGCCTCTTCATATTGATTGCTCTTGTTATCAGTGAAAAACAAGTTATCTCTACAAAGGCATAAAATTAGTTATTACCGGTATTGGGAAGGCTTTAATTTGGGAATTTTTGATGACATTTGCTGCACACTTGGGACCGAAGATAGTCCTCTGAGGAGGTCTAGATAAGTCCCTTGTTAGACAGATTTATTCTCTCCAAAGGAGTAAGTGAAATATAATGGTATGTAGGCTGTTTTTCATCTGTAGCACCAGTTCATTGTTTTCCAACTCCCCTAAAATATCAAGGCCTGTGACGCTGGTGCAGTGTCTGAGTGGGGTATTGATGTTAACATGCGGCATGGTATCTCAGTGGGCTTGCACCATAAAATCAGCATTAATCTTGACTATTACATGCAGCCACACTTACATTTGCATGCTATGTAAGCGCAATAATCTTGAATGTGACGTTAAACCCAATTTCAGCTTACCTATTCGTTATTACTAGTTTACCAAAGGACAATAACTAATAGGTGAGGTGAAATTGTGTTTAATGTTACATTCAAGATTATTGCACTTATATAACATGCACATGTTTTAGTTATTACCAGTTTACCAAAGGACAAGACCTGTGAAGATCCGGGGTAGAATAGGTCTTAAGCAACCCATTCTTGCAAAAAAAAGGCGACTATGCTTGTCGTAAGAGGCGACTAACGGGATCAGGTGGTCAGGCTTGCTAACTTGGTTGATGCATGTCATCGCTCCCAATTGTGTGGATCGATGCTCATGATATCAATCACTGGATTGCCTGGTCCAGACTCAGTTATTTACAGACCGCCGTCATAAAGCTGGAATATTGCTGAGTGCAGCGTTAAACAAACAAACAAAAAAAACAAAGAACAAACACATTACGTTTATAATTGTCATCATGGTCATCAATACTCTATAGGACGTTGCTCATCAACCACTGTTTTTGTCTGGTCTAGCCTTTAATGATTGCAGACCCTTTTGATGTGATTGGAATACTGTTCAAAGTGGTGTTGAACCCAACTCACTCCTTCGGAATCATTTGAGTAACTTGGTTTATGAAGCCATACTTTTGTGTGCATGATGGCAGAATACAACTATAATATCTGTTTTCTATTCTCTTCATTTCAGTTCATGAAGCACCAATTTCTGGTGGTGGGGAAACATCACTCAGTATTGATGAAACAAAGTAAGTTTTATGTGTTACTCTCATGCAATAGACCCATGCATTGGGGTTCTAGGTAAAAATAGAGGTCCTCAGCAAAAGACCCATGGGGATGGGAGGGTGGTGTTCTAGGTAAGAAAAGAGGTCCCCAGCAATAGACCCATGAGGTGGGAGGGTGGTGTTCTAGGTAAGAAAAGATGTCCCCAGCAATAGACCCATGGGGTGGGAGGGTGGTGTTCTAGGTAAGAAAAGAGGTCCCCAGCAATAGACCCATGGGGATGGGAGGGTGGTGTTCTATGTAAGAAAAGAGGTCCCCAGCAATAGACCCATGGGGATGGGAGGGTGGTGTTCTAGGTAAGAATAGAGGTCCCCAGCAATAGACCCATGGGGATGGGAGGGTGGTGTTCTAGGTAAGAATAGAGGTCCCCAGCAATAGACCCATGGGGATGGGAGGGTGGTGTTCTAGGTAAGAAAAGAGGTCCCCAGCAATAGACCCATGGGGATGGGAGGGTGGTGTTCTAGGTAAGAAAAGAGGTCCCCAGCAATAGACCCATGGGGATGGACATGATGGAAGGGTGGGAGGGTGGTGTTCTAGGTAAGAAAAGAGGTCCCCAGCAATAGACCCATGGGGATGGGAGGGTGGTGTTCTAGGTAAGAAAAGAGGTCCCCAGCAATAGACCCATGGGGATGGGAGGGTGGTGTTCTAGGTAAGAATAGAGGTCCCCAGCAATAGACCCATGGGGATGGGAGGGTGGTGTTCTAGGTAAGAAAAGAGGTCCCCAGCAATAGACCCATGGGGATGGGAGGGTGGTGTTCTAGGTAAGAAAAGAGGTCCCCAGCAAAAGACCCATGGGGATGAGAGGGGGGTGTTCTAGGTAAGAATAGAGGTCCCTAGCAATAGACCCATGGGGGTGGGAGAGTGGTGTTCTATGTAAGAATAGAGGTCCCTAGCAGTAGACCCATAGTGGTGGGGTTCTAGGTAAGAATAAGGTCCCCAGCAATCTATACTTGCTGGAAGAGGTGGCTAAACATACTGAATGGATCATCAGGTTTGGTGGTTTGGTTGTTTGCTATTTTCATATCATCAAATCCCAATTGCTTGGATCGATGCTCATGGTATCAATCACTAGATTATCTAGTCCAAGCTCAATATTTTACAGACCATTGTCTGGAATATTGCGGAGAATGGCATAAAACAACAAGAACAAGAACAATCTGGGGCAATACATATGTTCCCTTTCCAGATTTTACAAACAAAAATAACGGGTAGCCTCAATGACTTCTGAATATATATACACATAGATAGAAGACCAGGAGGGAACACCAACATTAAGCTGTGATCTGGATGATCCCCTGTGCATATGATTAAATCAGATACTGTGCATATGTGATAAAATCATACGCACATTATATTTTACAGTGTTTTATATGAATTCCAGGATGTAAGATTCATCTTTTCTTTTTCAGTCGCATTCGGGCAAAGCTTGGGTTAAAGCCCTTGGATGTTCCAGGATCCAGTAGTAATGGTATGTCAGTTTATGTTGATCAGTGAAGAATCAGTTTCAAAAACCATTGCAACCTGATGTAAACTGTATAGAAATACCGTATTCGACGTAATAAGCGCCCAGGGCGCTCTCAAAATTAGAAATAGGGGGCGCTTATTAGAATATTATTTTGAGTTGAAAGATCGTAAATTTCGTGGTTTATGCAAACATCCTGAAATGTTTATATACGACAGATATATTTTTCAAGAATTTAATTGCCCATAATTAAGGGTGATATAACACACGAGTGCGTAATATGCGCGAATAAATAAGTCTTGCGTACATTGATCAATCGGAAGGGGTGCTGATTGGGATTGTTCACTAGCCAATATATTAGCAAATATCGCCGTGGGCGCTTATTAGAGCGGGGCGCTTATTACGTCGAATACGGTAATTGCACTCCATCCTTCAAGTATGAGTAGCAGTAAAACATGTAAATGTAGACTATAAATTTTAACCCACCAGATCTGAAGTCGGTGACAATTATTGTATTATGTGGTTTGTTTCCCAGCGGCAGGTGGCGAGGATGGTGACAAGCCGAAGGAGAAGGAAGATGTTCATGCTCCACCTGTCAACTGGGGGGAGCAGAAGAAGACAGAAGCTCTCCGAGAGAAAATGGCAATCCTAAAGCAGAAACGACTCATGAACAAGAAGCTTCGGTAATTGTCCTAGAGACCCTGTGAAGATCCGGGTTAGAATTGGTCTTCAGCGACCCATGCTTGTCGTAAAAGGCAACTGACAGGATCGAGGGGTCAGGATCACTGACTTGGTTGATGCATGTCATCGCATCCAAATTGCAAAGATCAATGCTTATGTCACTGAATTGTCTTGGTGCAGTGTTAAACAACAAACAAACAAAATTTCTGTCCGTCCCAGTGTATGGCATTGTAATGAAGTTATTGGTAACTGTTTTTAGAAAGTATGCTTTTCAGTAGTAAGAACACATTCTAGTCACTAGTGACTCATTAGTACTTATCCTATAAGGACGAAAACCTTCTGCTTGGCCTATTGGTAATATGGATGCTTCAGTCATTGAGGAATCAGGTTCAGACTATAGGACAAGTGCCAGTGTTTGACAGTATTGATAAGAGTAACATATTGTTCTGATGTGTCAACATGGTCATGTTTTACTGTCATTATTTCAAAATATACTGTTTTGTGATTTTTTCAGCAAAGTGAAGACACTTGCTGACAGTGATTCTGACTCCAATGACATGTCTAAGTGGGTCAAGCGGTCCAGGAAAATGGAAAAGGAGAAAGTGTTGGCCGAAAAGAGGGTGTGTAACTTCATTATGAAATAAATCTATTATCAATACAGTCAGTCACTCAGATAAACTTGTTCACATATTTACAGTGCTACTGATAAACAGTACCTTCTGTTGGTGTCTTCATTAGGAGTGGGGGATGCATCGTGACTTTTTACTTGCCATATAATGCGTGATTGTACACATCAAAACAATGTCATGGTGATAATAATCACCACTGTTACCTAACTGCAGAGCATGATACAGTTTATGACATCAAGTGCAGCAGAGGCTGTATATCCTGGATCTTGTTAACATGTTACATGGGGGGGGGGGCATGTTACATGTGTCAGGGGCATGTTACACGTGTAAGGGGCATGTAACATGTGTCAGGGGCATGTTACATGTGTCAGGGGCATGTTACATGTGTAAGGGGCATGTTGCATGTGTAAGGGGCATGTTACATGTGTCAGAGGCATGTTACATTTGTGAGGAGCATGTTACATGTGTCAGAGGCATGTTACATGTGAGAGGGGCATGTTTCTTGTGTGAGAGGCATGTTGCATGTGTAAGGGGCATGTTACATGTGTCAGGGGCATGTTACATGTGTCAGAGGCATGTTACATGTGTGAGGAGCATGTTACATGTGTGAGAGGCATGTTACATGTGTGAGGGGCATGTTGCATGTGTGAGGGGCATATTACATGTGTGAGGGGTATGTAACGTGTGAGGAGAATGTGTGAGAGGCATGTTACTTGTGTGAGAGGCATGTTACATGTGTGAGGGGCATGTTACTTGTGTGAGAGGCATGTTACATGTGTGAGAGGTGTGTTACATGTGTGAGAGGCATGTTACATGTGTGAGAGGTGTGTTACATGTGTGAGAGGCATGTTACATGTGTGAGAGGTGTGTTACATGTGAGAGAGGCATGTTACATGTGTGAGAGGTGTGTTACATGTGTGAGAGGCATGTTACATGTGTGAGGCTCATATCTTGTGCCCAGTTTATGATATTAACTGATTATGGTTCAAAGCATGGGTTAAATGATCAAGCTGACATTCCCCATGTTATTGTGCATCCAGGCCAAGCTTCTGGAGGAGATGGACGAGGAGTTCGGCATCAGTGACCTCATGGATCAGGAGTTCAAGGACAAGAAGAAGGTAGGAACAGTTTCTCTGCAAGTAGTATCCAGGGTCTCTGGTGAAAAGTCTCAAGCCACAACTTTGTGCTGGTAGTCTAAGATAGATTTGTACAGCATGGCAGAATGATGCTTTGTCATAAGATAGCAAGGTGATTGTATTATCAAACGTCAATGTTTACATATAAGTCTGACCCAAGGCGACTATGCTTGTCGTTAGAGGTGACTTACAGGGTCAGGTGGTCCGGCTGCTGACGTGGTTTATACATGTCATCGTATCCCAATTGCGTAGATCCATGCCGATGATGTCAGTTACTGGTTGTCTGGTCCAGACACGATTATTTACAGACCACTGTCATAAACAAATAAACCATATTAAGTCTTGTGTCTTCAAGAATGTATTTCTGTCTTGTAGTTCAGAGAATGAAGCCCCTATATTAACACTAAAATCTACTGGAAATGACAGTTGAAGTCTGGTTTGTTCCCATTATCAATAATGGATTTCCCATTGTAGGATTACACAGCCCGGGACCTGCAGGGTCTGACAGTCCAACATCAGATGGATAAATTCACTGATGGTCGTGGCGTTATTCTGACACTCAAGGATAAAGGTAAGCAGATCAGGCTCTGTGGTACAAACTGCTTCAAATACCCACAGTACATTACCCTGCGACAGCAATATTTCAGGAGAACCAGCATGAGTCAAGTCTCTTTTCTTCTTTATTAGTGTTTGTAAACTTGTATTTTTTATTCATTCATCTTTTATTATGTTTACGGATACCTGTCTTGTTTCTTACAACTTTTGTCAATCAGGTTTTCAGTGTACTAAATCGCATTTGGTTACAGTATAATTTATTATGACTATATCTTAGTTAAGGCTAAAAAAAATATTAGTCTTGGTTCTCAGGCACTGCCCACATCATCATAAAGTTCATTGCACGTTTCGTTTTTGTTTCCATTTTCAACTTTTTAGTGTGCATTGTGTTTAAGTATAAGGATTTTTAAATTTTTTTAAAATGGATATAAAAACAAAACATGCGGCAGTTTTTATGATGACGCGGTTGGTGCCCGAGAACCAAGACTATTATTTTTTTAGCCTAATCTACCAATGATTACATTCATTTTTTTTCTGCTACCTAGGTATTCTAGATCAGGATGAGGATGATGTGTTGATCAATGTGAACATGGTTGATGACGAGGTTGCCGAGAAGAATGTAGACAACAAGAAGAAGAAGCCCGAGTACAAGCCGTATGACGAGCCCGAGTATGACGAGTATGGCATGGTATGTTCAACCCACACTTGCACCAAGTCACTTGTATGTTCAACCAACACGTCCACAAGGCACTTGTATGTTTATCATCCATATGGTTGAAGCAAGTTATGAAATACCCACACATAAATTTGATTTCATAGGCCGTAACCATGGCAACAATCGTTGACATTGTGTGTAGTGATGTAACAGTCGCAGTCCATCACTTTTGACATCATGTGACCACAGACAGCTTCAGAACACGAGTTACCACATGAAACAACACTACTTGAGGGATTTTTCTGCTTTTGCTTAGGAAGTACCTTAATTCACTCATGTTGCATGTTAAGTGAATTGTATTGCAAGGCCAAGTTTCTTCTCATTATTTTCTGTATACCATGCTTGACAACCCAAAGAGAGCAGATTATGTCAGGGATTTTCTGTTGGAAATAACCATGTACAGACAAACATTGTTTAACCAGACACATGTGTTTTCTCAAGTGTTTTCCGAATAAGGGGCACGGGTGGCCCAGTCGTCTAAGGCTCCGCGATTCGCTGTGCAGAGTTGCGTCCCTTGGGCATGCCAAAAACCTATGATTGTTGGTTTGAATCCCGGTTCGCCCCGATTATGTTTCTAGATTTGTCAGCACCATACCCGTGCTTGTGGGTTGCACCGAAGTTGTAAACGTCCGAGACCTGCATCACTTCGGCTTTCCTCCCACAATAAGCTGACACGCCGTGAAACTGACCAGAGTTACCTCCCCTACCCAAATTCTACTGAAGCATAAAAAACTCTTTTGTTAAATGCATAGTCTCACCTGAATGTCAAATGACAATGACTGCCCAACTAGTGATCCAGACATAACTAATCAATAACTCGGTGATCACATGATACTCACTCCTTTAATGTTGATGAATTGCAAACAAACATTGTCAAGCGGGGACGCTGTGAGGTAAGTCTGACGCAATAGTGTGTATTTTGCACTGCTGGTAATGACATTCAGTTTCCAGTTCCAGAAACTGGATTTCCAGATAAAAGAAGCATTTTATTTAGTATTTATTCCGTTTCACGTAAATATCACCTGGTAGCTGAGGTTTCAGGTATGTTGGTTCCAGATAATGTATAAAAAAAATAAAAGAAGTGGTTCTCAGGCAATGACTTATGAAAATATAGTTAGGACGGGTGGTGTTTTTTTGTTTGTTTTTTTTGCTTGTTCAAACTTGTGTGTAACCAAATAAACAGTTGTGTACCATCAACCTGGGAAAGGCCTCCCTACATAAACAAACAAACAAACTCCTATTGCCCACATTACCATGACATGAAATGCGCATGTAAAGGGAAGTAACTGCGTGCTATGTTGGATCTCAGTGCTTTCAAGTATCAGGATTTGTTTATATTTCTTTTGAAAATGGAAATAAAAGGGAAATGTGCGGCTGACTTTCTGATGATGCGGGCGGTGATTGTGAACCAAGACTATTATTCATTTTAGCCTAAGCGGGATTCCACTTGACATGATATACCAATGTAGGAAACATGCGACATAATGTAATTGTCATGAGTGGGAAAGGTGCTGCTGTTACTGTGATAACTTGTGTTACAGCTGAAGCCCAATAACATCCTTGACAAGTACGATGAAGATATTGATGGAAATCAAAAGGTCAAGAAGTCCTTCACGCTGGGTACGTGTAGTTCGGTATAAATTGTCTTGTATTGATATTTAGTTATTGCTTTCCTCTTTTCATTTCTCTGGCTTGGATTGGAGCCTATGCATTCTGAACAAATCATGAGTACTTTTCGTGCCAATTGTTTAGTAAAGTTACACAGACAATATCTTACGAACTATGAGGAACTATGGGTTGTATCTGTCAGGTGAATTAATGTCAAGCCTGGTCTGAATTACAGGGGGCGGTCGGGTAGCCTAGTGGTTAAAGCGGTCACTCGTCACGCCGAAGACCCGGGTTCAATTCCCGACATGGGTACAATGTGTGAAACCCATTTCTGGTGTCCCCCGCTGGGATATTGCTGGAATATTGCTAAAAGCGGCTAAAAGCAGCGTAAGACCATTATCACTCACTGAATTACAGTGATAGTCATTTAAGGCGCTGCAATTCAGTGTGCAGAGTTGTGTCCCTTTGGCTCTTCAGAAACCTGATATTTTGGGTTCATATCCTGGTTCGCCCTGATTATGTTTCTAGGTTTCTCAGCACAGTACCTGTGCTCATGGGTTTCACAAAAAGGGTAAACATCTGAGACCTGCATCACTTCGGGCTTTCCTCCCACATTTAGCTGACACGCAGTGATATAACTGCAATACTGCATTAAACTAAACTCACTCACTCACTATACCTTTGCACATATCAGCAGATCTCATGTCTCATCATATAATATCAACACAAACAAACTAGTCTCTGGGGTATTGTTTGAAATGTTATAAGAAATATCGAGCAAGAAAATATAAACTGCTGAAGTATTTCTACGTTCTTCATGGTACTATGAAGATCATGATGATAGTTCGGATGTGGGATGCACAGTTATGTCCTTTAAATGTGCCAGGATCCCATGATGAGGGGTTAGAATCCCAGATTCACCCTGACTATTGTCCTGTTTGTCAGCACCATACCCATGATATAGCTGAAATACTACTCACAACCGTGTTGGGTACGGTGGGGTAGCCAAGAGGTTTACGCATCGGCTCGTCATGTTGTAGGCCTGGGTTCAATTACCCACGCATGTACAATGTGTGAAGCTCCCCTGCCATGATATTGCTGGAATAGAGCTAAGAGTGGTGTAAAACCACACTCACTCACACAAAGTCTTTATCCCAACATACTCACTCTGTTGCATGGTGGGGGCGGTCGGGTAGCCTAGTGGTTAAAGCGTTCGCTCGTCACGCCGAAGACCCGGGTTCGATTCCCGACATGGGTACAATGTGTGAAGCCCATTTCTGGTGTCCCCCCGCCGTGATATTGCTGGAATATTGCTAAAAGCGGCGTAAAACCAAACTCACTCACTCACTCACTGTTGCATGGTGGCAGGTTCGGGTGGCAAGTATGACGCAGATGAAGATCGAGAGATGGAGAGGATACGTATTGAGCTCAGGCAGCAAGGGGTAAGTAGTAACTTTCATCATGGCTTATGAAAAGTCTATTGTAATAATACTGTTTGAAGAGCCCAGATGTGGTAATTTGGCTTATTACCATTAACCATATTTAGCAACGGAGCAAAGGTGGTAATCATCCTTCTTTCTCTTTCAGCAAACATTGTCGATGCCAGCTCTTACTTTGGCCAGTGAATACTACACTTCAGAGGAAGCAGTAAGTATCAAAGGCACAACTTTCTTAAAACAGTAGTTCCATGCTGCATATGAAGCTCGGAAATATAAAACAGTTTGTTCCTTTGGTAAGAAAGTCTTGCTTGTCTTCAGCAGAAAACTTTCAGCCCTGAATTACATTTGTATTTGACAAAGGTATGCAATAATCGTTGTATCGTGGCTATCACGATGAGCTTGAGCCAGCTCTTATGACTCTCATCCTGTGTCTGTATGGGAGTCCTGTGGGGGTCTGACAGTGTTCATTTCAGAAACTGGAAAACTCTGGCCCAATGACCTTTATCTTTCTAAGAATTTGGGATGAAAGCAGGGCATGTAAATATTTTTGAAATAAAGACATAAAACTAAGAGAATTTCAGTGACTGCAGTACTGTCACCAGATTCCTCTGATTCTTGAATGGACCCATCCTTATCAGTGGCATTCCTGGCCTCTTCATCATCTGCAGCCAGGTTCAGACCATCAGTTTTCCATAGTTTCAGGGGAAACAGTTTTCCATAGTTTCAGGGGAAAATTCAATAACCTTTGTTGTTTCGTTTGCTTTTGTTTCTACGACGGCATGACAAGCTAATGGCCACAGGGATATGAGACCGTAAAAACTGTAATTGAACCAGCCAATCAAAACATGTGTTATTATGGTCATTTCATTCAGAACGTATTGCTAAACATGCTAAACTCATCATTATATTACTATGTGTTAACTGAAGTGTTTCGCTAAACATGTTAACTTCTGATTTTGACAAAGATTTATGAAAGTTAGTTGAATTAAAGTCAATAGCAGAAGGTACGATCTAAGGCATATTTTCGTTTTTGGATATTATGTTGAGCCCTTTGGGAGTGGTGATATATATTTTTTGTGGTATTAAGGAATTTTTTATGCACATCACTTTGGAAATTAGGTCCCCGTTTTCCCATGTATCGGTAATAGTTGTAAGATCCAACCAGGTGGTTAGGCTTGGTGACTTGGTTGATTGTGTGTCATGGTGACCCGATGGTTTGGATTGGTGCTCATTGTTTTGGTCACTGGTTTGTCTGACGTAGATTTGGCTATTCACAAACCACTGTGATATAGCTGGAATTATGCTGACTGTGGCGTTAAGCAACATTCTGTCTTGCAAAATTCCCTCCAAAAGTTGTACTTCTAGACTAGACTTGGGCAGTTATGGGATTATTGACTGATTGCCCCAACAGTGTGGATGCATGACATCATCAAGGTGTATGTTGTTGTGGAAGACAAAGTCCTGTAATAACAGTGACCTTCAATCTATGTTCAGGCTGCCAAGTTCAAGAAGGTCAAGAAGAAGGTGAGGAAGATCAGGAAGAAAACGTCCCTGAAGGCTGATGACCTGCTCACTATGGCCGAGGACCAGGTCACAAGAGAAGACTACGGGTCAAGGTGAGCCCTTTGGTTATGCGCCATCTAAAGCCATTACTTGGAGATGTCAACCATTAGAGTTTTGGCATAAATGTTAAGATTTTGAGCTAAATTATGCTTTTACGCTTGCCCTCCAGCAGATTACGATTTTTGTCATATTTTTAACAAATTATTTATATATTCATAAAATATCACTGACGGCAAAATGCACAGGTGACATGAAGCATTATCTCACCTTAAATTAAAATCTTAGCTTCTGATTGGTAAAGGAGGGGGCATTTATTTTCCATGTAGCCCACTTGGAAATCAGTCAGAACACATCGGAGATAACTTCCATATCTCGAATAAGTATCGTTGAGTTGAAATGAACCGTTGTTTATCTGAATGCACTGGGTAAAGGGAAGTCGCTTGGTTCATTTGCATCGTCTGCTCCTAGTTTTTATGTCAGACTGGACATATATTTGGGACCTATATGAATAAATGTCAGGTGTGTAGGATCACACACAGGGTACATCGCACAATATACCTCTTGAGATCGGTTGGCAACTAATATTCTACAGAGACTCTTCTGACCAATGAGAGCCATGCTTTCAATTCACATGATGTTGAAATATCCTTAACTCAGTAATACAAGATCTATGATTGGTTGGTTAAACACTGTACACATTTTATCAACCCATCTTTACAGACAAAGAGACACAAGTACTGTTGACATTTCTCATTTTTGCATGACATTTCTCTTTTTGATTCCACTGATTGCTCCAAAATTTCATTTTGGGTTGGCATTTCTGTCCTCGTACATTACGAAAAGAAGCTCAAAACCATCCTCGATAACTCAATTTCATACACAGCACAAATTACAATACCAGCGTTAGACTTGAAGGTAGTCCATCTATGAACATTTGATACATATGTGTGTTGTTTTCGTAGAGTCTTTTATGTGAAACTTAAGATGGGCATTGAATCAAAATGAAAAAGCAACAGAAAAGTCAAAGTCATGACAAGGTGCACTCTCCTACCCAGAGTTCCATGCGTCCGGCAGCCAGCTAGCATAGTACCTCTGCCACAGGCCAGCGCCATGTGACGATTCGTCACATCTTTCACAGTCCATTCAAGATATTGCATATGCTTTTCATCTGTTTCATGTTTGACAATTCTACACATTTTCATAAACAAATGTCAAAGAATGGTTAACTTTCATTGAGAAAGTATGCAATACGTAAAAATCTACTTGTTTTTGCGTAGTTATCCTATCTTTACATTGGTTGTACGGCTCCACGTGCTGTCATCGAAGCCCAGTTGTAGTAGCATATCTATATAGTTATGCAAAACAATATGTAAAGCGCCCCCAAATACTTGCATTAGTCCGTTCTATACTGATTTCTGAAAAAGCGCGTTTGTTTACAAACAAGAGAAAAGTCCGGTCACGTGATATGCAAATTAGCCTGTGGCAGTGGTGTTATGCTGAGTGACCACTGCGACGGAGTGTGGACAAGGTGTTCATGGGAAGGGATGATAATTGAAGTGCAGTGTCTCAGTTCCAACCTTGCCTTTGTTGTAGGTCTCGAGGTCGGGGTCATGTGGTGGCGCCCCCTGAGGACATGGAGCAGGACGAGGGAGGCGGTGAGGCACCAGAGGTCATTGATTATGGTCATGGGGACCCGAATGTGATAGACTACGGTCACGGCATCAAGACTGAACCTGAAGTGAAGACAGAGCCCGAAGCTGCGCCTAGTAGTCGAATTACGCTTGATGCAAGTGTACTGAGTGCTGTCAGAATTAAGGCCGAGGAAGAAATGGAAGGTTAGTTATTGTGTTCACAATATTGTGCCTCTTCTGTAACACTCTCAGTCTACTGGACCATTAGAAACCAGCCAGGCGACTTTTCAAAAAGGCTGAATCTATTCTATTGTATACTTATTCCCCATCATCTGCCATACTGTTGACAGTGTTCCTGTTTAATGGAAAGATCAGGCTTGGACTGGTAATTCATGTGACTGCCAGTCCCTGTGGACCAGCATATAAAGTATCTTATCAATCTTTGTTGTTGAACAAAAGATCGGCGATATTCATATGAGTGTACTTTTCAAACGAAGTCAGCTTGTCTGTTACCATCAGGGTTTCCCCTTATCTATTTTTAGTGTAATAAATAACATTTCGCTTTGCTTCGAGGTTAAATATTTATTTGTAGCGACTTAGTCCCGAATTATTTAAAAAAATAAGAGAAAATTGACTGAACTTTGTGTGAATGACATACTCAGCAATATTCCAGCTATGTGACGGTGGTCTGTAAATTATCGAGTCTGGACCAGACAATCCAATGATTGATATCATGAGCATCAATCCATGCAATTGGGATCGATGACATGCATCAAACACGTCACCAAGTCGGACCATCCGATCCCAATTGGCATTTAGAAGTTGGAAGTAAACATGACAATGACAACTTCTTTATTTGAAACAGTATATCAGGGCTACGTTTTGGCCCTAATCAGGTGATGATATGATTGTCCTCATGTCAGATATTGATATGATAGAAGCTGGAGGATATTTGTTCTGGTATATATATGACTGGTATATATATGACTGGTGTATATATGACTGGTGTATATATGACTGGTGTATATATGACTGGTATATATATGACTGGTGTATATATGAGTATTTTGGCAGATATGGGCCCAGATGAGGACCTGACTGGTGTGCCCGTGGATGATGATGAAGTGGAGAATGAGCTGCACTCAGCTCTCAGTAAGGCCAGGAAATTGAAACTCAAGAAGGCACCCCGTGTCTCAGAGCAGGTACTGTGATAATGTGTCATTTGGGGGAATTGCTAACTGCCCTTTGTCACGTCTTATACTTTCTCTAAAATATTTCTCATTGTGACTGTTAAATCTTTTTACTGACTTGAGCATGCTTACGAATGGGCATTTTTTGGATAAGAATTCTGGGAATTGCAGTTGATGATTTCATGAAAATTGTGGTCCAGTGGTATACATCACTGCAATTCACTCTGCAGAGTAGTGTCCCTTAGGTACTAGGATCTGCTTGTTGTGGGGTTGAGTCCTAGCTTTGCCATGGTCATGGTTTAATCATGCAGTAAATGTCAGTGACCTGGGTCGCTTTGGGTTACCTCAAGAATGAAGGTGACATGAGGTTAAGCTAAAACATATGAGTATAAATTAGTTCTCAGGAAATGGCTTTCGAAAAAATAGTGTGGATAACATGGGAATGGGCCTCCCTACATAAATGTATTCCTTGATCTGAAAAATCCTGATAAATTTGCCTCTTCATCCAATTTGAAGCGGCTGGTGGTGGTCACCATGGTAACTCTTCAGGGACTCTATTGTGCTCTAACTGTGCTTCAGTAGCCAGTGTGTATATGTTTGCATGATCACTTTGCCTCATTGTGTTTGTAATCTATTATATTAATTTTATGCAAGATTTCATTCAATATTGTGTATAATAATTTGGCCGAGTGTGTGAACTGATAACAGTAACCACGATTCACGCTACTGGTGCCTTGAATTGAACCTATTAGAGATATAACGTTTTCTTGTCATTCCATAGAAACTTCAGTTTTTGGAAATAGAGACAAAGAGACTTCATGATGATGCAGCAGTGCCTTAGAACCAAGGCTATTTATTTGTACCACTGTAAGAAGCAGTAACCCACTCACACAATGGATGGCAGTTGAGGAATGGGCTTTGTTTCAGGTTGTGGAGAGAGTCATGTCCCTAAAGAATCAAGAAACAGACGAAAATGCCCAGGGATCACAGATTGTGCTGAATTCCATATCCGAGTTTTGTCGTAACCTGGGAGAAATACCGACCTACGGTTTGTCTGGGAACCGGGAGGAGGACAGAGAGGAAATCATGGTAAGATTAATGTGTCATCTCAATCGGTTCTAGGGTGGCCTGTCGTTTGCTTTTCACTCTTGTTTAACATCACAAGAAAAGCTGCTTATCCTTATTGCAAAAAATTGGTTGATTTGTTTTACTCATTACAAACAATTACTTTAGTTGTCCTTTGGGGAATTGGTTTTGCTAGAACCTAAACAGATCTATTGGTTTTTTCTCAACTACAATAAGTGCCAAACACATTTGTGTCTTCGGGCCTGAACTTGACTCTCATCATTTTTTCCACATGTTAGTGTTGTCACATGGTCTGTTATTAGCTACGCTTATTAGACTGATCTGAAATTTACTATACTCTGGCTTTGTAGAAGTGGCTAAAGTCGCAGACTGTGATATACCTCCATTGTGATTGGATGACACAGAAGGTCATGGTCATCTATTGTGATTGGATGACCAAGAAGGTCATAGTCCTCCATTGTGATTGGATGACATAGAAGGTCATGGTCCTCCATTGTGATTGGATGACATAGAAGGTCATGGTCCTCCATTGTGATTGGATGACACAGAAGGTCATGGTCCTCCATTGTGATTGGATGACACAGAAGGTTAAGGTCCTCCATTGTGATTGGATGACACAAAAGGTCATGGTCCTCCATTGTGATTGGATGACATAGAAGGTCATGGTCCTCCATTGTGATTGGATGACACAAAAGGTCATGGTCCTCCATTGTGATTGGATGACACAGAAGGTCATGGTCCTCCATTGTGATTGGATGACACAAAAGGTCATGGTCCTCCATTGTGATTGGATGACACAGAAGGTCATGGTCCTCCATTGTGATTGGATGACATAGAAGGTCATGGTCCTCCATTGTGATTGGATGACACAGAAGGTCATGGTCCTCCATTGTGATTGGATGACACAGAAGGTCATGGTCCTCCATTGTGATTGGATGACACAGAAGGTCATGGTCCTCCATTGTGATTGGATGACACAAAAGGTCATGGTCCTCCATTGTGATTGGATGACACAGAAGGTCATGGTCCTCCATTGTGATTGGATGACACAGAAGGTCATGGTCCTCCATTGTGATTGGATGACACAAAAGGTCATGGTCCTCCATTGTGTCATTCATTATGAAAGCTTGTGATAGTCTTTCGGCTGTCTGATTGGAATTTGACTAAGCTGTCTTTGATGTAATGTGTTTTAGGATGTTGAACTTGAACTGATGGAGCAGAAGCGTCGCCAGGAGGAGATCGAGGAGGCTGCAAGTGGCTGGAATGAGGTCGACATCGACACACAGCCAGTGGATATTACGGTAAGTCAGAGAAACAGGATCAGAATAAGTCTGATACATTCAGAATCTTGTATATGATAAATGATAAAGATCCTCACATTTAGTTACTTCCTCTTGGGGATTCTGGGATAGACTAGGTTACCATCAGCCTATGCTGGTTGTAAGAGGCAACTTGCTGGAGTAGGTGGCTGATTTTGTATCATTATGGATGACGTGGATCGTTGCTTGTAATATTGATCACTGGATTTTCTAGTCCAGACTCGATTATTTATAGCTTGAATATTGTTTGTGTGTGGCGTTAAACAACAAACAAATGAAATCACTTAGTAACTGATTTGACTGTTGTGTGACTGGATCATAAGGCTTGCAATGATCGGTTGATCCTGTTTATTATCAGGGAGAAGAACAGGCAGTGCTGGAAGAAGAGCCTATCGTGACTGATGGAGTCGGAGCAGCCCTGGCCCTGGCCATGAAGAAAGGTGTGCATGTTTATTGTGTCGTATATCTCGTCACTCTGTTTAAGCCCACAGTTTTTAGAAAAATTGGTTTACAAATTCTGTTGACCAAGAAATAATGAAAACTTGAAATAAAATATTTGAAAGGCAATGTTGTCATTGTCCATTGTTAACAGCAGCATTTATGTATTTTATAGTAACTGTAACTATTGCTGGTGTTTTTAAAGTAATTATTATCCATTTTGTACTTGTTTCATAGGACCTGTCAATGTTTTTGTCGTCTTTCAAAGAACCACCCACTTAGTTTGTAAGTTGTATTGCCTGCTGAATGATGTGGGTTTGAAGACTAGATTCACCCAGATCAATGGTTTGTCAATACCGTACCCTGCTTGTGAAAGTGAAAAACGTCGAGGTCCTGCATCACTTAAGTTTACCCCCTACACTAAGCTGACACAATGTAACAGAACAGAACTACTGTACCAAGTGACATAGGCCCCAACTCTATCTTGAGGCCCTGCTGTGTGTACATTGTGTGGCTCTGTGGACAGGTTACCTGGAGAAGGAGATCATTAAGAATGTGAGTGCCCCGGAGCACAGCAACCTGGGAGCCATGTACTACTCCATTGAAGACAAGAGATACGAGTAAGTATGGGGACATAGCTGTATCTGTGTGTGTGTGTGGGTGGGGCGGTGTGTAGGGGGGAGAAATTCCTGGCCTTTTCAAGAGCAAATATGGTAGCGGAGTATGTTGGCAACACAGATTACTGGTCAGTGATTTATCTAGACCTACTCTTGGGTCCGGTTTTTGCCCCAACTCTGCAGCAAATGTCAGTAAATATTTCTAAATTGGAATTAAAACGTTCCAAAATCATGTTGATATAGTTATGTCTAACGTGATGACTAATCATGCTAATTTGGTTGACTTGTGTTTCACTGATATCAGGGCGAATGAAGAAGAATAGGCTTTAATGCTTAGTGGTAAACTATTGCATGTAATGTTATATACAATGTTATAAGGCCACAGAATTTAAGTAAAAAGGAACTTTAAAATAATCTGAGTTTTAAGATGCATAAATCAATCACAAATTACTTTGGAATCCTAGATAAATACCTGCTGGAACACTTGTGGTTCTAACTTTCTGAAGTCAAATTATTTTAATGCTGAAAATAATTGAATGTCATTTGGTCTGTGTTTATTTCCAATCTCATTAAAATCAGTTCTCAGTTCTTGCTTACACTAAACAAAGATCTGAGGGACCTGTGAAGATCCGGGGTAGAATAGGTCTTCAGCAACCCATGCTTGCCATAAAAATAAAAGGCGACTTTGCTTGTCGTAAAAGGCGACTAACGGGATCGGGTGGTCAGGCTCGCTGACTTGGTTGATGCATGTCATCGATCCCAATTGCGTTGATCGATGCTCATGATATCAATCACTGGATTGTCTGATCCAGACTCGATTATTTACAGACTGCCATCAAATAGCTGGAATATTGCTGAGTGCGGCGTAAAACAACAAACCAAACAACAACAAAAAAAGATCTGAGGACTTCCAATTACTGGTCACTTCAAAATTGTCTATATTTAATCAGTATTGTTCCTGCAATGTTCTTGTTTGGAAGACATACAAACACAGAGACGGGCAGTTACAATGATGGTTGTTATTACTTTTTCACTGATATTGAATTCTTTTTCTACATTGTTAGTGATCTTGATGAGAAGTATCGCAAGAGGGACCGTTACGGCGGTGGTGTGATCTCCGATTTCCGTGACAAGGACGGCTATAAACCTGATGTGAAGCTGGAGTATGTGGACGAGTCTGGACGTTGTCTCAACCCCAAGGAAGCCTTCAGGCAGCTGTCGCATCGCTTCCACGGGAAGGGGTCCGGGAAGAAGAAGCAGGAGAAGAGGATGAAGAAGCTGGAGGAAGAACAGGTCAGTGTCTTGCTGATTGGAGGAAACTGTTACCATGGATACAAATCAGAGATATTACAGCAAAAAAACTCTCACAATTAGAACCATGATGCTCTGTCCTCTTTAGAAACTCACTAGACATCACATGCATAGTTGCTTCCCTTAGGCTTGCCAGAAGCCTATGTGATCAAGGGTTCAAATCCTGGATTCACGTGATTCTGTTTCTAGGTTAGGCAACATCAGTCCGTGCTCGTGGGTTTCACCAAAGTGGCAAACATTTTAGACCTGCATCACTTCAGTGATATAACTTAAACACTGTTCAAAGCAGCGGTAAACCAACCTCACTCACTAACCATCCTGATTTATACAAAGCTTAACATTACTAAAACATGTAAATTCAAAACCAGTGAAGATATAATCTGGATCACAAGACAAAATATTCTGTCTAATTGTTAGGCTAACTTACATAAGGCCACGAAGAGGTTGCGCTTTATTCAGTGATGAGAAACCGCGAACTCAGACTCATTCGCCTCTCGTCCGAATCGAATCGTCCGACCTCAGCGCATTGTGCGTCCTTGGGTCATAGAAGAATAACGACACAATGGATGTAATGAAACAATGGACATAGAGCACCCTAGTGGTATAATAGTGAATATCACACCACAAGAGCCTGTGGTTCTACTTCAATCATGAAAAACTTACCACCAGAACATAAAATACTCTTCAGGTCCGAGAAACACTTCTGCATCTATTGCGGTATCTCTACTTTGTTCCTCTTGTCAATCCCTTCTTGAATACAATGTAGATGGCTGGTCTGTAGATGATTTGGTTTGTTTGAAATTGTCATATTCATGTATCATAGCAAGGTAACTAGCATGTTTATGTATATAAGGAAGTGAAATGAATGCTGCTGATTGTGTCGTATTGACATGTGTGGAGTACGGAAATGTTCCTTGTTTTTCACAGTTGATGAAGATGATGAGCTCCACCGACACGCCCCTCAACACCCTGTCCCTGCTGCAGGAGAAACAGAAAGCCGAGAAGTCCCCGTTTGTGGTGCTCAGTGGCAACAAGGGATTCACAGCGTAAGTAGCTTGGCATCACTGCAGGACAAAAATCTCCCCCTGTCGGCACAAATTAAACAACAAATTTGTATTTAGCCAGCAGGGCTTGCTCCTTATAAAAGTTACTGGCCCTTCTCCAAATAAACTGGCCTACAGCTAAATGGTGGAGGATGCTAAGTCAAGTGGCTGAAGCTGAACCTGAACCTAACGTGGCTCTGAAAAACTCCCCACCCCTAAAACGGCTTTTCCTGCACTCTGAGATTAAATGTTTGCTTCCATTTGCCTCAATCCGTGGTTTATGATTTATGAACAAATAAAGATGTTGTATTCAATATTACAAAGTGGCAGCCATTTCTCATCCTACTAAATGTTTTCTTATCTAAATTATATGATTCAGGAGCAATTATTGTTATAAAAGGGAGCAGTTATGGTTTTAAAGAGACATGTTATAAAATTGCAATTATGATTATAAGAGGGAGCTGTTGTGGTTGTAAAGTGGTTCAGTTATGGTTATAAAGAGGCAGTTATCCCGTTTACAAAGGGTCATGTTATGATGGAGTGGTTATGGTTATAAAGGGGTGATCATCAAGGATTTAAAAGGAAGCAGTTATGGTTATAAAGAGGCAGTTATCCCGTTTACAAAGGGTCATGTTATAATGGAGTTGTTATGGTTATAAAGGGGTGATTCTCATGGATATAAAAGGAAGCAGTTATGATTGTTAAGGGGATCAAGGTTTTGGTGTGTACAGTAAAGTAGAAATACATTGTTGAAGTAGTGAACTCAAAAGGTACCAAGATTTCACTCTATGCTTTGTTGATATGATGCATTTTTAATAAGCACATCAACAAATGTTTTTGTTTCTAAGTTCTCTTATATTTGTCCATGACCCAGTAGGAAGTGACCTGCAGTTTGATGTACTACACTTAACATGTCACTTTCTTTTGGGTTGTCTGATCAGACTTGATACTTTAATTATCATTATCCATGTTTTACATTTTCTTTTAATAGTGGTCCATTTTGTTTTTTTCTAGAAACACAACAAGCATCGCAAAGCCGTAATGACAAGATGAGCTGTTATGGAGTCGGAAATGGCTTCTGTTGGGGCAGCTGGAGCTTGTGTGTTCTGATGAAGTTCAAGGAACCAGAGGACCAAGAGACTTCATGTACATGTCATGCAGATAAAGATCACTGGACCAGACAAGCCTCTTTGTAAATAATTCATGGAATTACATCTCAAGTAGTAGTGACTCAGATTGCCAGTTGGGCCACGTTACCAAAAACCCCGAACCGGCACTGAATGTCCGAGAAATTTGTCAACATGGAAATATATTGTACATGTCTTTACAGTCTATCATTTTCCCAGGTGATGAGCCACTTGACCCACAATTATCTACATCAATCTGAATGTAATATTTTTCTTCTGAAATAGGGGTGGGGAGCATAATGGTTAAAGTGTTTGCTCGTCAAACTGAAGACCCGGATTCCCATCATGGGTAGAATGTGCGAGGCCCATATCTGGTGTTTCCCACCACACATAGTTCTTGAATATTGCTAAAAGCAGTGTAAAGCCATACTCACTCACTCTTCTGAAATACCTATCAGTCACTAAACGTTAAATAACTTTAAAAAATAATGCATTTCTTTGTCAACTTTGAAAATGAAAATGGAGGGATGCAGATCATCAGGGTTTAACTGCCGTGCTATTTCTTTTTTGGTAACTACCGTACTCGACATAATAAGCGCCTGGGGCGGTTTCAAAATTAGAAATAGGGGGCTCTTATTAGAATATTACTTTGGTGAAAAACAATTGAAAGATCAAAAATTTTGTGGTTTATGCAGACAGCCTGAAATGTAAATATACGACAGATATGTTTTTCCAGAATTTAATTTCCCATAATAAAGGATGGATATAACACACGTATTATACACAAATAAATAAGTCTTGTTTACATTGAACAATCGGAAGTGGTGCTAATTAGGATTGTTCACTAGCCAATATATTAGAAATGTCGCTGTGGGCGCTTATAACAGCGGGGCACTTATTTCGTCGAATACGGTATTGTGAAAATGACTTGAAGTTAGTAAAGACATTATTTATGAAGTGATTGTTATGTCACTGACCCATGTCATTGTAAGAATATCATGAAACATTACTACATCACCAGTAAATTAATGTAAATAAATTCTTGTACAAAACAACATGTCTGAAAGTTATTTTTAGCTCACCTGGCTGATAGTCAAGTGAGCTTTTGTCATGGTCGGTTTGTCTGGCGTGCATCATAAGCATTGTCTCAGAAACCACTGGACCAATGAAGCTGAAACGTGCCAATTTGTTCAAGAGGTTTAAATCAGATTTTCAATGTGGTCACCATGGCAGCCATATTGAAATACCTATTTATGACCATTACTCAGCCATTTTTGCTCAAAATGTAAAGAAATTCATACATGTGTAGTTAGTTGCAGTGCTTAACATGTATGTTCCGTTTGTTTGCCATATCTTAGAGTTTCATCTTGTTTTGACCATGCTTCTCTCATAAATTAAATCCAGTGCATATTTGCCTCTGTTAACTTCTACTCTAAAATTGCCAGACTGAGGGTGCTTTTTGTTTGTCTGGTCAAGAATCTATTATCACAGGCTGCCCTCATATAATATTGGTGAGTGCGGTGTTACACAACAAACACATAATCAACAATAACACAGGTGACATTCTCCTTCCTCAAAGTTGATTCTCAGCAATATCACAATATATTCACGGCCACCTCAACAAGCATGAAATACTCATATTCCCTGCCAGTATGACATGTCCGGTTGTGTGCAAGGCAAGAGATATTGTACGGTGTTTAAGATATGCTCAGGAAAGGAGCACTACTACCATTTTCAGCCTAAGTCTAAGTTGTTGCCATGGAAACTCGAAAAATAATTGTTAAAAATCCTGAACTATCAAAAGGCACCAGTCCACCACTAGACCTATCTATGTGCCAAATTTGGTTAAGATATCTCTTAGTTTTTTAGTTCTGCTCCGGAAATGAAACAGAACATTTTGGCGGACGGACAGCAACCATTCCTATATCCCCCTTCCGCTACGCGGGAGGGGATAATCAAAAGAATATCCCCATGTTTATAAATGAATTTCTATGTAGATAAAAATCTTCATATGAACAAGACTGGCATGCAACTCTTACAGAAAGCTTAAAATCATATAACTATTCGTTGTATAAGCAAACGTTTGGCCTGGAAATATATCTTACTATGTTACCACAAGAGAAATTCAGACATGCTCTGGCTAGATTACATTGTAGTTCCCATCATCTTCGGATCGAATCTGGTAGACACAAAATGGAACCAAGAGTGGATCGAGTTTGCAAAGCTTGTAAATACAATTTTGTTGAAGATGAGTACCATTGTATTCTAATATGCAAATGTTACCAGATTCTGAGGGCAGAATTTATGCCAAGAAAATATTATGAATTTCCAACAAGGCAAAAGTTCAACTTTTTAATGTTATCTTTCCATCGAGCAACTGTACAAAGTCTTTCTTTGTTTATTGTTAAAGCCATGTATCTTAGACAATCATTGTTAAATACACAAATGTGATCCTCCAACTTCCACTGTACATTTTCCGTTTGTATCATGGGCCTATGGCCTACAATACACTTGAATAAAGGACCTAAATACTAAAAAGAGGCTGCCTTGCCACCAGTGGCAGTGAACACAAGGGTTATGGAGGAGCACATCAACTGTAAACCGAGGTTGGTATAATAATAACTAACACAAAGCCGTGAAAAACAAGTATTTATTATGTAAAATATACTGTGAATTAGATAATAAAATGCAATACATTACGTAGGGGGAAATGTCCGAGTAATTCTCCATATTCCTTTAAAATAATAGAGCAGAGGCCCATCATTTTAAAGGAATGGAGAGTTATGAGGATATTCCCCTACTTCAAACACTTCTCTACTCTTACACTTTGACAAACATTCTAAAGAGTCATAAAACATGCAGTGTAAACAGCACGTGACGAAGCACGTGACGGAGCATGTGACGAAGCACGTGCAGCAGCGGCCGAGAACACATGCAGCTCTCCATTCCCTAAAAATAATGTACCGCTCAACAATAGAATGACATCACAGATGTGTTTAATATACGTACAACAGATTCCGTCAAGAGTTGCTGAGCCTGCCAGGAATATCCGTCTCAATGTCACACACTGGTCAAATAATAGAATAAAACACTGCCATCCATTTATTAAAACAAGCATGTTATGTATTCATGATGATAATTTTGGCATGTTTAGACAGAGAATGTTTTCTGTTTCTAGGTGAGGACTAGCAACTGTGGGTATTTGGAGGGATAGCACAGACGGGAGACTTGTGGCTAGTGCTGGGGGTATCTCAACATTACGATGGGGAAGTCGAGTGTCAGTCAGAGGGACAGCACAGACGGGAGACTTGTGGCTAGTGCTGGGGGTATCTCAACATTACAATGGGGAAGTCGAGTGTCGGTCAGAGGGATAGCACAGACGGGAGACTTGTGGCTAGTGTTGGGAGTATCTCAACATTACGATGGGGAAGTCGAGTGTTGGTCAGAGGGATAGCACAGACGGGAGACTTGTGGCTAGTGCTGGGGGTATCTCAACATTACGATGGGGAAGTCGAGTGTTGGTCAGAGGGATAGCACAGACGGGAGACTTGTGGCTAGTGCTGGGGGTATCTCAACATTACGATGGGGAAGTCGAGTGTTGGTCAGAGGGATAGCACAGACGGGAGACTTGTGGCTAGTGCTGGGGGTATCTCAACATTACGATGGGGAAGTCGAGTGTCGGTCAGAGTTCATTCCATGATTAGTACACTTTTTAAACCTGCTGTCCTAAAAGCACTGATTTGCCTGTAAGACTGACGAAATAGTATAGCCATTAACTCTCACGACATATGGTTCAGGACAGCTCCCAAAGCAATCTCACCCACAGTACGACTCAAAACAAAGAATTTCACAAATATCAATAACACATTACAGGCAGGCCCTTAACATTCAGAAATCTCCCACTCTCATCAGTAATGGAATTCATACACACACAATGATATTTTGAGGTAGATTTCCTGCTGCACAACTCGGAACTTACAGATCTCCAGTGGTTAGATTCAGTATTCATGGTTGATTTCTTAGGTTATGCCTATTATGTTTTTGGGGTTAATAGTTTGAAAGTTTGCACAGTACATATATGTAAAATAATAATATTGAAAAAGTGGGGTGTTTGTCATAAATTATTGTCTTCCACATCCATACTAAGACTACCATAGGATAATATAGAAACAGAAACACTAGACGATGCTTGAGGATTGCTTTCCTTTAAAACTGTATAAACCTACCTCCCCTCTCACTCACTCACTCACTCACACTAACTCTCTCTCTCTCACACACACACACACACACACACACACACACACACACACACACACACACACACCACACCACACCACACCACACCACACCACACCACACAGGCTAAATTCTTCAAATATATGTTTGTCTGATCCAGTGGCAATATTCTTCACAAGTGGCACAGAAAATGTCCTGTCAGATCACAAGAAGATGTAGGAATAGAAAGAGCTGGAACAGAACAGGTAACAGATATTGAACCCAGTGGGGAAATGGTGTTATATTTTGCCGAGTCTGAACACAATGCAACATTGTTTGAAGCTACTATTACACAGAGTAAAACCTCTGGTTGAGGTCAGCTGAAAACATTCACTGAATATTACAATATGACAAATATTTACACGAGTACAAGGTGATGACGTACTCCATATCAGCATCCAAGTTGAAGTGAAGAATAATACACAAATCACAGTCATTGTGAGGTAAAAATACTAAGTGTAAATTAATTATGCAAATGGAAAACACTGCACATTGATGGTTGACGAGAACCCCCAATGAGAAAGGTGAAGTGAGTGAGTGAGTGAGTTGGGTTTAACGCCGCTTTTAACATTATTCCAGTCATATCACGGCGTGTCAGCTTAATGTGGGAGGAAAGCCCGAAGTGATGCAGGTCTCAGACGTTTACCACTTCGGTGAAACCCACGAGCACGGGTATGGTGCTGACAAACCTAGAAACATAATTGGGGCGAACCGGGATTCGAACCCACAATCATAGGTTTCTGGCGTGCCCAAGGGACGCAACTCTGCACAGCGAATCGCGGCGCCTTAGACGACTGGGCCACCCGTGCCCCTGAAAGGTGAAGTGACAAGTCATAGATATGGTGACAACATTAGCCTGATGTAAGTCTACTGACACTGAGCCAAAATCAACTTGAGGCAAAGCCAAGCATTCTTATCTGTTTTGCAGTACCTTGCGTCTTCTCAACTCAACTTTTGATAGGGATATTACATTTTTCCCATGATGCTCCAAAACAGCGAAAGAATGAGTGAGGAAGATATGTAGACAATATGAAATGTCTTAGGTATCCCTACCACAAGTTGAGTAGTATAGACCTTGTTTCATGTACATTTATCTTGATACACACATACTCCAGACAATAAACAGATTTCTCACAGGACAAGTGCCCAAAGCCATGCTACAATGTTATACAATGTTGTCAGGACTTGATTTCTGTAACATGTAATATAATCCATTGTCATACCTCCATGTCGGAATGATGAGATCTGATTGGTCAAGGAGATCTGATTGGTCAAAGTGATCTTGATAACATACTATCTATCCCACCTCGGAAGAAAATAGATTTCTCAGCGGGGGAATAAATCTCTTATACCCCTCCACGAGCAAGTCAGGTTGTACGTGGATTTCTGAGAGGCAGAATAAATCCCTTATACCCCGCTTCGAAGCAAAAAGGCACACGCTTTTTCCAAGTCAATGAAAGTCAAGTGACATAGCACAAGATAACCTCCACTCAACTGACCAGCTGTTTTCTATCAATTTTGAATTTTTTAACTTCTTTTACAGTGTCATATTAAAACATGTTGGTACATGGGGTTTTATGCGTGATATAAAACCTAACGCGGGACGCATAAACCCCCATGTAACCCTTGTAACCCTGCTACAACTGATATTGTATACCTTGAACTACCAAGACGGCCAAGCAGCAATATGTGCACCAATATTTGCTATAAAACCTAGGCTCGTGACAATAACTGAAGACATAAACTTATTGATAATCATAGATCGCTGTGATCTTTAAAATTAAAATCAATATATCTCCTGTTATTTTAAAAAACGATTAGATGTTTGTATTCCTTGGTTTATGGATGTTTCTGGTCGGGAGGTGGGGAAAAATGGACATGATAAAGTTACATTCTCAAAAAAATTTTAAGAACACAAAACAGTTCTTCAAAAATATTTTAAAAAAGACTATTTCTCACCGTTTTTCACTTTTTCAGGGTCGGCGTATAAACAAAGGATATAAAATGGACATGCCCTGCCTAAGTGTACAATAACACACACCACTGAACATGCGGTCACAACTCTTCGTATACTGAACTTAATCTGGTGATTCTGAACATGCATTTTCATGAATCTGTCTTGATATACAACTAGTAAACATAGATTTAAATAATCAGATTTTATGTTTTATTACACAAGAGACAATAAATACCCTTACCGTTTTGAAAGAGTCATATTTGTTTATAATCCATGTAGCCCTACAACCATAACAACATATTCTTGAAGGAGATTGGAATGTCATTATTCCATATCAGCCTAGAATAAACACTGCAGGAAATAAATGGTAATACCCACTCCAGCACCTAAACAATCCCCATAGACTAGTGTTGTTTTTTCCTCAAAACACTACGGCTTTCATACAAAACCCCTTTCATAACATACTGCTTCTGTAATATACTGCTTTCATATCAAACTGCTTCCACAATTAACTGCTTCCATTACTTTACTGCTTCCATAAAAAAATTGCTACCATAACATACTACTTCCATAACATACTACTTCCATAACATACTGCTTCCGTAACATACTGCTTCCATAACATACTGCTTCCATAACATACTGCTTCCGTAACATACTGCTTCCATAATACACAACAGCACAATGTTTATCTGCTAACACAACAACCGATAGCCCAGAATAAACGGTTATCAATGGAATTTCTTCAACAACTATAAATAAACAACAATGACAATAAAACCAATACTAAGATAAATACCAACATTTCCAAAGAAATACAGTGATCCCTCGACTTAACGCTCCTTGATGTACCGCTACTCCGGATGCACTGCAGGGTAAACCTTGGCTCCCAAAAATGCATTAAGAATTTCCCCCTAAAAGCGCGTTAAAGCAACAAGTTACAAATAAACTGATGAGATTTAATTCCAAGTCGAATTACACGTGTGAGGGGGGTGAGAGAGGGTGAATCGCAAGGTAGCGTCAGCCGTTCAACTGGGATTCCAGCAGGGACCATACATGGATGGCTAAAAGAAGAAAAAAACTTCAAGATCTTGCATTTGAGACCCAGGAGATTGGGGGATTGCAGAAGAAGCGAAATAAAGGGGCAACTGACTCTGCACTGGATGCAGCGCTGTTTGAGTGGTTCACGCAAAGCAGAAATGGTGGCATACCACTATCTGGCGAGATAGTGAAAATGCAAGCTCAGAAACTGTCCCAAGATATTCATGGCCCTGACGACACATTCAAGGCCAGCGCAGGCTGGTTGTGGAGATTCCAAAAACGACATGGTATTAAGTCGTTTACAGTGACCGGGGAGCGGAGATCGGCTGACGACGACGCTGCTAACACGTTTCCCGCCATCCTAAGAGAGCTGATCAAGTCCGAGGGGTATGACGTAGAGCAGATTTACAACTTGTGATGAGACCGGCCTGTACTACAAGCTGTTGCCAGACAAGACCCTAGGCACGAAGAAAGACAAGCAGACTGGATTCAAGTCCGCCAAGCAACGGGTGACAGTTTTGCTGACGTGCAACAAGCCTGGGACTCACAAGTTGAAGCCTTTGGTGATCGGCAGTGCCCAGAATGCCAGGTGCTTTCATCACGTAAACAGAGAAACACTGCCCGCACACTACAGCGTCTCTGCAAATGCGTGGATGACAGCCAAGATTTTTTAAGATTGTTTTTTTCGCAAGTTTGTTCCAGCTGTCCATGACCATCTCCGATCACGGAAGTTGGAGGAGAAAGCCATCCTCCTATTGGATAACTGCCCCGCTCATCCCCCAGCAAGTACTTTGCAGTCGCATGATGGACTCATAAAGGCATTCTTATTGCTTAAAAACACAACCTCCCTTATTCAACCGCTCGACCAAGAGATAATAAAAGCATGCAAGGCACATTATCGGAGATTCCTAGTGAATGCGTTGGTGGAAAGAGGATTGGACCCCGTTGCGTTCCTGCAGACAGTCACAGTGAAGAATGCTGTTCTTCACACAGACAAAGCCTGGATGAAGGTGACGCCAGCCACCATCAACAACTGCTGGATGAAGGGCCTTGGGCCAGCATTCGGGGTTGATGATATCGTGGGGTTTCAAGAAGAAGATGTCATCGATGCTGACTAAGCGACTATGCTAAGGAGAACAGCATCGATGTATCCCCAAAGACGGCCACGATGTGTAACGGGTGCGACGACGACCTGCCAATTGCCGAACTTCTGAATGATCAAGAGTTGGTTGCCGCAGCTATGCCCGTCGAAATCATTGATGATGAAGAGTATGAAAACAGTGACAGTGAAAACAGTGTTCAGCCAATGGCAATCTCCGTTCGAGATGACATTAATGGGGCTGAGCATTTATTGCGGCACTTAGAAAAAGTGACAGATACAAACAACTCCACATAATGCAAGTTCGCTGCATACTGTCACAACTGAGAACAGAGGAATGTGACAGTCAGAAACAAACGAATCAGTGACTTTTTTAGTAAATATAAATGTGTTCATTACCTCATGTACACGCACCGGTTGCATCGTTCGAAAGTTTCAACGCAACATTTTCCCTGTGTATAATTATCATTGATAATAGAACAAGCTATATCTCTCATCCACTCAAATCTACGTTTGTGTTTGTTTGATTTTTATAAATTGCTCAAATAACCGTGTAGTTACACACGTCCATGTACATAAAGTGCATACAGGGAGCCGTCTGTGTCCGGGTTTTTCATAACTTTGACACGTCATTATTTATTAACCAATCACAGCCTTGGTCGCACATTAGTTTCGTTACAAGGCTTGTTCGGCTTTGTAATGTACTGTCATCAATCGATAATGTGAGTAGGTCGGCGATTGGACTTATTTTCTTCCGAATATAACGACACTTATTTAGATTCTACATGTATAACATCCGGTCGTAAAATAATACACTCTACTTTGATTAATTTACACAAATTATTTTTATTTTTTAACTCATGCATTTTGAATCATCGTCCACGATCAGTGTTACATAGATTTACATGTCCCATGCCACTGTGAAATAATTGCGCCACTGTTCCATTCACTACCATCATTACAGAATGTGAACCTCAGCAATGAATATCTGTACAACGCTCTTTCCTGGAACGCGGGGTCAGTTTCTTGGACCCAGATGACAGCGGTATATCGAGGGATCACTGTACAACAAATGATATTTCCATATCGATGGACTTACACACTGCCACATACAGCTATACTAGATGCACCCATAATTCCATTTATCAGAACGCCTATTTTGAATCTTGAATAAGCACAAAATAGTATTTCAATGTACATACTACATGCCCATGTCCCAGCCGTAGAAACTAACAACAGTCCACTTGTCCTTATAATGATAACATAGAGCAAAACCATTAAAAATGGCAAATGTCTACTAGTCCTTATGATACCTTAACTACTGGGCAGTTTGATAACGACTACAGGACTAGTGCCAATTTCTAACGATGTGTCCCCAGTGTGTTGTGATCAAAGTCAACGATGTCCATGTTCCCTGTGTGTTGTGATCAAAGTCAACGATGTCCATGTTCCCTGTGTGTTGTGATCAAAGTCAACGATGTCCATGTTCCCTGTGTGTTGTGATCAAAGTCAACGATGTCCATGTTCCCTGTGTGTTGTGATCAAAGGCAATATGACATGTAGAAAAGTGTGGTCCCTACTACTCCTGGAATATTGCAGTCGACAGAGTTCACTTGTGATGCTAATGGTAGATGTACACTCATCACTTTCATTTAACAACATATGAAGGTCTATCATACAAATTATTTGTATAATCCCCGATTATTCTGGTTCATAGGCCAGCACTGGAGCCAGCCATCTCTCCACCTCTCTCACATCCGTCTTCTTCCTCTCAGCGTAGTCTTGCACCTGGAGGAAGAAAGATCACAGACATTGTCAGCATCACATGAACCATGACACCACTGTTTACATACTGCCGTCACACCACCAACTGCCGTCACTCCCCCATCTGCCGTCACTCCCCCAACTGCCATCACTCCCCCAACCCCAACTGCCGTCACTCCCCCAACTGCCGTCACTCCCCCAACTGCCGTCACTCCCCCAACCCCAACTGCCGTCACTCCCCCAACTGCCGTCACTCCCCCAACTGCCGTCACTCCCCCAACTGCCGTCACTCCCCCAACTGCCATCACTCCCCCAACCCCAACTGCCGTGACTCCCCCAACTGCCGTTACTCCCCCAACTGCCATCACTCCCCCAACCCCAACTGCCGTCACTCCCCCAACTGCCGTCACTCCCCCAACTGCCGTCACTCCCCCAACTGCCGTCACTCCCCCAACTGCCATCACTCCCCCAACTGCCATCACTCCCCCAACCCCAACTGCCGTCACTCCCCCAACTGCCGTCACTCCCCCAACTGCCGTCACTCCCCCAACTGCCATCACTCCCCCAACCCCAACTGCCGTGACTCCCCCAACTGCCGTTACTCCCCCAACTGCCATCACTCCCCCAACCCCAACTGCCGTCACTCCCCCAACTGCCGTCACTCCCCCAACTGCCGTCACTCCCCCAACTGCCATCACTCCCCCAACCCCAACTGCCGTGACTCCCCCAACTGCCGTTACTCCCCCAACTGCCATCACTCCCCCAACCCCAACTGCCGTCACTCCCCCAACAGCTGTCACTCCCCCAACTGCCATCACTCCCCCAACCCCAACTGCCGTCGCTCCCCCAACTGCCGTCACTCCCCCAACTGCCGTCATTCCCCCAACCCCAACTGCCGTCGCTCCCCCATCTGCCGTCACTCCCCCAACCCCAACTGCCGTCGCTCCCCCAACTGCCGTCACTCCCCCAACTGCCGTCGCTCCCCCAACTGCCGTCACTGCCCCAACTGCCATCACTCCCCCAACCCCAACTGCCATCACTCCCCCAACTGCCGTCACTCCCCCAACTGCCGTCACTCCCCCAACTGCCATCACTCCAACTGCCATCACTCCAACTGCCGTCACTCCAACTGCCGTCACTCCCCCACCTTCCATCACTCCCCTAACTGCCGTCACTCCAACTGCCATCACTCCAACTGCCATCACTCCAACTGCCATCACTCCCCCAACTGCCATCACTCCAACTGCCATCACTCCAACTGCCATTACTCCAACTGCCATCACTCCAACTGCCATCACTCCCCCAACTGCCATCACTCCAACTGCCGTCACTCCCCCACCTTCCATCACTCCCCTAACTGCCGTCACTCCAACTGCCATCACTCCAACTGCCATCACTCCAACTGCCATCACTCCCCCAACTGCCATCACTCCAACTGCCATCACTCCCCCAACTGCCGTCACTCCAACTGCCATCACTCCAACTGCCATCACTCCCCCAACTGCCGTCACTCCCCCAACTGCCATCACTCCCCCAACTGCCGTCACTCCCCCAACTGCCATCACTCCAACTGCCATCACTCCAACTGCCGTCACTCCAACTGCCGTCACTCCCCCACCTTCCATCACTCCCCTAACTGCCGTCACTCCAACTGCCATCACTCCAACTGCCATCACTCCAACTGCCATCACTCCCCCAACTGCCATCACTCCAACTGCCATCACTCCAACTGCCATTACTCCAACTGCCATCACTCCAACTGCCATCACTCCCCCAACTGCCATCACTCCAACTGCCGTCACTCCCCCACCTTCCATCACTCCCCTAACTGCCGTCACTCCAACTGCCATCACTCCAACTGCCATCACTCCAACTGCCATCACTCCCCCAACTGCCATCACTCCAACTGCCATCACTCCCCCAACTGCCGTCACTCCAACTGCCATCACTCCAACTGCCATCACTCCCCCAACTGCCGTCACTCCCCCAACTGCCATCACTCCCCCAACTGCCGTCACTCCCCCAACTGCCATCACTCCCCCAACTGCCGTCACTCCCCCAACTGCCGTCACTCCAACTGCCATCACTCCAACTGCCATCACTCCCCCAACTGCCATCACTCCAACTGCCATCACTCCAACTGCCATCACTCCCACAACTGCCATCACTCCCCCAACTGCCGTCACTCCAACTGCCATCACTCCAACTGCCATCACTCCCCCAACTGCCATCACTCCAACTGCCATCACTCCAACTGCCATTACTACAACTGCCGTCACACCTCCAACTGCTATCACTCCAACTGCCATCACTACAACTGCCATCACTACAACTGCTGTCACTCCCCCATCTGCCATCACTCGATCTGCCATCACTCCAACTGCCATCACTCCAACTGCCATCACTACAACTGCTGTCACTCCCCCAACTGCCATCACTCCCCCATCTGCCATCAATCCATCTGCCATCACTCCAACTGCCATCACTCCAACTGCCATCACTCCAACTGCCATCACTACAACTGCTGTCACTCCCCCAACTGCTGTCACTCCCCCATCTGCCATCACTTCCCCATCTGCCGTCACTCCAACTGCCATCACTCCAACTGCCATCACTCCAACTGCCATCACTCCCACAACTGCCATCACTCCCCCAACTGCCGTCACTCCAACTGCCATTACTACAACTGCCATCACTACAACTGCTGTCACTCCCCCAACTGCTGTCACTCCCCCATCTGCCATCACTCCCCCAACTGCCATCACTCCCCCAACTGCCATCACTCCCACAACTGCCATCACTCCCCCAACTGCCGTCACTCCAACTGCCATCACTCCAACTGCCATCACTCCCCAACTGCCATCACTCCAACTGCCATCACTCCAACTGCCATCACTCCAACTGCCATCACTCCCCAACTGCCATCACTCCAACTGCCATCACTCCAACTGCCATCACTCCAACTGCCATCACTCCCCAACTGCCATCACTCCCCCAACTGCCATCACTCCCACAACTGCCATCACTCCAACTGCCATCACTCCCACAACTGCTGTCACTCTCCCATCTGCCATCACTCCCCAGACTGCCATCACTCCACCAACTGCCATCACTCCACCAACTGCCATCACTCCAACTGCCATCACTCCATCTGCCATCACTCCACCAACTGCTGTCACTCTCCCATCTGCCATCACTCCCCAGACTGCCATCACTCCCACAACTGCTGTCACTCCAACTGCCGTCACTCCCCTGTCACTCCACTAACTGCTGTCACTCTCATTCAATTCAGATGAATCCGAACTGAGTAGTATTCTGAGGCTTACCTGTTCTTTGTCCACCTTGCCCACAGCGAAGTAGGAGGAGCATGGGTTGGCAAAGTACAGGCCGGAAACCGAGGCCGCCGGGTCCATGGCTAGCGACTCGGTCAGCTTGATGCCAACGGAATCCGCGTCCAGCAGCCGCCACATTGTCTGCTTCTCTGTGTGGTCAGGCTGGCTCGGGTAGCCTGGAGCGGGCCGAATACCCTGGAAGTCAGGTGCAAATAGTGTTGGTGTTAATATCCATGGAGTTGCAGCTTATGGCGTTGGCTAATCACTCCTTGGTGGCAATCTGTTGTGAAATCTGTTTAGCTCGTGTGAAAGTGACAGGTGTCACTCATACCTTATTAACACGACTGCCACCAGTCAATGGGACTTTTTTTATGTCACATGACCTTACAAGGTTTGTTGTCACGTGATTACAAAATGGCTTCACAGCTTCTTATAATGCTGATCAAACTGATTGAAATAAATTGTAAAAAACACAGTATACAGTTGACCCAATCTCATTAAAATCACATCTAAGTACTCACTGCCACTAAACAAAGATCTGAGGACATCCCATTACGGGTCAATTCAGAACAACCTTTCGCGAACTTTAACCAACCACTGAAACAACTAACAAGAAGTCGACATCAGCCAATTAGAAAGCAGCTTTATCGAGCTTTACGGCACTCGTTTCAGCATGGCGACTTCCTTTTCAGACTACTCTTGAAAAATATGTTGACACAGTTCTCGATTAAAATTTTGAAAATTGAACAAACGAACATTCTGGAATGTCTAATATATGGTTGCGATTGTATGACAGTGCTTCCCACGTTCTGTGCAACACCTCCTCCGTTCAAATGTTTATCCCACGGAAGCGAGAGATTTCAGTTAGATTCAGTCGTATGGGCCGTTAATGTCTTCCGGAATACGCTGTGTTAATTTTTTCGAGGTTGCATGATTAGAAAACACATTCCGACTGTCACTTTCATGATCTGGTAATTGAAGCTTTGATTGGTCGTTCTGACGTGACCCGTAATTGGATGTCTTCAGATCTTTGTTTAGCGATAGCAAGAACTAAGATCTCATTTTAATGAGATTGACAGGTGACCAGTCCTTGCTAAATTCCTTCCACTCTCTGGGCAAGTGCTCTATCTGCTAGACCATAATGGTTGTCCATATGTGTATGAGACACATACAACTTGACCATGCATCCCTGAGGGGTATTGATATTAACATGACAAATGACTTAAGAGAAAAGAGATATTGTACACATCATAATCCAGAGAACACTATCAGCTTGAGTCCAGTTCAACAAACCAGGCCCGGTACATCAATATGTTCATGTTCAAAAGCTGAAAGTATACCTGATATTTGATTTTATGAAGATCTTGAGCACACATGCTCTCGTCAGTACAGTAGCCCCAGAACTCCTTTCGTACACGCTCATGCATCTCCTCCGCGTAGGCCTGAAACAGAATTATCAAACTCAGGATTCATTCTCAGTCATGTTGAGTCAGCACTGCTCATCCACTATATCTCCATGGCTCCTATTTCAGTAAACCTACCCAAACCCCTGGATCCATTCTCGTGGTTCTCTTGATCTCCGGGGGTCACGGGTGGCCCAGGCGTCTAAGGCGCCACGATTCGCTGTGCAGAGTTGCATCCCTTTGGCATGCCAGAAACCTATGATTGTGGGTTCGAATCCCGGTTCGCCCCAATTATGTTTCTAGGTTTGTCAGCACCATACCCATGCTCGTGGGTTTCACCGAAGTGGTAAACGTCTGAGACCTGCATCACTTCGGGCTTTCCTCCCACATTAAGCTGACACGCCGCGATATAACTGGAATACTGTTAAAAGTGGCGTTAAACCCAACTCACTCACTTGATCTCAAATAACCTGCCCTTGATTTTCCTTAACATTTTGCTGACCAATCAAACATTGAGATAAGGCTTTCCATTAAAAAGTATTTTGAAGGCATGTCTGTTCTAAACTGCTGAATTTCTCACAAACTTCATCATTATCAATGCGACTGATTGCTATGTTGTCGATATCACCAACCCAACATTGACGCTGGTTCGTAACTCGCTTTCTGATTGGTCTGTTAGAATGATTGACTAGCGGCGTAGCAAATCAAATTGGCTAATGAAAATCAAGGGTGGTAATTTGAGATTGCAAATGGATCCAGGGATAAGTGTAGGTTTACTGAATGTGTGCCTCGGGATTATAAAGAATGGAGTGAGCTCTGCGCCAGGTGAATAGTAAATAAATAAAACCTCAAGAGTCCAGAACTTGAGTGAGGAAATTCATCATACAGATTTTCTAGTAGGTTATACATCATTTAACCCATTGTCATTTCAACAACAATGAACAGTGGATGATGTTACAACAAATCATATTTCAGAACTTCAAAAACTGGGATTCAATCATATTTCAGAACTTCAAAAACTGGGATTCAATCATGTTTCAGAACTTCAAAAACTGGGATTCAATCATATTTCACAACTAAAAAAACTGGGATTCAATTTTTATGAAAAAAATCTGACCTCTGCCAGTCTGTCTGCAAGTGCCTTTGCCATGATGATGCTGTAGTCATCATACTGCGCCGTGAACCTGAGGAACGACAAACAATGACTTGATGTAGCTGTGCTTCAAATTCAATTAAGAACTGTTTTCAATATGTTTGGCGTTAATGGAATAATAAACTTAAAAACTTGTGCATAATGTGTAAATCTGTGTTTGGAATTACACAAAGTCATTTTATAAATATAACTCCAGAAACACAAAAACATATTGAAGTCAATTCTTATAATTAAATATGTCATCAATGATAACTTGACAGACTGGTTATTTTATCATTAACACAAAACTGCAGACAATGATACGAAATCAGTGACATTATTCAGCACAATAATGCTACACAACCCCCGCCCATTCTATTGCCTAGATCGTGTTAGGTAGGCAGAGCATGTATACTGTTTTGTTGGTCATCTACCACCTACGACTCGACCTTCGTTAAACCGCTGATCATCTATAACGCTCATCAATTATTTGGACCCAGAAGGTAGCGTTGGGATCACTGTATAAGGGAATGGAAACATGAAAACAAAAAATATAGGCTTGTTTAGCCAATCAAATGCCACAGAATCAGTTGCTATTTAACAATTCACTTTTACCGGATGAGAACACAAAGGCTGTACCGTCAAGCTCATTCTAAGACATGAAATACCAGGCTCAAAAACCTCAGGCAGTCAGAACTCTATGTTTTCAATGCATAGAATTAAATCTATCATAAACCTCCCCCGCTTTTGCCTATTGTATTGCAGGTATCTGCCTTTCCCATAGTAACCTTGTGAGAGGTACCACAAGTGCTTCCAAGCGAGTCCTGCTGAGGACTTACTTTTGAATTGTAAGGCCTGTTTGAAGGTTTTAAACTTAAATTGTATAAACAACCTATTAATATGCATCTATTTTTCATTTTTGATTGGTTAAAAGTCACAAACGTTTTTCACATGAAAATTCCATGACGTGAATCGAACCTGCAACCTCACATATCACGTTTAGTATTGGAGCCCACTGTGTTTCAACAGAGCAACCAGGGCAGGAGATAAAAGGGTGTTCAATCTTACATATTATGACTTCAGTTGTGTGCATGCTGCATGAAGTTTTTCCCGCATCCACTGCTGTCATTGAATTTGTTATCCCAACATTTTTTATTCTTTCATTATTCATTGATGGTATTTCTTGCATTAAGATGATTCCAAAGTTGTAAAAAAGCCCTTAGGCTTTTTCCTCGCTTGCTGTTTTACATTTTCAACCAAAAACTCAGAGTTGCGTTTTAACTATTACCTAATAACTGCATAAGCACAAAAAGGTACTGATTTATGTTGAACAGTGATTAAATATGGTTATTGATAAAGGCTACGGTAACACCTACTGCTGACACATCTCAGTCGTGCCGAAGCCTGTTGACACAGCAAACAGACCGATGTAGTCCTCCACACCGCTCGTCTTGGGAGCCACAAAGTCAGAAAGACACAGGTAAGGGTCTGTCGCCTGGGGCTCTTTCTCGGCCTGATTGTCAAACATTAATATATCAGAAACATATCAATATACATGTATTTCATTATTTGTAACAATGAGGTTATCAATGTTGAAACAGTATGACACCAAAGACAAGATTACATGTTATTATCTCTCACATCATCTTTCATCATTTTAAACATGATGTTGTTGTTTTTTTAAAGTTCACTTTGTTGGTTGTTTCGAATCCCGGATAACTCAAACCTTTTCCTGGTCCTGGGTTTGACACAAGGTTTGACTGTGCATATAAATCTCAAATTATATCCACTGACACAAAAATCCTTTTTAGTTTTGTTTTTTTCAAAGACTGATTTCCCACTGTATTATTTTCCCCTCTACATGTCCTTAGTTTAAACACATATTGCACCAATCACTCCCAACTGTATTCTGTGGTTGCGGAAATGTCCACTTGATGCAGAAATGTACCTGTCTTGCAGAATATCACTTTTTGTGCAGAACTCACACAGAATTTTGTATTTGCTGGCTACAGAATTTGTCAAATATACTGGTGAATCTTAACATGTGAGTTGAAAGATGGTTTTAAATGTGTAAACATTTAAGGAAAAAACAATTTATAAATGATATGTATGTTTACACAAGTGATTTACTTCAATAAGCTATTCTAGACTTTACTTCTTTGATAGGCATTTAGAAGTTGGAGTACTAAGTAAGGAAAGGATTTATGGATGAACAACTTCTTTATTACAAATAGGAGTGACGTTTCGGTGTAGGTACAAACACCATTATCTACAAGCACTTGCTTGATAACGGTGTTGGTACCTACACCCAAACGACACTCTTAATTGTAATAAAGAAGCTGTTCATCAATAAATCTTATTCAAGACATGGACAAGTTTATCACAGAAATGCCTGCCATATGTCAAACAGGTGCAAAACTATGAAATTCAAGAAAACTAAAGCTTAAAAGTTTGCAGAATTGTGTGTACAATCATAAAATATTGGATGCAAAATAGACAATAACTGACCACAGAATTCTGAGTTTTTGGCCAAAGAAAACCGTGGGGACTGACCAAAATTGGTCTACATAAGAGGTTTTTCTGCTTAATAGGTTTCTAAATGGTGAGAATGGTTTGCCTGTATTATTTTGACACTCCTGTGACTAATACTCCCGCTACATCATCAGTTTATTCTTTCCCAGAATCCCAACAGGGAACATATTGTCACAATTACATTCTACACTGATACAGGGTCAAAGAGGAATACTTTATAGCAGTAAGTTCCAGCCATATTGTGTCACCTGTTGTCTCAGTCCATACAGCGTCTCTATCTTCTCTCCATTGTCATCATACACCTCAATGTCGTCCCGGACACTGTTGGCTCTGTAGAAAGCAATCACTCCACTGGCTTTGAGCTTCTTCTCCTTCACAATCTTCTCCAACATCGTCTGTGCCGCATCGAACACCTCCTTGGCTTGCCCACCTGGAACACAAACACAGAAACTGCATCCATCAGCCCAAGCCGTGAACATGTTGAAAGTGGAAAATTAGTAGTTTGGTTCACATTATGAAGGCACACTTTGGCACAATGATGGCACAATGATGGCACAATAATGACACAACATTACACCACTGCCAAGGGCTATTTTGCATATCACGTTACCAGACTGTATCTTGGGACACAGTATATTATTGTCTGCACCAATTTTCTACATTTGTTTGCACAAGAAGCATACTGGTGATTCACATAAAACCCTCATTATCCATGTAGGGAATCAAAGCCATGCCGTTGGTGTGGTGACCAGGCTATCCCTCCCCCACTCTTCTGTAAAGTAAATCTAGTAATTACAGTCTGACTTCAACAGAGCCATATTCTTACCAACTTCCTTATCATTGAAGATCTTGGGGTATCCTCTGTTGGGGTATTTGCCTCGGAGCTGCCAGACATCAAAGAAGGGCTTCCAGTCGATGTAGGGCAGCAACCGGGACAAGTCATAGTCTTCAAACTTCTTTACTCCAAAGAAGGTTGGCTGAACTGAAATACATTCAAATAGAATTGAAGGAGCTATGTGGCAGTAGAGATTGCCGTAAGTTTATTTGTAGTGATTGTCAGCTGCAGCTAATAATTGAGATGCTAGTAAATTGTTGAGTGCTGTCAGTAGCAGCAAGTGAGTGGAAGATAGAGTTACTTCCCCTGATTGTTTACAAACACGACAGACATGATCATTCAAGAAGTTTTGGGATGGGACAGTTTCTAGAAGGCTGGCTGTACCTTTGAAAGAGAAACAAGAGGACTCTATGAGCTTCACTTTAATACATCCATTCTATTCTCATAAATCATGATTCTTAGCTGTTTCCAACTTCTCTATCCACACTTCAGAGGTGCTGTGACTTACTTGGTTTAGTGTCTGCCACCCAGTCCATGTTCATGCCCTTGTCCTGGGCCGTGCTCAGCTTCAGGAACCTCCTCTCCTGGCAATAGACCAACCACAAGTCAGGAAGGAGAACAATGTACTCTTGTCTAAACATAAGATTCATCACTGGCATGGCATCCCACCTTCAGAGAGTCATAGTGCTCTATTCGGATATGACACCCTACCGCTCTGTTCAGATGACTCCCCACCTTCAGAGAGTCATAGTGCTCCGTTCGGATGACTTCCCACCTTCAGAGAGTCATAGTGCTCTGTTCGGATGACTTCCCACCGTCAGAGAGTCATAGTGCTCTGTTCGGATGACTTCCTACCTTCAGAGAGTCATAGTGCTCTATTCGGATGAGTGAGTGAGTATGTTTTTTACCCTGCTTTTAGCAATATTCCACCAATATCACGGCGGGGGACACCAGAAATGGGCTTCACACATTGTACTAATGTTGGGAATTGAACGAGGGTTTTTGGCGTGACGAGTGAACGCTTTAACATCTAGGCTACCCAACCGCCCCCTGTTCGGATGACTTCCTACCTTCAGAGAGTCATAGTGCTCTGTTCGGATGACTTCCTACCTTCAGAGAGTCATAGTGCTCTGTTCGGATGACTTCCTACCTTCAGAGAGTCATAGTGCTCTGTTCGGATGACTTCCTACCTTCAGAGAGTCATAGTGCTCTGTTCGGATGACTTCCTACCTTCAGAGAGTCATAGTGCTCTGTTCGGATGACTTCCTACCTTCAGAGAGTCATAGTGCTCTGTTCGGATGACTTCCTACCTTCAGAGAGTCATAGTGCTCTGTTCGGATGACTTCTCACCTTCAGAGAGTCATAGTGCTCTGTTCGGATGACTTCTCACCTTCAGAGAGTCATAGTGCTCTGTTCGGATCTCCTCGTACTCCTCACTGATGTCTTCAGTATATTCTTCAAATGCTGTCTGATCCATCAGCGCTGAGCACTGAAACACACAGGTTTGTTCATGTAAAGTCTCCACCAACAACACCCCAATCTGTGACAATACTTGCCAAACTTCAGCCTCATCAGAAACAGAACTAAATCTCAATGTGACATACACCTCAACTACCAGGGTACGTCACTGCTGCGTTGTTCAGGCATGAAACACCAACTGATTACGAACAATGATCTCGGATACAAGAGTATGACGTTATTGTACAGACACCTACCACCACCACACTCTTAGAGGCATCCAACACGTGGATGGTGGGCTGCTTGTAGCGAGGGGCAATCTTTACAGCTGTGTGTTGTCTGAAAGAAATCAATATATTATCATTAGTGAAAACATAATTAGAATAAGCAGCCTTGGAAGACACAAACCAGTGTCAGAAATAACTGCCTGTCCGTCTGCCTGTAGCAGGTAACTTTTCTGTCAGGTTGCATGAAATTTTCTCCACCTGCCCGACTGTCTAGCAGATAATTTTAAGTCTACTTACATTTTCAGTTTTATTTTAACTCCTCGTAGAGCTTCAAGTAATTGTTTGCATTATTTCAACTGAATCACGACATGATTTGTCTCTTATTTTCAATATTTAAAATGTCTGAATGCGGGCAGGTAATTTTGAAAATGGGCATGCAACATTTATGGGTCACCCGCCCAACTGTCATGCTTTAATATTATTTCAAACACTGACACAAACGCATCATCATACAGAACCAGTTAGGCTACATGTTGGTAACGTAGGTCTGTTTCTCTGAATTAAGTAATGTGTGAAAGATTCCAACATGCAAAGATGGCATTCTACCATTTGTTCCATTGCGATACTATTTGCTTATTCTACTTTCAAGTCAGTTTTCAACGTTGAATCCAACCTTAATCAAATTGATATGATCATCTTTAGACAAGCTCTCACAAAGCTCAGATGCTCCTGTCAAAATCTTATGATTGAAATTGGACGACATCGCAATATTGATCAAGAAAACTGACGGTGTGACCGCAGCTTACATTTTGGACAAAGTTACAGAGAAAACGAGAACCATTTTCTGCTTGAATGCGATGCCTATTCACAACTAAGGACAAACTATCTGCCATCTAAATATTTTGTTAATCCCACTTATAACGAATTTATGGATATTATCAGCTCCATCAAAGTCTACAAATACAGCCCTGTCGAAATATAATATGTAACGGCATCTCTTGCATTAACATAATCTCTTTCCATGTATGACTTTAACATACTATTATTACAGAGCTCCAGATAAGTTTTTGGTGTTGTGGGTATTTTACCCATGCATTTTAAAATCATTGGGTATCAGTAATTCTATCTGGGTATTCAAATTTCTGTAACCCACTAGTTTTTACACATGTGGGTATTTAAGTTAAATATTTAACAACACTATTCTAGATGAATAGTGTTGTTAAATATTTAACTTAAATACCCCTGCAAACTGGTGTCATGTGGGTTAGAGAGCTTTATAGGACTCACAAATGCCACGGTACTTCCACAAGAAAGTGTGATGGCAAATGATCATGATGTAACTGTCATCGTGGAGTTTGGCAACGTTGATGGAATGCCCGGTTATAATTTCAAAATAAGTTGCTGATTCGCTAATCGAATACGCAGGGTTACTTCACAATATTTTGATGATACACACAAGTTTTATTTTTGTAGCGTATCTGTAATGTTCCTTGCGTATTTGATACGCTTGCATTTTATTTTTCTGCATATTTTTGCATTTCTAATATGTGCAATCATATTGTTTTGTGTTGTTTTATATACACCTCTTTGTACATCATGTTATGCATGAAAGAAATATGTATGTTGACCAGTTGGACTATGTGTTACAACACATGTCAGAAACAGTCAATGTGTCACTTGACACAAAACATTACACTAAAACATTACACTGCAATGTTATCACTTGAACAGAGAACCCACTTGGATGTGGTAGCGCCACCAATCAGAAGAGGAAGTTTCATCCCAATGCGGTCCATCTCCTTGGCAACATGAATCATTTCCTCCAATGATGGCGTGATCAAACCAGACAGCCCCACTATATCTGGAGTCGAGAATATTTCAACACTTAAAACCAAAAGACAAAAATATCAAGTTCGTCCTATTTGTGTCAAAACTACTGAATCATTGAAATTCCTACTTGTTTAAAACTTACTTCATAATCAATGTTAGCCAATCATATGACAGGATTTAATAAGTATGATGATTGATTGTTTGTTGTTTAACGCAGCACTCAGCAATATTCCAGCTATATGACGGCTACCTGTAAATAATCAAACCAGTCAATCCAGTGATTGCAACATGATCATCGATATAAACATTTGGGAAACTATGACATGCAACAACCAAGTCAGCAATCCTCACCACCTGATCCTGCCTCTTACAACAAGCATGGGTTGGTGAAGACCAATTCTAACCCGGATCTTCATGGGGCTTATATTGAGTATTAAGTCCCTGACATGATAGTGAACACATTGTTTAAAAAAATAAATAATTAAGCGGTGGTCAAATTCTTGGAGGTATCACATTTTGAAGCAATCTTGATCTTATTTACATCGGGTGTTTATTCTATGCATTATGATCAAACTACAAAGTAATTTCACCTGCTTTCTCCTGAATGGCCGTCTCTAGAATCTTCTCGCAAGGGGTCATCACACCCAGGTCGATCACTCTGAAAGAAGAAGAAATGGCTGTTACATATCAATATGATGGCTATAATAGGAAATCAGAGTATTCCCCTAATTTATATACTTATCATGACACAACAGAATGCACTATTCCTTTTGATTGATAAATAACAGCCAGGGACCCTAATTATAGACGCTAGGGATGATACGATCAAATTAAACCAAAGATTTACCCAATCGTAAATGGTGAATGGAGCAAAACATGACCGTTCACCACAGGCAATGAAGCAAAAAGTCTGAAGGTGTGTTCTGGTGATTACTTTGCATTGTTCCAGGGTTTGACCTTGACATACAGAACTGGGGGTCCAGGTGACCCTCAACAATTAATTTTAATATAAGGGTAACACTATTTTTCAGGGCATTATCATTTGCAGAAGCCCGAGGTCTTCCACGAACTGCCCAACAAAGGAGGGCAGTTGAAAAGACCGAGGGCTTCCGCAAATGAAAATGCCCTGAAAAATAGCATTACCATAATCATAGCTAAAATGGATGGAATTTGTCATCAAAAAAGAAGAAACAACAATATCGGTTATGAAACATTTACTGCAATCAACACGAATGTCACTGACCCACTTTTACAAATATGGAAACGTCATAGAACAAACCAGATGACGTCAGTATTGAATGTGACGTCACCTATCCCTATCCTATGACGTCACCTAACAACCGGTGTGATAACGGCCCATCGTCAAGCAATATGAGGGCATTATCAAGTTATTGAGTTCCCCTCGGGATGCAGTGTATTATATTTCTGCATCAATTCTCTTCACTTGTGTGTACTGGACACACACTGTGCGTCAGGTAAAACCCTGTTGTTCTACACTGGTATATGATTGAAGCAAGAAGGAATATTGCGCACTGGTGTGGAGGGATAAGTTACAAAAGTTGGCAACATGGTACTTGTGCTTCTTTCAAGTCATCCCTGCTTCAGGACAATGTGTAAAATTTAAAACTCAAGATTTTATATTTCTTTAAATGGAACAATATTTCACTTTCATTTGAGAAAAAAAATGGCAAATGCGTTGAGTCAATTTGATAAAAGACTATTTTAATCAAAGTCATCACGAGCAAGATGGGTGGACCTACTTGTAATTGTTGCAGCCAAGCACAACGCCAACAATGTTCTTCCCAATGTCGTGCACGTCCCCCTTCACAGTGGCCAGCACAACCGTCCCGACATATGCACTTGCCTACAACAAAAGGTATGTTATATTAAAGGGCAAGTACTCTCGGTTCTGGGTCTTTTTAAATCATGCTTGAAATAATATCCTCGTGTGACGTCACACCTTTAGTGCATGCACGATTTAATTCTCTACGAGTACAATAGAGATCCTCACAGTGAACCCGGCAACCAAGGAGCTGCACAGAATGAACTGGCTTCGGTCATATTTTTATTAGAGGCAAACTGAAGAGAAAGCTTGTGTGTTTTTCTTATGAATGAGTTACAAAATACTAATTGCCAGCTTGAAATGGATTAGAAGCCAGTGTTTATCGAAGCCTAGATTCGAATATATAAATGCCTCGGTCATATGAAGCCAGACATGTTGCAGAAACAAGGACGGGGTTTTCCCCGGAATAAAGCGGTACTTGACCTGCTGATGAGGCTACTCCGGCTGTGTGGTCACAGGAGCAGAAATGTCTCTCGTGGAATAAGCCAGGGGGTTATTGGCTATTGTTTGCAAACAATGGACGACATACCGGTACTGTCCCTTTAAGTGGGAACTCAGGAAATGCCATCTTTCAAACACTGTCACAGGGCCCCTTTCTCAATACAAGGCTTTTCAAACACTGAACAGAAACATAATGGGTCAACAACAACAACTGTCGCTGAATCCACTACTCACTAAATCATCGCCCCCTCCTGAGTTCTCCTGATTTGCCAATCTCTCCTCCTCCATGAAAGGAATCAAGTGAGCTACGGCTTTCTTCATCACTCGGGCCGACTTGATGACCTGAGGTAAGAACATTTTCCCAGCTCCAAACAGGTCCCCCACCACACTCATACCCTGCAAACACACACATGCACTACAATACAAGAAACACAAGTCACCACTGAAAGCCATACCGTATTCGACGTAATAAGCGCCCAGGGCGCTCTCAATTAGAAATAGGGGGCTCTTATCAGAATATTACTTTGGTGGAAAAAACAGAGTTGAAAGATAAATTTTGTGGCTTATGCTGACAGTCTGAACTGTTTATTTACGACAGATACATTTTTCCAGAATTTAATTGCCCATAATTAAGGGTGCATATAACACACGAGTGCGTATTATACACGAATACATAAGTCTTGTGTACATTGATAAATCGGAAGGGGGGCTAATTGGGATTGTTCACTTGCCAATATATTAGCAAATATCGCCGTGGGTGCTTATTAGAGCGGGGCGCTTATTACGTCCAATACGGTAATATTAGTTATCATTTTAACATAATTTGGGAATTATTTGATTCCAGTTTGGGAATTACTGACATTTACTGCAGACTTGGGGCCAAATATCGGCCTCTGAGCAGGTCAGGGTAGATCCCAGGTAACAACGTGAATTAAGAACTGTTGATATCTTTGTAATTTGATGTTAACTTTCACAATAGAAAAAAGACATGCAGCAGTGCTGCCCGAGTTGAGGCACGTACATTCATCAGGGGTCTCTCGATGACGTTGAGAGGCCGGGGATACAGGTCCTTGTTGCACCGAGCCTCCTCCGTGTCCTCCACAACGTACTTGTCGATGCCCTGTGGATGAAGAGCAGGTCATATAGGTCACAGTGCATCATGGGATAGTATCATGTTTGCTACATGCTTCTCATGGTTGTACAAGGTGTATAGAATGGGTATCGCAGGAGGGCTACACTGTTGATGTGTGTGTAATCTAAATGTTGTTATCAGGTAATGAGTTGATTATTCACATCATCATTGTCAATGTCAATATGTCAAGTTGTTGATATGTAACATTGTTGACAAGTCACACTGTCAATTTGTCATCATGATGATAACATCCCATTGTTGACAAGAGCCACATTGTCAATATATCACAATGATATAACATCCCATTGTTGACAAGAGCCACATTGTCAATATATCACAATGATATAACATCCCATAGTTGACAAGAGTCACATTGTCAATATGTCACAATGATATAACATCCCATAGTTGACAAGAGTCACATTGTCAATATGTCACAATGATACAACATCCCATTGTTGACAAGAGCCACATTGTCAAAATGTCACAATGATATAACATCCCATTGTTGACAAGAGCCACAATGTCAATATATCACTATGATATAACATCCCATTGTTGACAAGAGTCACAATGTCAATATGTCACAATGATATAACATCCCATTGTTGACAAGAGCCACATTGTCAATATGTCACAATGATATAACATCCCATTGTTGACAAGAGCCACATTGTCAATATATCACAATGATATAACATCCCATTGTTGGCAAGAGTCACAATGTCAATATGTCACAATGATATAACATCCCATTGTTGACAAGAGCCACATTGTCAATATGTCACAATGATATAACATCCCATTGTTGACAAGAGCCACATTGTCAATATATCACAATGATATAACATCCCATTGTTGACAAGAGCCACATTGTCAATATATCACAATGATATAACATCCCATTGTTGGCAAGAGTCACAATGTCAATATATCACAATGATATAACATCCCATTGTTGACAAGAGTCACAATGTCAATATGTCACAATGATATAACATCCCATTGTTGGCAAGAGTCACAATGTCAATATGTCACAATGATATAACATCCCATTGTTGACAAGAGCCACATTGTCAATATGTCACAATGATATAACATCCCATTGTTGACAAGAGCCACATTGTCAATATATCACAATGATATAACATCCCATTGTTGACAAGAGCCACATTGTCAATATATCACAATGATATAACATCCCATTGTTGGCAAGAGTCACAATGTCAATATATCACAATGATATAACATCCCATTGTTGACAAGAGTCACAATGTCAATATGTCACAATGATATAACATCCCATTGTTGGCAAGAGCCACATTGTCAATATATCACAATGATATAACATCCCATTGTTGACAAGAGCCACATTGTCAATATATCACAATGATATAACATCCCATTGTTGGCAAGAGTCACATTGTCAATATGTCACAATGATATAACATCCCATTGTTGACAAGAGTCACAATGTCAATATGTCACAATGATACAACATCCCATTGCTGACAAGAGCCACATTGTCAATCTGTCACAATGATATAACATCCCATTGCTGACAAGAGCCACAATGTCAATATATCACTATGCTGATAACCCCTATATCCAGTGTGCTCCATTGTCATAGGTCCCTCTATGTCACCATGTAACACTATCAGCAAACACAACATGAACTGTCTAGCCACAGGTTGGCCTGCAGTGTGGCACCCACCTTGACGAGGGAGTGCTTCAGTCTCTCCTCCACAGACAGGCTTCTCCATTCATCACTCACGACAATCTTCTTGGCGCCGGCACCCAGAGACTGACAACAAATATACAATAAGGCCTTTAAACTGACAACAAATATACAATAAGGCCTTTAGACTGACAAGAAATATACAATAAGGCCTTTAAACTGACAACAAATATACAATAAGGCCTTTAGACTGACAAGAAATATACAATAAGGCCTTTAAACTGACAACAAATATACAATAAGGCCTTTAAACTGACAACAAATATACAATAAGGCCTTTAGACTGATAACAAATATACAATAAGGCCTTTAAACTGATAACAAATATACAATAAGGCCTTTAAACTGACAACAAATATACAATAAGGCCTTTAAACTGACAACAAATATACAATAAGGCCTTTAGACTGATAACAAATATACAATAAGGCCCTTAGAATGACAACAAATATACAATAAGGCCTTTAAACTGATAACAAATATACAATAAGGCCTTTAAACTGATAACAAACATACAATAAGGCCTTTAAACTGATAACAAATATACAATAAGGCCCTTAGAATGACAACAAATATACAATAAGGCCTTGAAACTGATAACAAATATACAATAAGGCCTTTAAACTGATAACAAACATACAATAAGGCCTTTAAACTGATAACAAATATACAATAAGGCCCTTAGAATGACAACAAATATACAATAAGGCCTTTAAACTGATAACAAATATACAATAAGGCCCTTAGAATGACAACAAATATACAATAATGTGGCAGACAAGTCATTAGTGAAGAGAATCTAGGGCTGTCAACTTCTTTATTATGAGGAACACAGAGTTTTGGAGTATCTGCTTACTCCTTCATCATCTAAGGAAGAGAATCTATGGTTGTCAACTTCTTTATTATGAGGAACACAGCGTTTTGGAGTATCTGCTTACTCCTTCATCATCTAAGGAAGAGAATCTATGGATGTCAACTTCTTTATTATGAGGAACACAGCGTTTCAGAGTATAAGCTTATTCCTTCTTCAGGGGGAATGAAGACAAGTCATTATTCTCATACCGACACACACCTCAACTCAACGATTTTCCCCCCAATATCCCTGTCAGGGGCACCCAGTTTCAAATCCTGGATAAATGTCTGTTACTTTCAACACTTCAAGCATATTTCTGAATCACTTCACCCTTAGGATCTCACCTCAGCAAACACCAGAAGTTTCTCTGTGCCCTCTGGGTCTTTGTTCCACAGAAGGTTTTCACAAAGTTCCAGAAGTGTCTTGTCGATGTCGTCATACACAGGTAGACAGCCGGCGTTGACGATGCCCATGTCCATCCCAGCCTGGAAGAGAGGCGAGTCATTGTCAGAGCAACTGTCATACATACCGACCTCTATACTCCATTCATCAAACACCTAATAATATCATTAACAAGAAAACAGTGTTGTCACTATCCCCACCATGGGGCACATTAGAGTATTGTTTGTTCATATAGTAGTGAATATAAACTATAAAAAAGAGTCCAATAAAGTCTTAAGAAGAGATAAGCACTTGGGTCGCTTTATGTCATCAGAAAAATGATCACGTGAAATAAATACACACAAAAAGACCCTTCAAGGGAAAAAATAATTTATGGCACCAATTCTTGAACTCAGTCTTGATATGTATCTCTTAGGTAAGTTAACTGCACGATAACACTGTACACTTTGTAAAATAACATGGATCAAGGGCAGCAACTGTGTATGCTCAAAATAAAAAACATGTGGCAAGGGCAATAACACTGTAAAACAAGTGCAAAAGTGAGCGTGGCTCACTAATACCCCCGACCCGCCTAGTGTGTCAGTAGTTACAAATTAAATAGCTAGGATAGGGTTAGGCAGGGTTCCCCCTAGACTCCAATATCTGAGAGTCACCTTGACTCAGCCTATGAATTTTTGGGAGTCAAAAATATTTTTTGAGAGTCAAATGTTTTATTGTATGATTAATGAAATTTAAAGTGTTCACTGTTAATGTTACACTTAAAGTTAAGTATCTTTTAAATATTATATGTCTTTAGTTTAAGTAAACAAGTGCTAATTAATGTTCTCAGCTGATTGTACTACAGAGAAATAAAGGATATATGAATGAAAAACAAAGTTTGTTGGTTTTATCTTTTCACAATCTTTAATTACTTCACAGTGACACTAATACAGGATGAATAAATAACATCAGTCTCAACTGTGAGACATAATGTTTAATCATGGATGGATATTAAAATACATTTCATGTCAGATTATAATCTAATACCACTAGCTCATTTACATCTTTTATCTAGTTATCTTGTATTATCTATCAACAGTGAAGTTGAACTGAAGACTTGTGAACACTCTAATATTTTCTGGTTGAATACAGTTTATTAGCAACAACAAACACGCCCAAAGCTTTACATTTCATATATACCATATTTATTCGCGTATAATACACACCCCTAATTATGGGCTATTAAATCCTGAAAAAAATATCTCTTGTGTATAATACGCACAGACTTTTCTTCAGTCTTATTTCAGGCTGTCATGATCCGTCATCGGAAATAGCATAACAAATCTGAATTGAACTACACAAGTTAATCCTGTTGTTACACTATCTGGTAATAAAAATGTGTTCTCTGTATATCTGACCTTATGTTTGTCATCTATTTTATTAATTTTATTTAAAATTTCATTCAATAATGTTTACCTAAATTTCGGCAAAAACATGTGTCCCTCCGATACTTACAACTTCTGTTTACCCCGTTCCATAGGTTCTGCTTAACCACATACTGTAACCGTGCCAAATCACATTATTCACCGCAACAATGATAATATTTTCTTCTGTTTCATTTTTTACGAGTCTACACATCTAGATAAACATATGTCATGGTTAACTTTTAGTGAGAAAACCGAAACATGAAAAACCTTGTCCATTTGCGGAATTTTCCTTTGTTTACATCACATGCTGTCATCGAAGCCACATGGAGTGTGAGAGTTACGTTCACTTTTATGCATAAATATATTTTGAAACGACAATTAATTAAAAACTAGACGTAAATTTTAAGATGTTTGCATATATTGTCTTCAGAAAATGTTTATAAATTAAGTTCAGGTGAGTAGTTGTAATATTTTCATTCCAAAGCTGGTAAACAACAACACAGATATTTTGAAATTGCGTCAGTCATGATGCAGTCATTAATTTCTGGACGTATTTTTCCTTAATTGAGAGTCATATACGCAAGAATACTGCGTCAGGGGAAACCCTGGTTAGGGTTTGAAAAATTCATAAAAAAATGGAAAATTAATAAAAACAATTTTTTTCTTTTGACTGCACCCCTCCATATGACACAGATTATATGTACTAAGTTTGAGATGAATCCACTGAAAAGTTTAAGAGAAATCGCGCGGACAAAGTTTTCGGATGGACGTTAGGATTTGAAAAATTCATAAAACAATGGAAAATTAATAAAAACAATTTTTTTCTTTTGACTGCACCCCTCCATATGACACAGATTATATGTACTAAGTTTGAGATGAATCCACTGAATAGTTTAAGAGAAAACGCGCGGACAAAGTCTTCAGATGGACATTAGGGTTTGAAAAATACATAAAACAATTGAAAATTAATAAAAACATTTTTTTTCTTTTGACTGCACCCCTCCATATGACACAGATTATATGTACTAAGTTTGAGATGAATCCACTGAATAGTTTAAGAGAAATCACGCAGACAAAGTTTTCGGACGGACGGACGGAATCTTGGTATAACTATATACCCCCGACATTTTGTCGGGGGTATAAAAATATTTTCTGGCACCAAATCTTAGTAACAGTCTTGACAAGTATCTGTATCTCCTCGATAAGCAAACAAACTTTCATTCATGCAACGTTAGTAGTTTCTGAGTAAACTTGTCCTCATTGCAAACACCATGCACTTAGTTTGTATGCAGCAAGGGCAATAACTCTGTAAATAAATAATTTACGGCACCAATTTTCGAACACAGTCTTCACAAGTATCTCTTAGGTAAGCTTGCAAACTTTCATTCATGTAACGTCAGTTGTTTCTAAGAAACCTTGTGTCCTCTTTGAGAAGCGGATGAACAGAGGGAAAGAAGGAAGGACAGACAAAAGGACAGACAGAAGGAAAGAAGGACAGATGAACTCCGTTCCTATATGCACTGCCCCACTTCGTGGCGGTGGATGATAATCATCATAATAAACACAGGCAAAGTACATGTTGAAATAACTAACCGAAAATGTCGTCAAAATAAAGAGATGGTATTTTTAATATTCCTACATAGTCAAAGAAGAATAATTATCTTGTTAGTTATGTTCTTGTTATATTTGTTTAGATGTTTTCAAACTGTGGACAATCTGAAATGGTATACTTTGAATCTCTTAGTATGAGTTCCTCACAACTTTACTGAATCTCAGCACAGTGCGTCTGACAAAGTGAGTGCTTAACCCTGCAGACACACATATTCCAGCCATATGTCGGTTTCCTGTAAAATAACTGTGTCTGGATCGGGCAAAACCAGTGACGGAAAACATGAGTAACACTGCAGGCCAATGAGGCACGATGGCATAGGCATTCACACTGGAACTGGCAACAACTGTACCTTGATAGCATGATACAGAAACACTGGCAACAACTGTACCTTGATAGCATGATACAGAAACACTGGCAACAACTGTACCTTGATAGCATGATATAGAAACACTGGTAACAACTGTACCTTGATAGCATGATACAGAAACACTGGCAACAACTGTACCTTGATAGCATGATACAGAAACACTGGTAACAACTGTACCTTGATAGCATGATACAGAAACACTGGCAACAACCGTACCTTGATAGCATGATACAGAAACACTGGCAACAACTGTACCTTGATAGCATGATACAGAAACACTGGCAACAACTGTACCTTGATAGCATGATACAGAAACACTGGCAACAACTGTACCTTGATAGCATGATACAGAAACACTGGCAACAACTGTACCTTGATAGCATGATACAGAAACACTGGTAACTACTGTACCTTGATAGCATGATACAGAAACACTGGTAACAACTGTACCTTGATAGCATGATACAGAAACACTGGCAACAACTGTACCTTGATAGCATGATACAGAAACACTGGTAACAACTGTACCTTGATAGCATGATACAGAAACACTGGCAACAACTGTACCTTGATAGCATGATACAGAAACACTGGCAACAACTGTACCTTGATAGCATGATACAGAAACACTGGCAACAACTGTACCTTGATAGCATGATACAGAAACACTGGCAACAACTGTACCTTGATAGCATGATACAGAAACACTGGTAACAACTGTACCTTGATAGCATGATACAGAAACACTGGTAACTACTGTACCTTGATAGCATGATACAGAAACACTGGCAACAACTGTACCTTGATAGCATGATACAGAAACACTGGTAACAACCGTACCTTGATAGCATGATACAGAAGCACTGGTAACAACCGTACCTTGATAGCATTATATAGAAACACTGGCAACAACTGTACCTTGATAGCATGATACAGAAACCCTGGCAACAACTGTACCTTGATAGCATGATACAGAAACACTGGCAACAACTGTACCTTGATAGCATGATACAGAAACACTGGTCACAACTGTACCTTGATAGTATGATACAGAAACACTGGCAACAACTGTACCTTGATAGCATGATACAGAAACACTGGTAACAACTGTACCTTGATAGCATGATACAGAAACACTGGCAACAACTGTACCTTGATAGCATGATACAGAAACCCTGGCAACAACTGTACCTTGATAGCATGATACAGAAACACTGGTAACAACTGTACCTTGATAGCATGATACAGAAACACTGGTAACAACTGTACCTTGATAGCATGATACAGAAACACTGGCAACAACTGTACCTTGATAGCATGATACAGAAACACTGGCAACAACTGTACCTTGATAGCATGATACAGAAACACTGGCAACAACTGTACCTTGATAGCATGATACAGAAACACTGGCAACAACTGTACCTTGATAGCATGATACAGAAACACTGGCAACAACTGTACCTTGATAGCATGATACAGAAACCCTGGCAACAACTGTACCTTGATAGCATGATACAGAAACACTGGTAACAACCGTACCTTGATAGCATGATACAGAAACACTGGCAACAACTGTACCTTGATAGCATGATACAGAAACACTGGTAACAACTGTACCTTGATAGCATGATACAGAAACACTGGTAACAACTGTACCTTGATAGCATGATACAGAAACACTGGTAACAACCGTACCTTGATAGCATGATACAGAAACACTGGCAACAACTGTACCTTGATAGCATGATACAGAAACACTGGCAACAACTGTACCTTGATAGCATGATATAGAAACACTGGCAACAACTGTACCTTGATAGCATGATACAGAAACACTGGTAACAACTGTACCTTGATAGCATGATACAGAAACACTGGCAACAACTGTACCTTGATAGCATGATACAGAAACACTGGCAACAACTGTACCTTGATAGCATGATACAGAAACACTGGCAACAACTGTACCTTGATAGCATGATACAGAAACACTGGCAACAACTGTACCTTGATAGCATGATACAGAAACACTGGTAACAACTGTACCTTGATAGCATGATACAGAAACCCTGGCAACAACTGTACCTTGATAGCATGATACAGAAACACTGGCAACAACTGTACCTTGATAGCATGATACAGAAACACTGGCAACAACCGTACCTTGATAGCATGATACAGAAACACTGGCAACAACTGTACCTTGATAGCATGATACAGAAACACTGGCAACAACCGTACCTTGATAGCATGATACAGAAACACTGGCAACAACTGTACCTTGATAGCATGATACAGAAACACTGGCAACAACTGTACCTTGATAGCATGATACAGAAACACTGGCAACAACTGTACCTTGATAGCATGATACAGAAACACTGGCAACAACTGTACCTTGATAGCATGATACAGAAACACTGGAAACAACTGTACCTTGATAGCATGATACAGAAACACTGGTAACAACCGTACCTTGATAGCATGATACAGAAACACTGGTAACAACCGTACCTTGATAGCATGATACAGAAACACTGGTAACAACCGTACCTTGATAGCATGATACAGAAACACTGGTAACAACCGTACCTTGATAGCATGATACAGAAACACTGGCAACAACTGTACCTTGATAGCATGATACAGACACACTGGCAACAACTGTACCTTGATAGCATGATACAGGAACACACTGTGCATAGCTTCCCGGATCGTCTCTTTGCCTCTGAATGAGAAGGAGAAGTTTGACACACCCCCACTCACTCGAGCTCCTGGCAGGGTTTTCTGAAAATAAAAAACAACAATCAACCATGTGTTAAGAAAAAAAACGAGTGGCTGTTATTTATCATACAATAAAACACAGCAGGCAGAATAAACCATTAGGGGCACAGTCACGAGTGGTTTATTCTCTCTGCAGTGTTTTATTGTACAATAAACAACGACCACTAATTTTTTTCTCAAATAACCAGCCTTTTTAAGGATTTTAATAAAACGTACAAGCTTTAAAAACATTTACCAGTATTTAAATACTGATGACTCCCAGAATAGAATTCGACCTCGGCAATGCTCTAAAATTCCATTATATGTAGGGAGTGTGTGTGTGTGTGTTAAGTTTGGTATTCTCACAATTTTAACGTCAATTATCTGCACCTTTTCTGCCAATACCGATTGTTATATCTCTCCCACTTTTGGGTGCAATTGTTTGGCCTTTGCATTCATCTGCACTGTCCAGCTACATCTATGGGGAACAACTCATTTGACACTTCCCTCTCAAAAATAACGTTGTCTAATTTATTTGCTAGCGCATGTTCGAATCTCCAGAAATGATGTCATGATAGAACCAAGTTTTATTGTGAAATAAACCACGCTTCGTCCATCATTATTCTTTGTGTTTTATCGCATAGCCATCTTATATAATAACATACACAGTGACAGAACATGCAATACATATACCTCTCAATTATTAAGGGCCATCCAATTCTTTTACTATAGTTAATCTGTCATGCCATGAACATCCTTAACTTCATTTAAGCAGTATATATCCAAAATGGACACTTGTCAACATGTATTTGGCAGTGTAAGCATCAATCTGGATCACGATTGTCACCGACATTGAAAAAAAATCAAATACACTCGAAGTATTCAACCAAACATATATACTTTTTAACCAGAATGAACTCTATAAAATTGAAGATTTGTATCTCCTACTTCCATGGGTACACCAACCTTGATGATCTGGATGGCCTTTATGAAGTCAATGCCGTACTCGTTGTGCTCTTCAATGCCCGTCGCGATGGTGAGGATGTTGGGGTCAAAGATGATGTCGTTAGGGTTGAAGCCCACTTCGTCCACCAGGATGTTGTAGGAGCGTGCGCAGATGTCGGCCTTCCTCTGAAAGTCTGTAGCCTGCAGGACAGAAGAACATGTCAGCCATGTTGATGGTGTACTACCTTCTCCTATTTCTGTTGTTCCCTATTCATGAGGCAATATGGTTTTCTGCTGTAGACAACGCAGCCGAGATGTGGTAACTAGGAAGTGAGAACCTGTTGTTTATCATAAAATGTTCCAAAATGTTCTAACTACTGGTAAGGACCAAGTCATAAAACAATGAGGAGGAGACAACAGGGGTCTATGGAGCCTGAATACTTAACCTGTGTCCTTAATGCATAATTAGAAAACAAGTTCTTGTACCCTAAAATGTTTGCTGCTTGCAAAACATCGCATCATGCTGTATGAGCTTGCCAGCTCACCTCACATGCCTGGCAAAACACTAACGAAGGTTATAAGGGCCACACTGCAACACTATGAGCACCCCTTGCCAACATTGCCGCTGTTGTCGATGTTTACCAAAGACAGAAATCTAAATTTCATATGCAAATCCATAATAACTACTTGTAAATATTGTTCAAAATGAGGATGCTTTCATAAACAAGAACACATGCTGCCGCTGAATTGTCCTCAGTTAACAAGAGTCATCAGGAGATGACACATCCCCTGTTCAGGTGCAAATCAGAAATGGAGTTTGGTCTTCTTCATCAAACGCCATGACAACAGCAGTTGTATCTAATATATCCCACCTGGCCTTCTTCATCAAACGCCATGACGACAACAGTTGTATCTAATATATCCCACCTGGCCTTCTTCATCAAACGCCATGACGTCAACAGTTGTATCTAATATATCCCACCTGGCCTTCTTCATCAAACGCCATGACGTCAACAGTTGTATCTAATCTATCCCACCTGGCCTTCTTCATCAAACGCCATGACAATTGTAGTTTATATATCCCACCTGGCCATTTTCATCAAACGCCATGACAGTTATATCTAATATATCCCACCTGGCCTTCTTCATCAAACACCATGACGACAACAGTTGTATCTAATATATCCCACCTGGCCTTCTTCATCAAACGCCATGACAGTTATATCTAATATATCCCACCTGGCCTTCTTCATCAAACGCCATGACAGTTGTATCTAATATATCCCACCTGGCCATTTTCAAACGCCATGTCGACAACAGTTGTATTTAATATATCCCACCTGGCCTTCTTCATCAAACGCCATGACAATTGTATTTAATATATCCCACCTGGCCTTCTTCATCCAACGCCATGACGACAACAGTTGTATTTAATATATCCCACCTGGCCTTCTTCATCAAACGCCATGACAGTTGTATCTAATATATCCCACCTGGCCATTTTCAAACGCCATGTCGACAACAGTTGTATTTAATATATCCCACCTGGCCTTCTTCATCAAACGCCATGACAATTGTATTTAATATATCCCACCTGGCCTTCTTCATCCAACGCCATGACGACAACAGTTGTATTTAATATATCCCACCTGGCCTTCTTCATCAAACGCCATGACAACAACTGCTGCTCCATACTGCTTGACCTTCCTGGCCTTTATCTTGAAGTCCTCCACCCCCTCCTTGAGGCTGATGCTGTTGACGATGCACTTCCCCTGCGTGCACATCAGCCCCGCCTCCACCACCGCAAAGTTGGACGAGTCAATACACAGGGGCACCTGCATCAACAACATTCCAACTGTACAGAAATGTTGTAGACGTGTACATAACAGGAGTCATCAATATCATAGCTTATTAGTCAATACATTTGTTATTTTATTTATTCCTGATCTCTTTCACCCTGTGTCATAAATGAGCCTACTATAAAAAAATAATCAAAGAAAAAATAAGCACTGCCCATGAAAAGATACATATCATGAAGCAAGTTGACAATTTGTATTGTATTGTGAGATAGGCATACAATAACAATAACTGGGGCGGAGAGGGCAAGTGGTCTTAAGCACCAGGCTAGCAACTGCAAGGTACTAACATCATATCCCACAAGTGACTGGGTTGTTATTCAGCCTTGAGACCAACAATGTTTACAGGTGTTTACAGTGTTGTCACTACCCCTAGCATGCAGTACATACACCCTGTGCTCTCAAAAGACCAATCTGTTGGAAGACAACCAGATGGTGGAAACAAGAATACGTAAATACACTCGAAACCCCTCTGGCAAAATGTGTGGTGTCTCCTTGGGCAAGTGACTCAGTTCAAATGTGCCTCTGTTCACCAAGCACAGTGTAATTTCTTCTGCGGAAGACAAACACGTTTTTATTGCATATGTAGGGATTGTGTATGCGCTGGTGATGTGCTTCATTCCGATTCGCTTTATAGATGGGATATATAAATTAGCATTGATTTTGAAGGCTTGTACAAGGGGGTCGCCTTATACGTGTGGTTGCTTTATGGACGGCGATATATGGTACTCGTTATGAGGTGGATGTAAAACCCTTCTAGCACCCAAGGAGTTGAGAATGATTACCCTGATCCTGGAATACATACAGATCCACTGATAGGGGAATACAGATAAACCGCATTTGAGCAGAGATGTGTGGATAAGTGCTGCATATAGTCATTTATCATACTCCCATGTCAGAATGATGAGATCTGATTGGTCCACATAATCTTGATAAAATACTATGTATCTTGTCTTAGAGGGACAAAAAGTTCTCAGCGGGTGAATAAATCCTTGATACCCCACCACTAGCATGTCAGGCTGCACATGGATTTCTGAGAGGCAGAATAAATCCCTTATACCCCGCTTCGAAACAAAAACCTGCACGCTTTTTCCGAGTCAAAGAAAGTCACATGACATAGCACAAGTTTACCTCAGCTCAATTGAACAGCTGTTTTCTGTCAATTTTGAATTTGTTTTAATTCTTTTACTATGTCATATTAAATCATGTTGGTAAGATAAATTTGTTGTAGCAGGATCATTCAGGGTACATGGGGCTTTATGAATCCATCGTTAAGTTTTATGACGTGCAGACTTAAAACCCATGTACCAGAGTGATCCTGCTGCAACTTATAGCATGTATAATATAACAAAGGACACTGGGAGTAAGGCACAAATTTATATATGTTGTTGATATTTACCAATTTGGTGAAATCAGAAATCAATCAGCACAGAAACATCATAAATGGGGTATTTCTGGGATCCATATAAACACAGATAGATGCTCATCGACAGACAAAACAAATCATCAACCACCCAGTGCTGTGACCAGTACCTTCGCAATATCAGGTTCAGATGAAATGAGATTGACAAACTTCTTCATGGCCGCCACCCCATCCAGCATCCCTTCGTCCATGTTGATGTCCAGTATCTGTGCGCCGTTCTCCACCTGAAGCTTGGCAACGCTCAGTGCTTCCTGCAACACAAAACATAACATAGCTGGATTGGGAGACACACATTCTCAGCAGCAAGACATGCAGCTTGGCCACGCTCAGTGCTTCCTGCAACACAAAACATAACATAGATGGATTGGGAGACCTACATTCTCAGCAGCAAGACATGCAGCTTGGCCACGCTCAGTGCTTCCTGCAACACAAAACATAACATAGCTGGATTGGGAGACACACATTCTCAGCCGCAAGACATGCAGCTTGGCAACGCTCAGTGCTTCCTGCAACACAAAACATAACATAGCTGGATTGGGAGACCTACATTCTCAGCAGCAAGACAGTGTTACTAAACCACATTCTCAACATGCAGCTTGGCAACACACCCATAACAAAGTGGTAGGTACACAAACATAGTTAGCACTCTGCAAGTGCCAGCACCTCCTCTTATATCAACAGCAACATGCTTATCAAAGAGGTCTAGCGGAAGGACTATAAGCCACATAGATGATAATTTAATATCACCTGAATTTGCCTGGAGGATGACGATTCAGGAGTAGACAGGTTGCACCCTACAGCAAAAAAGGAGTAAACAGGTTGCACCCTACTCTGAACAAGGAGTAGACAGGTTGCACCTTACACTGAACTAGGAGTAAACAGGTTGCACACTACACTGAACTAGGAGTAAACAGGTTGCACCCTACTCTGAACAAGGAGTAAACAGGTTGCACCTTACACTGAACTAGGAGTAAACAGGTTGCACCTTACACTGAACTAGGAGTAAACAGGTTGCACCCTACACTGAACTAGGAGTAAACAGGTTGCACCTTACACTGAACAAGGAGTAAACAGGTTGCACCTTACACTGAACTAGGAGTAAACAGGTTGCACCCTACACTGAACTAGGAGTAAACAGGTTGCACCCTACTCTGAACAAGGAGTAAACAGGTTGCACCTTACACTGAACTAGGAGTAAACAGGTTGCACCTTACACTGAACTAGGAGTAAACAGGTTGCACCTTACACTGAACTAGGAGTAAACAGGTTGCACCCTACTCTGAACAAGGAGTAAACAGGTTGCACCTTACACTGAACTAGGAGTAAACAGGTTGCACCTTACACTGAACTAGGAGTAAACAGGTTGCACCCTACTCTGAACAAGGAGTAAACAGGTTGCACCTTACACTGAACTCGGAGTAAACAGGTTGCACACTACACTGAACTAGGAGTAAACAGGTTGCACCCTACACTGAACTAGGAGTAAACAGGTTGCACCCTACTCTGAACAAGGAGTAAACAGGTTGCACCCTACACTGAACTAGGAGTAAACAGGGTGCACCCTACTCTGAACAAGGAGTAAACAGGTTGCACCTTACACTGAACAAGGAGTAAACAGGTTGCACCCTACACTGAACTAGGAGTAAACAGGTTGCACCTTACACTGAACTAGGAGTAAACAGGTTGCACCCTACACTGAACTAGGAGTAAACAGGTTGCACCCTACTCTGAACAAGGAGTAAACAGGTTGCACCTTACACTGAACTAGGAGTAAACAGGTTGCACACTACACTGAACTAGGAGTAAACAGGTTGCACCCTACACTGAACTAGGAGTAAACAGGTTGCACTCTACTCTGAACAAGGAGTAAACAGGTTGCACCTTACACTGAACAAGGAGTAAACAGGTTGCACCTTACACTGAACTAGGAGTAAACAGGTTGCACCTTACACTGAACTAGGAGTAAACAGGTTGCACCCTACTCTGAACCAGGAGTAAACAGGTTGCACCTTACACTGAACTAGGAGTAAACAGGTTGCACCCTACACTGAACTAGGAGTAAACAGGTTGCACCCTACACTGAACTAGGAGTAAACAGGTTGCACCTTACACTGAACAAGGAGTAAACAGGTTGCACCTTACACTGAACTAGGAGTAAACAGGTTGCACCCTACACTGAACAAGGAGTAAACAGGTTGCACCCTACTCTGAACAAGGAGTAAACAGGTTGCACCCTACTCTGAACAAGGAGTAAACAGGTTGCACCTTACACTGAACTAGGAGTAAACAGGTTGCACCCTACACTGAACTAGGAGTAAACAGGTTGCACCCTACACTGAACTAGGAGTAAACAGGTTGCACCTTACACTGAACAAGGAGTAAACAGGTTGCACCCTACACTGAACTAGGAGTAAACAGGTTGCACACTACACTGAACTAGGAGTAAACAGGTTGCACCCTACTCTGAACAAGGAGTAAACAGGTTGCACCTTACACTGAACTAGGAGTAAACAGGTTGCACCTTACACTGAACTAGGAGTAAACAGGTTGCACCCTACTCTGAACAAGGAGTAAACAGGTTGCACCTTACACTGAACTAGGAGTAAACAGGTTGCACCCTACACTGAACTAGGAGTAAACAGGTTGCACCCTACTCTGAACAAGGAGTAAACAGGTTGCACCTTACACTGAACTAGGAGTAAACAGGTTGCACACTACACTGAACTAGGAGTAAACAGGTTGCACCCTACACTGAACTAGGAGTAAACAGGTTGCACTTTACTCTGAACAAGGAGTAAACAGGTTGCACCCTACACTGAACTAGGAGTAAACAGGTTGCACCCTACTCTGAACAAGGAGTAAACAGGTTGCACCTTACACTGAACAAGGAGTAAACAGGTTGCACCTTACACTGAACTAGGAGTAAACAGGTTGCACCTTACACTGAACTAGGAGTAAACAGGTTGCACCCTACTCTGAACAAGGAGTAAACAGGTTGCACCTTACACTGAACTAGGAGTAAACAGGTTGCACCCTACACTGAACTAGGAGTAAACAGGTTGCACCCTACACTGAACTAGGAGTAAACAGGTTGCACCTTACACTGAACAAGGAGTAAACAGGTTGCACCTTACACTGAACTAGGAGTAAACAGGTTGCACCCTACACTGAACTAGGAGTAAACAGGTTGCACCCTACTCTGAACAAGGAGTAAACAGGTTGCACCCTACTCTGAACAAGGAGTAAACAGGTTGCACCTTACACTGAACTAGGAGTAAACAGGTTGCACCCTACACTGAACTAGGAGTAAACAGGTTGCACCTTACACTGAACTAGGAGTAAACAGGTTGCACCTTACACTGAACAAGGAGTAAACAGGTTGCACCTTACACTGAACTAGGAGTAAACAGGTTGCACCCTACACTGAACTAGGAGTAAACAGGTTGCACCTTACACTGAACTAGGAGTAAACAGGTTGCACCTTACACTGAACTAGGAGTAAACAGGTTGCACCTTACACTGAACTAGGAGTAAACAGGTTGCACCCTACACTGAACTAGGAGTAAACAGGTTGCACCCTACTCTGAACAAGGAGTAAACAGGTTGCACCTTACACTGAACTAGGAGTAAACAGGTTGCACACTACACTGAACTAGGAGTAAACAGGTTGCACCCTACTCTGAACAAGGAGTAAACAGGTTGCACCTTACACTGAACTAGGAGTAAACAGGTTGCACCCTACACTGAACTAGGAGTAAACAGGTTGCACCCTACTCTGAACAAGGAGTAAACAGGTTGCACCTTACACTGAACTAGGAGTAAACAGGTTGCACACTACACTGAACTAGGAGTAAACAGGTTGCACCCTACACTGAACTAGGAGTAAACAGGTTGCACTCTACTCTGAACAAGGAGTAAACAGGTTGCACCTTACACTGAACTAGGAGTAAACAGGTTGCACCCTACTCTGAACAAGGAGTAAACAGGTTGCACCTTACACTGAACAAGGAGTAAACAGGTTGCACCTTACACTGAACTAGGAGTAAACAGGTTGCACCTTACACTGAACTAGGAGTAAACAGGTTGCACCCTACTCTGAACAAGGAGTAAACAGGTTGCACCTTACACTGAACTAGGAGTAAACAGGTTGCACCCTACACTGAACTAGGAGTAAACAGGTTGCACCCTACTCTGAACAAGGAGTAAACAGGTTGCACCTTACACTGAACTAGGAGTAAACAGGTTGCACACTACACTGAACTAGGAGTAAACAGGTTGCACCCTACACTGAACCAGGAGTAAACAGGTTGCACTCTACTCTGAACAAGGAGTAAACAGGTTGCACCCTACTCTGAACAAGGAGTAAACAGGTTGCACCCTACACTGAACAAGGAGTAAACAGGTTGCACCCTACACTGAACTAGGAGTAAACAGGTTGCACCTTAGACTGAACTAGGAGTAAACAGGTTGCACCTTACACTGAACTAGGAGCAAACAGGTTGCACCCTACACTGAACTATGCCCCTATTCTTCCAGACATGTGACTCACCTCATAGTTTCCATTCTTGATCAGCCTACAGAACCTCTTCGACCCAGCGACATTGCACCTCTCACCAATGTTCACAAAGTTGGTGTGGGGGCCGATATGGGATGGCTCAAGACCTGAAACGAAATGATCATCGTGTTTGGCTTCAAAATTTTCAAATTAATATCGAGAATCATTGCTATTTTCTTTTTGTAATAAACCCCAAATAACTAAAGACCAGAAACCCCCCTCCCGCAAAACAAGAAATAACCTTGATCAAATGATTGAAGTGGTAGTGAACTGTAAAGTCCCTTCATGGCTAGATTTTAACAGCTCTCAACGACAGCAAGTGGAAGTTACAGTTATCGGACATGTAAACATGGCAGGCTTGATCATTCGAGAAGTTTCAGGGATGGGACAGTTTCTCGAAGGCTGGCTATACTGATATATATAAAGTATAAGGGCAATTCCTGGTCATTTTCGACCTGATTTGTGTATTATATCCTTGCCAAGTATAGACTGAATATGTTTTTGAGGTGTGGTGAGGTGAAATTGCACTTATATAGCGACGTGCATGCACGTGTGTGTGTGGCTGCTTGTACTAGACCGGACTGATGCCGATTTATAGTGCTAGCTCACTGAGATACCATGCCGCAGTTTATCATGAATACTCCCTCAGACACAGTATACTGACTACGGGCCGACCAGTCCTTGTTTTATCCCTTAATGCTGAGACAGGGTAACAACAAGTACCATCATTTAATGTCTTTTGGTATGACATGGCCGGGGATTGAACCCCGGACCTTCCGCTCTCCGGGCGGCGCTCTACCACTAGACCACGGAGGCAGTCGAATATATTGTTGAAGAGGGGCAAGAACAAGAACTCTACCTGAAAGCAGCATGTACCCCTCATGGAGACTGGAGGGGGGGACCCTCGGCTTAAACTTCTTCACAGCTTCAGCAATCGCTCTGAAACCCAACACCCAAACTCTTCAAGGACCTATACAATACCTCACACAGAAGATATAATCTTCAACACATGCTTACTTAAGCAAAGTATATTTGACTTCTTTGCGAGGCATTTACAAGTTGGTATACTAGGTAAGGATAAGATATATGGATATCACTTACTTGATAACAGTGTTAGAACCTACACCAAAATGTAGCTCCTAATTGTAACAAGAGCATAGTCGACGAAGTCATCTATATCCCCAGCCCATTTTAACACAGTTTCATTGAAAAATATTAAACAGTTTATGAGTCAAGTTCTGGAAATATTGCCCATTAATATAAATTTCTAAAATTCATAAATAGCAAAAGGCAACAATTCAGCATGTGGAAAATTTCATCCGGAATCGAACCCTACCCTTTTTGTTCAACTTGTTGCCACAAAACGTAAAAAATAAATTTCTAAAAGTGCTAAATAACGAAAGGCACCAGTTCAGTATGTGCCTGGTAGACATGCAAAGTTTTGTTAGAAAGTACTTAACAGTTTTTGAGTTACGCTCCGGAAATGAAATCCACCCTTATAGAACTAAGTCCATCTTGTTGCCATGGAAACATAAAAGAATTTTTTCTAAAATTCCTAAATAGCAAAAGGCTCCAGTTCAGCATGAGTCTGATAGACATGCAAAGTGTCGTAGGGCAATACTAATCGGTTTCTGAGTTATGCTCCGGAAACGCTTTGGCACGCACTCCACGCCACGCCACGCCATGCCATGCCACCCATTTCCATATCCCCCGCCAACTTCGTTGGAGCAGGGGATAATAAAGAAGTTGTTCATCCATATATCTTATCCATTCTAAGTATGTTGGAAATCATTTGACCATGAGGCAAGTACATACAAGCTTGTATGTTCCAGTGTGTCTTTCTTTCTTTCTTTGTTGTTTAACGCCGCACTCAGCAATATTCCAGCAATATGACGGCGGTCTGTAAATAATTGAGTCTGGACTAGATAATCAAGTGACAGACATCATGAGCATCATTCCACACAATTGGAATACGATGTTATGCATCAGCCAAGTCAGCAAGCCTGACCACTCGATCCCGTTAGTTGCCTCTTACAACAAGCATGGGTTGCTGAAGGCCTATTCTACCCCGGGTCTCCAATGTGTCGACTCACTTGATGTGAGCTGGGGTGGTTCCACAGCATCCACCCACTATGTTCACCATCCCAGCCTTGGCAAACTCCTGGAAAACAGAAATGTTACTTTTTCAAAATGACTTTCAGGAAATAATATTAGAAGTTAAGTAATAAAGTATTTGAATACTTTTATTACTTGTACCTTGCTACAAAATCAAAAATATATTGCCAATAATTGACTACAATATTCCATAAATTATTTGGATAAGATTTAACATTGATTACACCAAGATTCCAGCCATAGCATGATGATGATGTTCGAGATTTAACGAACGATTCCGGAGTCGAGAATTTCGCATTTCGATATCACGCCATATGATGGTGAGGGATGTCAAGCATGGGTGTCACACATTGGATATTTTCCAAGGGAGTAAACTGACTGTAAAAGTCCAGTTTCCACCCTTGCCGAACTAGGCTGGAATTTCTGGGCTCGATTGTAGTGCCACCTGTGGCTATTATAAGTTATGTCCCTTCTATGTCTCTCCTATTGACCAATCATATTCAACCTCTCATATCACTTGCATTTGCTTCAAACAAAATGGCGGTGCGAAGTCAAGGTGATCTAATCAATAATCAAAATCTATTTTGTGATAAACAGGGTCTTACCATGCCAAGTGCATTGAATCACATGAGCACCTTGATTAAAAACATGAAAAGATAAGAAAAATATCTGTTGACAACGAGTTGGTATTACACATGCTTTGTGAATCCTGCAATTGACAGAAATTTGCATGGCAGTTGATGAACCGGATTTGGATTTCATGACGCAATTTTGATTGGACTATGCATAGACTGGTTTGACCAGCCAAGATATTACTCCATAATTCCAGCCTAGTGCAGCAAGGGTGGAAACTGGACTTTCATAGTCAGTTAACTCCCCTGCCTCAGGAAGATGATTGGGAACTGAACCCAGACTTCGGCCTGAATAACCAACGTTTTCCCCACAGGGCTGGCAAAACAACAGTCCAAGCGGAAACAAAACCCCCACAATGCCATGTCACAGGTTGATGTACGTGGTGTTTGTCTCATGCTGACCTTTAGTTGGCTGCCAGTCATCTCCGGAGTCTCATCGTAGTCGCCGAACGTGTTGGGTAGACCTGCAGAGTAAGGAATTGTTGACCCATCATCATTGTTAATGTGGCTTCACATGACAAACTTGGGTTTGCCCATATATATTTACAAACAGTAGTTTGTGTGTGTGAACATTGTGAAGAGAGTCTGCAAACTAGTTTGTCATATTGGTCGTGTGGAAACACTAGTTGACAAGCTTATGTTGTCTGTTTGAAGGTGAGATGAAATGGGGTTTAACGTCACGTCCAAGATTATTGCACTTATATAGCGACGTGCATGCACATGTGTATGTCTGCTTGTACTAGTCCGGACTGATGCCGATTTTTTTATAGTGCTAGCCCACTGAGATACCATGCCGCAGTTTAACATGAATACCCCATTCAGACACATTATACTGACTCCAAGCCGACCAGTCCTTGTTTTAGCCCCTTAATGCTGAGCGCCAGACAGGGTAACAACAAGTTCCATCTTTTAACGTCTTTTGGTATGACGCGGTCGGGGATCGAACCCCGGACCTTCCACTCTCCGGGCAGACACTCTACCCTAGACCACGGAGAAGGTCTTGTCTGTTTGAAGCCAACTATACCCGCATATAAAAATCATTGACATAAGAGTGTGTGAGTTGGTTTTAGCGCCACTTTGAACAATATTCCAGTCATATCATGGCGTGTGAGGAAAGCTTAGATATGTTCCACTTTGGTAAAACCCGCGATCACGGGTACATTGACGTCAGAGATTCATGCAAGTGACTGAGAAAACAAAGAAATATTTTGCTCTGCTATTCAATCTACAAAAGGTATTCAGGAAATATCAGAAGATGGATCTACATGAATCTGGGGAACGTGGGATGTACCTGCATTAGGGTAACAGATGACGTAGGCTGTTGTGTTGTTGCTGACAGACTCAATAAATGGACGCATTTCTGCCGCACCAAGAGCACAGTTGAGACCAAGGCTGAAAAACCAAGCAACATACATCACATGCAAACAGTTGCCCTAACACATTGATTAACAGGAATTTAAAATCCCTTCAAACCAATGAAGGTTGTGTGAGATTGATGTCTGATGTATCACATGGGTTCTGAGTGAGATACAAAGGCTGTGTGAGAATGATGGTTGTTTGACCTACCCCATGGGTTCTGAGTGAGATACAAAGGCTGTGTGAGAATGATTGATGTTTGACCTACCACATGGCTTCTGAGTGAGATACAAAGGCTGTGTGAGAATGATTGATGTTTGACCTACCACATGGGTTCCGAGTGAGATACAAAGGCTGTGTGAGAATGATTGATGTTTGACCTACCACATGGCTTCTGAGTGAGATACAAGGCTGTGTGAGAATGATTGATGTTTGACCTACCACATGGGTTCTGAGTGAGATACAAAGGCTGTGTGAGAATGATTGATGTTTGACCTACCACATGGGTTCTGAGTGAGATACAAGGCTGTGTGAGAATGATTGATGTTTGACCTACCACATGGGTTCTGAGTGAGATACAAAGGCTGTGTGAGAATGATTGATGTTTGACCTACCACATGGGTTCTGAGTGAGATACAAGGCTGTGTGAGAATGATTGATGTTTGACCTACCACATGGGTTCTGAGTGAGATACAAAGGCTGTGTGAGAATGATTGATGTTTGACCTACCACATGGGTTCTGAGTGAGATACAAGGCTGTGTGAGAATGATTGATGTTTGACCTACCACATGGGTTCTGGGTGAGACACAAGGCTGTGTGAGAATGATTGATGTTTGACCTACCACATGGGTTCTGAGTGAGATACAAGGCTGTATGAGACTGATTGATGTTTGACCTACCACATGGGTTCTGGGTGAGATACAAGGCTGTGTGAGAATGATTGATGTTTGACCTACCACATGGGTTCCGAGTGAGATACGAGGCTGTGTGAGAATGATTGATGTTTGACCTACCACATGGGTTCTGAGTGAGATACAAAGGCTGTGTGAGAATGATTGATGTTTGACCTACCACATGGGTTCTGAGTGAGATACAAAGGCTGTGTGAGAATGATTGATGTTTGACCTACCACATGGCTTCTGGGTGAGATACAAGGCTGTGTGAGAATGATTGATGTTTGACGTACCACATGGGTTCCGAGTGAGATACAAAGGCTGTGTGAGAATGATTGATGTTTGACCTACCACATGGGTTCTGAGTGAGATACAACGGCTGTGTGAGAATGATTGATGTTTGACCTACCACATGGGTTCTGAGTGAGATACAAATGCTGTGTGAGAATGATTGATGTTTGACCTACCACATGGGTTCTGAGTGAGATACAAAGGCTGTGTGAGAAAGATTGATGTTTGACCTACCACATGGGTTCTGAGTGAGATACACTGATGATAAAGGCCTCAGTTGTCTGTCCAGACAAAGTCCGGCCACTCTTGTCAACAATAGTTCCTGATATCTGCAATACATCATCATCTTTACAATGTGTTCATCACCATAACTTGTTTGACACTGGTCAGTGTTGGTTGATATCTTCGAGTCAAGAATCACCATTACCATTACACTGAAAAACTCTATAGTACCCATATGGGTAATATTACAGATTTAACGGTGGTCTGTAAATAATCAAGTCTGGACCAGACAACCCACTGATTGACAACATGAGCATTGATCTACGCAATTGGGATGCGATGACATGCATCAATCAAGTCAGCAAGTTTGACCACCCGATCCTGTTAGTCAAAAATGATTGGCTAGAAAATGGCCATGACAATATTACATAATATCGAGCGCATTGTCTCAAATAATTGAAGACGCCATTGCAATTCCACACCAGATCACCAAAGATTTTATTTGGCATCTTTAAAAAAAATAGACTGACTGTCTCTTTCTGTGATTGGGAAACCCCCATTTCTTGAAATGGCCGACTCACAAACCAGAACTACTGTGTATCTGCCCCTGTTGAATTAGGTTCAAGTAGCTGGAAGTTGTACTTTAAGAGCTACTCACAAATATTGGACATCTCTTGTAGCCACTTGCAAATATTTCTTCAATACCAAATAATGCTGCCTGAAATTCAGAAAATGCACATTGCAGTAAGTTAACACAATATATCTTAAACCATGTCATGAAGTACAACTCACTTGTAGTGAGTGGGTGAGTACGGTTTTACGCCGCCTTTAGAAATATTCCAGCAATATCATGGCGGGGGACACCAGAAATGGACTTCACACATTGTATCCTTGGTGGGAATGGAACCCGGGTCTTTGGTGTGAAGAGCGAACGCTCAAACTACTACCCCGGTAGGCTACCCAACCCCACCCCACAACTCACTTGTAAATTAGTGGAAGGTTATGCATATTTGTAAGACAAGTAGATACACATATTTTCACCCAGGCTCTATCTACACACAGGGTATCTCATAATGTCCTTGCCTTGGAATTGGCTGTGTCGAATATAGTTTCAACCAGCAGCAAGTCCGCACCTCCGTCTAGCAGCCCCCGTGCTTGTTCTGAATACGCTTCAACAAGCTCATTGAAGGCTGGAAGTAAAAGATGCAGTCAAACACTAACCAAGGATCACAAAACAAAACTGGTTCTGGTTCTTTTAAAGAGATTGTAACATGAAAAAAACAAGAAAGAAGTGAGCAAAGGTCACATACCCCCGTTATCCCCGCTGGTCAACAACAAATAGTAATTAATGAAATATTACATATTTCTAACTGATTTAACTTCAATGTTTTAAAAACTAAGATTGAGTTCCAGTGACAATTGACAATTTTGTAGCTATACAAAACCAGTCATCAAAATTTCTAAATTCCATCATGTTTCCATGAAAACAGCAAAAGACAAAACTTTCAGAATCTTATAAAAGATAAAAAACAATCATAGCGGTTAATGTAGCAAGTTTGCTGAAGCTAGGATACATAATATTGTAAACATGGATCGTACAAAAACTCTACCCAAAATTTATGTTTCACCATGATTCCATGGAAACGGCAAAAATAAAAAAATTCAGAATCTTCAAACTAGCAAAAAGGCACAAATACTCATTGTGGTAAATGTCTGTAGCAAGTTTGGTAAAGCTAGGGTGCATGGTTAAAAAGTTATAGGCCATACAAAACACCCACCCTAAAAGTTTAAGTTTCTAATGTTTCCATGGAAACGGAAAATATTAAAAAATTCAGAATCTTCAAACTAGCAAAAGGCACAAGTACTCATTGTGGTTAATGTGTGTAGCAAGTTTGGTGAAGCTAGGGTGCATAGTTAAAAAGATATAGGCCGTACAAAACACCCACCCTATAGGTTTAAGTATCTTAATGTTTCCATGGAAATGGCAAAAATTAAAAAGTTCAGAATCTTCAAACTTTTGGGGTGTGTAGCCTTAAGCTGCCAGGGCATCGCGTGTGAGACAAATACTCTCATTGCCTGATATGTAGACTTGGCTTCAGCATCTAGCTATTTAGCAGCACTACGGAAATGGCAGGAAGCGCTCAGTCAATCTAATAGTGTTGCTATTTCTGATAATCCTACACAAATAATATTACATACATTGTTGAGTGTCTGAAACGACCTTTGATCTTGACATTGTTAATAATTAAAATAACAATGTCTGCAGCTACCATTTTATGTCTAACATCCTGTTAGGGTAACATAAACCACCTGTTGCAAACTGGGAGCTGGCCAGATCGCTGAAGTCGCTTTGTTGAGTTGCTACGTGTGCACCCAACTATGACCATGAACAGAGGCTTGCTTGCTTTGTAGAGAACAGAAGGGCAGGCTTGTTGAGTGATTTTGGGGATCAACAGAGAAAAAACTATGGGGCCTCTTTGTATCAAATGTCCTTCCTGCTTTATTTTTGTTTGAGCCTTTGAAAATGACAGACAGGTCTACAGTGCAAACTAACCTTATTTACACGCAGTTCCAATGTTTTGAATGTGGTATTTGCATTAACAATGTTACAATCTATGAAGAGTAAGAAGAGTGTTGAAAACTAAAACTAAAGGATGAGATATTTTCGTTTTGGGTCTGAAAGCAAAATGTCATGCAAGCATGAGGGTACTGTACCCTGATGATATTGCTTCGCTGACTACTTACTGACATTCCTGAAATCTGGTCTCTCCACCGACGGGGAGATGGAGAGTGTTCTGTTTGTGGGACCCATGGCACCAGCTACATACCTCTGTACACCTGAAGGAAGACCAGGTGCCTTGTATCATACATGTATCATGCAGTATCATACATGTATCACACATGTATCATACAGTATCACACATGTATCATGCAGTATCATACAGCATAAAACATGTATCATACAGCATAAAACATATCATACAGTATCACACATGTATCATACAGTGTCACACATGTATCAAACAGTATCATACAGCATAAAACACATTTCATACAGTATCACACATATATGATACAGTATCACACATGTACCATACAGGATCACACAGTATAAAACACATATCATACAGTATCGCACATATATGATACAGTATCACACATGTATCATACATGTATCATACAGGATCATACAGCATAAAACATATCATACAGTATCACACATATATGATACAGTATCACACATGTATCATACAGGATCATATAGCATAAAACATATCATACAGTATCGCAGATATATATTACAGTATCACACATGTATAATACATCATAAAACATAAATCATACAGTATCACCCATATATCATAAAGCATCACACATGTATCATACAGTATCACACATGTAACATACAGGATCATACAGTATCACACATGTATCATACAGTATCACACATGTATCATACAGTATCACACATGTATCATACAGGATCATACAGTATCACACATGTATCATACAGGATCATATAGCATAAAACATAAATCATACAGCATTGCCCATATATCATACAGCATCACACATGTATCATACAGTATCACACATGTGACATACAGTATCACACATGTAACATACAGATCATACAGTATCACACATGTAACATACAGGATCATAAAGTATCACACATGTATCATACAGTATCCCATATGTATCATGCAGTATCACACATGTAACATACAGGATCATATAGCATAAAACATATCATACAGTATCACACATGTATAATACATCATAAAACATAAATCATACAGCATCGCCCATATATCATACAGCATCACACATGTATCATACAGTATCACACATGTAACATACAGGATCCTACAGTATCACACATGTATCATACAGTATCCCATATGTATCATACAGTATCACTCATGTATAATACATCATAAAACATAAATCATACAGCATCGCCCATATATCATACAGCATCACACATGTATCATACAGTATCACACATGTAACATACAGGATCATACAGTATCACACATGTATCATATAGTATCCCATATGTATCATACAGTATCACACATGTAACACACAGGATCATACAGGTATCATACAGCATCACACATGTATCACACATGTATCATACAGTATCACACATGTAACATACAGGATCATACAGTATCACACACTATCACACATGTATCATACAGGATCATACACTATCACACATGTATCATACAGGATCATACACTATCACAAATGTATCATACAGGATCATACACTATCACAAATGTATCATACAGGATCATGAACTATCACACATGTATCATACAGGATCATACACTATCACACATGTATCATACAGGATCATACACTATCACACATGTATCATACAGGATCATACACTATCACACGTGTCATACAGGATCATACACTATCACACATATATCATACAGTATCACACATGTATCACACATGTATCATACAGTATCACACATGTAACATACAGGATCATACAGCATCGCACTTTTATCATCCAAAACTGGCTCCCACAGGAGATATCACTTATGTGAGATCAAGCGATATCTACATTGTAGACCATGAGGTTACAATCAAATGACATCACTAATGGCTCTACTGAAGCTGTTAGCAGTACTTTTTACACTTAAGACACTGCTTATTACTGTCTACAAACTGAAAAGTTTGGAAGAATCATGTTGGATGATTAATAAAATCTCACCCTCGTGTCATTTGATATCAAATATATCAACACACATTGATAAAACTCCAAGGCACTTACATCAACTCGTGTTGATATATTTGAGATCAAAAGACACTCGGGTGAGACTCTCTTTGTGTCATACAGCATCGCACATATATCATACAGAATCATACATATATCATACAGAATCACACATGTATCATACAGAATCACACATGTATCATACAGTATCGCACATGTATCATACAGAATCACACATGTATCATACAGAATAACACATGTATCATACAGTATCATACAGTATCGCACATGTATCATACAGTATCGCACATGTATCATACAGAATCACACATGTATCATACAGCATCGCACATATATCACACAGAATCACACATGTATCATCCAGCATCGCACATATATCACACAGAATCACACATGTATCATACAGTATCATACAGTATCGCACATGTATCATACAGTATCGCACACGTATCACATGTATTTAGTTAAGGTAAGTGTATTTGACCTCACAGAAGTCATCACTTGTTTATAAACATAACGGTCCGTCGGTTGCCAGTCAAGCATGGTTGTGGCCACTTATCACAGTAGAGTGCTTTGATTGGTGACAGTGATAGTATAGAGAGCTCTGTGAACAGGCTATCACTGTGAGGAGCTTGATATTTTGCACATCAAGGGAGATAACTCTGCAGTAAAACATCCGCAGAAACCAAACCTATAACACATATATCATACAGTATCACACGTCATACACTATTACACAAATATTAATAATGTACATACAAGCTAAAATCAGTGGAAACTAAACCTGTTTGGCCTCAAGAGGAAAACATATGTTGGAACATCTTGTTCTATTTCATCTGAAGAAATATACCCCACCTGTGTCCCTTGTGACATCATCACATGCTCGTCTGGCCAGCTTCGCAGACTCCAAGTTCAGTCGATACACCTGGGGGAAACAATAATACATGTAATTATATAACAACAATAATCTATTTATAATGCAACAAATTTCATTCAACAAGCGAATTAAAGTTCGTAGAGCGGAAGGTCCGGAGTTTGATCCCCGGCCGCGTCATACCAAAAGACGTTAAAAGATGGTACTTGTTGTTTCCCTGTCCGGCGCTCGGCATAAAGGGGTTAAAACAAGGACTGGTCGGCTCAGAGTCAGGATACTGTGTCTGAGTGGGGTATTCATGTTAAACTGCGGCATGGTATCTCAGTGAGCTAGCACTATAAATCGGCATTAGTCTGGACTAGTACAAGCAGCCTTACACTCACACGCATGCACGTCGCTATGAAAGTGCAATAATCTTGGATACGACGTTAAACCCAATTTCACCTCACCTTTTCAAGTTCCACCTTTACCGTGCGCCTGTGCAATCATTATTTCTGCCACAGTAATCGGCTGGTTACACAAAATCCATTACACATATACCACACAACTAAAGCTTTGGAGATCTCCAAGTGACTTTACCAGTTCTTCCAAGCCATAGTCTGCCTGTGCCACTCTCGTTCCGCTGAATGTATTCGTTTCTACAAAGTCGGCACCAGCTTCCAAGTAGTCCTGAAACAAATATTTTTATGAATATATTTTATGAATATTTGTAACAGCTGACCAGCGGAACCTTATGGAAACTAGTAACACATCCTCATTTTTATACCATAGTCTTGTAGCTATGTATCAACTGACTCAAATCTAACACTACTAGATGCATGTTTTTGTTTTGTTTTTGTCATATAACCTCCAATTATGAAGGCATATCAACTCTTAAGGTATTGACACAGTTATCTCCCCTGAGATGAATCCAAGTCTGACGCTAAGGTTAATGCTCCGGGACTCCATCTTGGACAGGAGTGTTTAGTTTGAAAATGTACAAAGGTGATAATAAAAAAAATAACTGATTTAGGGATCTGCTTCACACATAAATGAAAAGAGAAACTAAACACTATCGTTTCCCCTTCCAAATTGTCTATTTACATGTTCACCACATGAACATCATGCATGCGCTGAACTGCACGATCTACAAACCTGGCTTAAGGTGAGTGAATGAGTTGGGTTTAATGCCGCTTATAACAGTAGGTGACAAACATAATCAGGGCAAACCAGGATTTGAACCAATCATAGCCTAGGTTTTCTGTCGTGCCCAAGGGATAAGACTTTGCACAGCAAACTGTGGCACCTTAGACCTCAGACGAATAGCCCACCACCCCCCCTGTATACCCATAGGCATTAAAGACAAACAACTACTAAAAAACTTGTGACCAATTTCTCTCTTAAATTCATTGTACAAAAGTTTTGAGTACATGTAACGCAAACAGAATTAAAAGCACACTTAATATTCTTATACATGAAAACCAAACTGGCTTTATCCCTGAAAGACGTATTAGTGAAAACGACTACTATACGATATCGTGTTTGAAACAAAGTTACAAAATAAGCCTGGTTTACTATTACTTTTAGACTTTGAAAAAGCTTTCAATACGGTTTCGAAACATTTACCATGTTGACACTGGAAACGTTTGGCTTAGGACCTGCATGCATCAACCAAGTCAGCGAGCCTGACCACCCGATCCTGTTAGTGCCTCTTACGACAAGCATAAACTCATAATATGCTAATGACACAGAAAGATTTCTAGATGGGACTGATGAAAGCTTAAGTACAGCTATTGATACCCTAAATTATTTTTTCTAAAATGTAGAGATAAAAAAATTAATATTGATAAAACAAAAGTAATATGGCTGTGACATCAAATTGTGTCAGGAACTGAAACTGGGTAATCAATATTTGATTTGAATTTTTTCTTTTTTTTTTCTTCAAGGGAATCATCTTCCCGAGGCAAGTGAGTTAACTGACTATAAAAGTCCAGTTTCCACCCTTGCCGAACTAGGCTGGTATTATGGAGTTACATTTTGGCTGGACTAACGAGTCTATGCATAGTCCAATCAAAATCTCACAACGAAATTGAAATCCTGTTCCTAAACTGCCGTGCAGATTTAGGTCGATTGCAGGATTTGCAAAGCATGTGCACCACCAACTCGTTGCCAACAGATATTTTCCAAACCTTTTCATGTTTTTAATCAAGGTGCTCACATGATTTGATGCACTTCGCGATGTAAGACCCGTTTTATCACAATATAGATCTTGATTATCGATCAGATCATCTTGACTGGGCACCGCCATTTTGTTTGAAACAAATGCAAAAGATGGAATCGGATTGGTCCAGAGGAGAGGCTCAGAAGGGACATAACTCATAATAACCACTGGTGGCGCTACGATCGAGCCCAGGAATTCCAGCCAAGTTCGGCAAGGGTGGAAACTGGACTTTTAAAGTCAGTTAACTCTCTTGCCTCGGGAAGATGCAAGGGAATATACACAATTAAAGATCTCTGTAATGAAGATGATAAAATGCCCTTCAATGAACTTGAAAGAAAATACCAAATTAAAGGTATTTCACCACCTGTAGAGATGATATTGCACCTGTATCCTGACTAGCCAACTATAATTTGCTATCTGCTGTAAAGGTATATAACCTAAACCTAATAAGTATAATATGAGTGTCATGTTACTTTATGTAAAAATATGTAACATCATATACAGAATTGAATAAACAAATTTATTTTTTTTAATTTCCATAACTTGGCAACAGGTGTAGTGGAAGCGACAGCAACCTTGTGCATCCTATAGATGGCCTGGGGCTTTGAAACCTGCAGTACAAAGGTATGTCACCTACACCTATAACTCCGGAATTCCAGCCTGCTTCGGCAAGGTTGGAAAATGGACTTTTACAGTCAGTTGACTTCCTTGCCTTGGGAAGATGCTAATAAGTATAATATTAAGTGTCATGTTACTTTATGTGAAAATATGTAGACCTAACATCATATACTGAATTAAATAAAAAAATATTAAAAAATGTCAATAACTTGGCAACAAAGGTGTAGTGGAAGCGACAGCAACCTTATGAATCTGATAGATGGCCTGGGGCTTTGTGATGGACAGCAGGTCATTGTTCCCCTTCAAACTCTTTGGGTGATTTGCTAACTCCTCCCCCCTGAAGTCTTCCTCCTCCAGACGAAGCTGTTGAATCATGGTGCCCATCCCCCCATCAAACACCATGATCCGCTCTTGGAGGGTTTTCGCGATCTGATCCCCCATATCTGTAACAGAAGATATCCCTTCACTTTGTGTCAAACTTTACTGAACAGTATTATAATAATGTTTTGGTAAAAATTATGAACATATATATCTAGTCAATAACAATTTTGTTTGCAAAATTAAGACAATTAGTTCTGATAAGATATGTTTTGGCTAACACCTGTCATCTGAAATTTTGATTGCTAGATCTAGGTTACAGAAGAAAAAAATTCAATTTAAACAAGAGCCCATAGAAAAGTTATTAATTTTAAAAAATATAACAAATGTATTTTACAAGCGCAAATACATTCGAATATATCCAGTCCTCCTCCAACATATTTTTTTACAAATATAATACACGTGTAATAATATTATTAGAACTGTCAAACATGTGCGGTCTCATTGACCTCGCGTGCATGAATATTCATGACAACATGTTGTTGTTGTTACTTATGACTGCATGAAATGCATTACCAGTCCCAGTGGAAAATGCAGGCCGCATCGTGAATATTGGTGATATGATGTGAAATTTTCCAGTGACCTGCCGAACGAGGACAGACAAACCTCTTCTTCTAACGTTATCGCCAGAGTCGCAGGACCCAAATAACTCGGCCGAGAGAAATTTCTATTTATATAACCCAAGCGTAAACTATTTCCCTAACAACATATATTATACACTAACACACGTGAGGCACCGCAAATAACACTTTGGGTTAAATAGGCCAGAGAACATAGGCCTGATTAGGCCTTTTACGTTTTTTTCGAATGTTAAGCGACAAAACTCATGAGTAGTTATAGAATAAAATATTTGATCATCAGGTAAGATCAGAATTCCAGGGTTTTTTTAATATCTAAGTTGTATTTGATAACTTGAACATTACCCCTCCATTGAAGGGACACGGGACGTAAATGAAAGCAGAGACCGTATACCTATATATGGTCTCTGACAAAAGTGAAAGCTCAACAGGGTACTCGACTAAACATAGAGTCATTAAAAACGAATTGGGTATTACGTAATGCAAGCTTCTGCGTAAGACGCTTTCGACCATGTCACCGAGCATTGTTTGTTTGTTTGTTTGCTTGTTTAACGCAGCACCCAGCAATATTCAAGCTGTATATGACGGCGGTCTGTAAATAATCGAGTACGGACCAGACAATCCAGTGATTGATATCATGAGCATCGATCCACGCAATTGGGATCACGACAAGCATGGGTTGCTGAAGACCTATTCTACCCCGGATCTTCACGGATTTCACCGAGCATTGACCGTATGATCCATAAATCGCCTCTCACGTGGGTGTTTTGCAACATGACCGTGGATATATGCATTTCTCCCATACACATAAATCCCCAGCCAACAAGAGAAAGTATCGCCTAAAATGTCACACAAATCTTGAAGCATGATTGCCATTACTTAAAACTAAATATATGTCCTTCCACGACTTGCGACTTATCTACTGGTCCAGTGCAGACATGATGCCATCTGAAAGCGCCGTCTTTTCTGCCACTAACAACCATCCGAAAAATACTTCCAATATAATCTGCGCCATAACAGTATACTTCTTATCAATTCATATTCATATTTATAAATATTTCTGGGAGCACAGGAAGCATAAGATCAGCAAAAGGGTTATCATATGTTATATCTTATAGGGGTTATGTGTATCATGTGACAACTGTGACCAGTGGACTTAAACCGTGTTTGTGGTACCAGACTTTCTGTAGCCTGTTATAGAGAAATCAGCCGGACTTCAGAAGACTTCCCTTTCTGCTGTTTAAGATGCGTAGATCCCGTTATAGAAGAGGTGATTGGTTACATGAACTTTGGTATCAGTTTAGAGTCCGAGTTGAGGTACTGTGCTGTCAATTAATATTGTTGTTTCAACTGATTGGTGTAATTGTACTCGGTACTCGGTGCTATTAATTACACGTAGTTTGTTTGCTTGTTGTTTACCGCCGCTGTCAGCAGTATTCCAGCTATATGACGGCGGTCTGTAAATAATCGAGTCTGGGCCAGACAATCCAGTGATTGGTATCATGAGCATCGATCCACACAATTGGGATACGATGACTTGCATCAACCAAGTCGGCGAGCCTGACCACCCGATCCCGTTAGTCGCCTCTCGCGACAAGCATGGGTTGCTGAAGACCTATTCTACCCCGGATCTTCACGTGTCTAACCACACGTAGAGTAGTTTATTGTACAGTAGAGTAATTGAACGTATGTTATGTTATAGGTGAAGGAACAAGCTGTAGTATATTATATCTACCTTCAAATCTTGCGCTAGTATAGTGGAAAAAGCACAACAGAAACGCTGAAACTCCGGACCCTTATCAGCCTGGCGGACGCCAAAATCACTCTATCCTTGTTCGCATGGCGAACGGTATCATAATGTTTATGTATTTATTATACATTATAAATTCTATTTCGTTCTTATCGTTATTAAAAATAGAGGTGCCGCTTTCGCCCGACAATTAGTAACCGTTTTTGTCAAAAGCGCTGCAAGAGAAGTCGGTGACGTTTTGCTGAGGTGCCATTTTAGCCTGAACCGAAGCATTCTGGTGTCAATATCGGCTGTTCTAAGGTTCGCCATCATTGATTCTTGGTTTGTCAGGATTATACTCCGTACTGAAGTATACAGCCTGTTAAACCTCCATTCAAATTTTGATAAAGATTTATTATTACACTGAATAATCGAGGACGCAACAAACGCCGCTTTGACGGTCGGTAGCCCGTCACGCGGAAGACTCGGGTTTGATTCCCGACATGGGTACAATGTGTGAAGTCCATTTCTGGTAACCCCCGCCGTGATATTGCTGGAATATTGCTAAAAGCGGCGTAAAACCACTGTGACCTAACTGTTCTAAGCATTAATAAACCCATCTCACTTTATCAATCATAAATATTTCTTTATTAGTAGTGTCATTCTTTCCTAATCTTTGGTGTAAACGTATTCAAATTAATTACATATGTGTCTTAATAGCGGGAAAATGCACTTAGGCCAAGCTGTGCACGGGTTGGTGAATAGTTTTATCACTTTTATGTGTGTGCGAGTTGATTAACTCGTCACAATAATTGATTCTGTTAGATGACCGGTGTTTTTGCATCAATGTTGTATTATTAGTTGTAAGGCAAATATAATTTACAGTGCGCATTGGATTTGCGGAAGTGACGTAGGGTTTGCTTCGTGGACTCGGCGATTATAGTGTTATTTCGATGTACAAACTTTCTCGATAAATATCAGATCACAGAATAAGGAGGGATATTACACAACACACGATCACATTTTAAGGTAGGGATAATATGTAACACATTTAACCCCACTCTACGTTCAATAATTAGAAAAGATAACAGATCGTATGCTATCCATTCTGACATGCCTATTTGACGTTTGAAGCCGAACTCTTCGGCGAAGAGAAAACTTGGTTTCGCTCTTGAACGAATATTCTGGTCACGCTCGTAGGTTCAACAACGGTTTTAAATGTTGTTTAGGTATGGATATCAGAAATGTAGTATACTATTTTATTGTTTCTGTTGGCTTGTTTACGACTTAGTGTCCATACATCACGAATTAAACTCTCTAAATACCTTAGACTTAAGATTAGGGAATGTACTTTGCTGGATCCTGTTCTTCATAATAAACTCTCGTAGGCACCTATCCAACAGTATTATGAAAACCTACTGTACAACGCAAATACACTTTTTTAACAGAAATAATTGTTTAAGTTGTAAAAAAATAAATAAATATAATTTGTCATGGTTCAGGAGTATTATTACATCCGTGAACAATTAGATGTTCTAATGGCTGCATATAATGATTTTGTGATCGTACAGCACGATCCTCATATAATAATATTAACATATGGTCCGAAACAGTGAGCTCAGAACATAAGGGTTTTATCTCATATATAGCTCTGCAGCAGACGACACTCTGTCATGACCTCTGCTGCCCGAGTTATTCTGATGGAAACCGGTATCCAATTGAAAGTAGGGAGATAGCTTCAAAACAGATCCTTGTGTTTTGTGTTTATGGATGCTTAAGAAACACTCATAGTTTTCTCGCTAATCACAAGAACAACTGTAAAACATTCACTCACTTATGAAGGCAAACTTTATCTTGAAAGCAAGCCATCATCTGAGTAATTGCAATGTCTGTGTGACGCCACAACCCTTGTATCCACAATACATGCTATTTACAAGACAGAAGCACGTGAGCGTATATAATTATAATCATGATAATGTCATTAGACCACTGTGGTCTAGTGGTAGAAGGTCATGCACATCACTATATAACTGTAAGTGCAATAATCTTGAAAGCGACGTGAAACCTCACCTATTGTCATTTTCGAAATAATCCTTGACGAACACATGATTAAGATGTAGTTTTACACAATGAAATGTCTTATAAAATTGCATAAGGATATGTTTGATGTGAACTCTCCCCCCCCCCCCCCCATTTTATCATATAGTGCCAAATGATTTACAGCCATGTTTGCAGAAACACCCACAGCCTTGGAAACCCCCATCTAAACTTATCGGACAACTATTTATTGATCAAACATACATTGCATCACTGTATGGAGCCTAAAATTTGTTCCTGCTGGATGACCTCATTTGCATATACATGTATATATAGAGGACTGGTTTATCGCATTGATAACACTGTCTGTTATATGATAATGTACTGTAACCATAGGAATTTAAGAACGCCAATGGTATTGTTGATAGTATGCAAAACAAAAGATAGTTTCAATAGTCGCAATTAGTTGTAGATAAAATATAAATTTTGAGTCCGAAAACTCGAATTTCAAACCTGCTGTGTGTTGATCAACAAGGATTACGTCAACTTCAGATAGAGTTACTTCCCTTGTTTTGAGTTGTGACAGGGAGGACAATGGCTGACGTTGACATGTACTTTATTACATTGAATAATATAATAATGAAGCCTTAAAGTTAGTGATGAGTATTGGCATGAATTTTGTACTGCAACTTAATGCAATAATGGTTCATGTACTGTGATATGTCCCACAATATATTGCATGTGTTCTTTCATCTGTAAGTTGTTATGAACCGGAACAACAACCTCACCTGCATGTTTTTGACAACTTCATATTTTGTTGGATGTTGTTATGGTCACAGGGGGCACAGGTGACCCAGTCGTCTAAGGCGCCGCGATTCGCTGTGCAGAGTTGCGTCCCTTGGGCACGCCAGAAACCTATGCTTGTGGGTTCGAATCCCGGTTCTCCCCGATTGTGTTTCTAGGTTTGTCAGCACCGTACCTGTGCTCGTGGGTTTCACTGAAGTGGTAAACGTCTGAGACCTGCATCACTTCTGGCTTTCCTCCTACATTAAGCTGACATGCTGCGATATAACTGGAATACTGTTAAAAGCGGCGTTAAATCCAACTCACTCACTCTCTGTTATGGTCACAAAGCATGCGTGATAGACACATATGTATACATGATATACAGGAAACTGTCACAAATAATTTCCCTGTTTCAACCACAGGAAAAGGTTTCTTATTTCTTAATTTCCCTTTGAGTTGACACTAGTGTCAAATCTTCCAACAAAACGATAAGCATGATTTTGAAAAACGCAATATACTGGTATTTTCCAAACGTATTGTACTTTTGATTGGTATCTCATATTGTGGTATACCGTTAATATAAAAAAACTCTACTTAAAGTAGTTTTAACACTATTACAATACTATTGAAAGTGTGGGGTACTATAGCAATACAATCGCAGTAGTGAAAATAGCCCCACCTGTCACCCCTAATGTACATGACCGCCTCCGTGGTCCTGTGGTAGAGCGTCCGCCTGGAGAGCGGAAGGTCCGGGGTTCGATCCCCGGCCGCGTCATACCAAAAGATGTTAAAAGATGGTACTTGTTGTTACCCTGTCTGGCGCTCGGCATTAAGGGGCTAAAACAAGGACTGGTCGGCTCGGAGTCAGTATACTGTGTCTGAGTGGGGTATTCATGTTAAACTGCGGCATGGTATCTCAGTGAGCTAGCACTATAAATCGGCATCAGTCCGGACTAGTACAAGCAGCCACACAAACACATACTTGTACATGCACGTCGCTATATAAGTGCAATAATCTTGGACGCGACGTTAAACCCAATTTCACCTCACCTCTAATGTACATCGTCATTATTTGCTATGTTGGCAGGTCCCTGTGGAACCCATCTTCTTTCTCCACTACTGTATGACTTGGTTATGTCAAGTCATTTTCAATGATAGCAAGGCGCCGCCGCACCAACTCCGGATCTGACAATCACCAATCAGGGAGTGACCGGAGTGGCTACTCATCTCGCACCCACATTGGACAGGAGAAACAACAGTCCCCCAGCCCACCATCAAAATTCCAGCACGATCCAGACATGACATGCCGAGATCGAACCACTGAGTTTTTGTCAGCTGTCAAGTCACAGCAGTCAAGACAGGTTGGTATTCAGTTTTGCAGTTGTGTATCATCATCCTTGCTCTTGGTACAGCTACACACTTTTGTGATTGTATTCAGTGAATTTACTGATAAGTGCACATGCAAGTATCGCGATATGTATTGGATCTTGAGCAAGGTATCATGATACGTATTGGATCACACAGTTGGTGTATCGTCCTAGCCCTAATATGTATAATGGTGTTATAGTTGTTGGAATTACACCGGGAACACAGGATGAAACAATCTGTACATTTATAGTACATATAAGTCTGCAGTGAAATAAACGGACACATTGCAATAGCACACAGACACAATCTGTTCAGCCCTCTGGAACACACCACACCTCACTCAACCGTAACTCAAAACTAACTGCCTCCTACGTCACACCATTAAATCAATGTCTATATGGGGCAGTCGGGTAGCCTAGTGGTTAAAGCGTTCGCTTGTCACGCCGATGATCCATTTTCGATTCCCGACATGGGTACAGTGTGTGAAGCCCATTTCTTGTGTCCCCCGCCATGTTATCGCTGGAATATTGCTAAAAGCGGCGTAAAATCAAACTCACTCACTCTTTTAGAATTTATGTACATCCACAACATAGTGATATTGTTTGGTATACGAAGGGAGATAACTCCATCATGGGATAACGTTAAGGCCACGAGAATATAATTTACTTCGTTATGATCACTGTTTGATACAAGCATGAAAGTCAAGGGTCTAACCCTAATGTTACTAGTTAAAGGTTAAGGTGTTCTGGATTCCAATACCACAGGAGAAGAACTCAAGGACCCCAGGACATCCTTAATTTTAAACGTGGATGATTGTTTCTGCTGATGAAGATTCCAGGTACCCAGTAATTCTTTGTCATGTTGGTTTATAAGGTTATGGTTAGCATGATCAGTTGGTTTCAATGTGTGATGTGGCAGATTGTGTGCCAAATATGTATGGCGTCCAGGGATTTATCTAGACCTGCTCAGAGGTCGATATTTTGCCCCAAGTCTGCAGCAAATGTCACTCACTCACTCACTGCAAAATCAATGCCATAAGAAGCACTGTCTGATATTTTTTTCTTTTTCAGTCAAATGGAATCAATCCGTCTCACAGAAATCGGGACTTGCGACAGAGGAGTCAGTTCACACAAATAGCAAAGTAGGTTGTCTTTCATTATGTTTGTTGTTTTCGTGTAGCTGATGAAGTCACTCTCAGTTTTATATTTCGGAAATTCAGGATAATTTAATGGTTTTGTGTTTCAGTCTTCAGGTACAAATGTTCCCTCTTTGTCATTTCATTGCCCCAGTTATGTTCACACCAATACAGCATTGTACAGTAGCAATTCAATGATTTGATATGATTGTGATAAAATTTAGATCCTAACTATGTATTAACATGATGGTACATGCATGGTATAAAGTAAATTACTTGCTTTTTTACTGTCTTGAAAAGTAATTTTAAAATATATTGAAGTTTGTATTGATACCTCTGAAAAGCCGCTAGAGGACTCTAAGCCTTGTCTTTCTTTACTTTGTTAAGATGTTTATATCATGTATACCAGACATTGCTTTTTGGAACAAGGAACTTGTGAATTGTTGATACCGTGCTCTCAAAATTAGAAATATGGGGCTCTTATCAGAATATAATATTGGTGAGAATAAAAAAGACAGAGTTGAAAGATTGTAAATTTCATGGTTTATGCTGACAGCCTGAAATAATGCAAAAAAATAATCTGTGCATATTATACATGATAGATATATTTTCCAGAATTAAATTGCTCATAATTAAGGGTGCATATAACACATGAGTACATATTATACACGAATAAATAAGTCTTGTGTATATTGTTTAATCGGAAAGGGTGCTAATTGGGATTGTTCACTAGCCAATATATTAGTAAATATCGCCGCAGGCGCTGATTAGAGCGGGGCCCTTATTACGTTGAATACAGTAATTTCAATAATATTGGAATAAGTCCCCAGCAACCTCTGCTGGTCAATACACTCATGAGAGGCTACCAAAAGGAACAGGTGGTCAAGTTCGGTGACTTGGTTGATAATGTGTCCTCGTACCCGACGACATGGATCGTTGCTCACAGTATCAATCACTGAATTGTTTGGTCCAGACTTCATTTACTGGACTCTGTCATATAGCTGGAATTTTGCAAAGTGCAGCGCTAAACATGTTAAACAACAAACAAACAAACAAAACAATGTCATCACAAGTGATGGCACGCAACATTACTATGATCCAGTGTTAAATATAGCAAATGAAATATGATCATGATTCATATTGTTGTCAATTTGATCTCATTTTGTACTGCACCATGTTGATATTTTTCCTGAATTTACTTTTTCCTGCTATTTTATGTTGCACCAAGTAGGTGATTTTTCGGGGATGGGGGTGTGGGGGTGGTCGTTGTTGGGCAATGATAAGTTACACAAACATGACAACATCTACATGTTTATTTACTAGTTGTCTATGATACTTTGTTTGTGTCACTGCAGGAGAATTGGTCGGGATTTGGCAAACACATTTGCAAAATTGGAAAAATTGACAATATGTAAGTAAATGTTTCCATGTTGTTGTTTTTCATGATGATAAGGATTATATCCCAGAAGGAATTGTGGAATAGAGTAAACTAGTCTGAGACTGGTAGCTATGTTCTTTTTTTTATTACTTAACATCTGACCCGTGAAGATTCCGGGGTAGAATAGGTCTTCAGCAACCAATGCTTGCAGTAAAAGGTGACTATGCTTGTCGTAAAAGGCGACTAACGGGATCGGGCGGTCAGGCTCGCTGACTTGGTTGATGCTTGTCATCGATCCCAATTGCGTGGATCGATGCTCATGATGTCAATCACTGGATTGTCTGGTCCAGACTGGATTATTTACAGACCGCCGTCATATAGCTTGAATATTGCTGAGTGCGGCGTTAAACAACAAACCAACCAACCAACTTAACATCTTATAATGTCGGCATCTGTGGCTACATTTTCTGAGAAGTTGCCAGTACTGCGAGGAATATGTCTGAACAAGATTGTGAGCGATGGTTGATGGTTTGTAGTCAGCTATTCCCATCTGTTTTTTATCCTATATAGTCTCTATATTATGTCAGGTAACCCTGGTAACAGGCCTGTTGATGACATAATGTTTTCCTTCACAGTGGCCAAACGAAAGTCTTTATTTGACGACAAGCCTGTGGAGATACAGGAGTTGACGTACATCATCAAGCAGGACATCAACAGCCTCAACAAGCAGATAGCTCAGCTGCAGGAGGTATGTGAGGGGAACCACAGTAATGGGGAACAGCTGGTCCCCGTGACAACAGAACAATGACACTAGCACAACACTATCGGCCTGTCAGGGGAACAGCCTGCTCCTCTTGATAATTGATACTCATTTCTTTCCTAATGAACTTGAAATTCAACATTGATGGGTTGTTGTTTTGATAAAGTAGAGCTGTCACATTCACTTGAACATATGTTTTCATTGTTGTATTTTTCACTGGTGAACATGGTGAAAGTTTGGTTTCAGCAGAGGTATAATTCTGTCATTGTGTTTTTCTGTTTCAGCTGGTGAGGTCTCAGAAAAGTCAAAATGGCAAACATCTACAATCTCATTCCAACTCTGTGGTGGTGGCACTGCAGGTCAGTTTGCGTAGTGATTGTGTGGTCAGAGATGTTAGTATATATTAGTTTATCTCAGGAAGGTCAGGCATTTATTTTGACCTGCTCAGAGGCCGATATTCAGCCCCAAGTCTGCAGCAAATGTCAGTAAAAATTACCAAATTAAGAAGTTGCAATTACATGTTTATACTGTGTACTGTACCTAATGTTATGGCTTTGTTGGGGTAACTCGTATTTTACTGATAACAGAGCCAATGAAGAAGAGACTTTAATGTTTCGTTTTACATTATTGCATTAAAATTAGAAGACCTCAGGATTTAAGAAAATAAGAACTTGTAAATATCTCAGTATTGAACAAAATATCAATTGTTGCTCACTTTGCTTGCCAAGGTACTTAGTGTGGAATCCTAGATAAATCTGTGGAGGTGCACAGGATAAGGAGAATAAGTTACTTTCATTTTGCTTAACACCCAATCATGCCCAAACACATATATCTAGTCATTGAATATGAATATGTGTCTATCTGTAAAACATCATCTATGTAGTTTCAAGAATATCATTTGTCAATATGATCCACGAAGATATCAGATCCATTAATTTTACACATTGTAAGTTACTGTGTGTTACTAATCTGTTGTAACTGTTACTGTTTTAAGTCAGTAAGTCCATTAACGTGATTATTGATGCTGCTTGTTACACTCTGTTACTACATGTTCTCTTCATGCTCAGACCGCCTCCGTGGTCTAGTGGTAGAGCGTCCGCCCGGAGAGCGGAAGGTCCGGGGTTTGATCCCTGGCCGCGTCATACCAAGAGACGTTAAAAGATGGTACTTGTTGTTACCCTGTCTGGCGCTCGACATTAAGGAGCTAAAACAAGGACTGGTCAGCTCGGAGTCAGTATATTGTGTCTGAGTGGGGTATTCATGTTAAACTGCGGCATGGTATCTCAGTGAACTAGCACTATAAATCGGCATCAGTCCGAACTAGTACAAGCAGCCACACACACACATACACGTGCATGCACGTCGCTATATAAGTGCAATAATCTTGGACACGACGTTAAACCCCATTTCACCAGCAACTACTAATCTGTTGTAACTGTTACTGTTTCAAGTCAGTAAGTCCATTATCGTGATTATTGATGCTGCTTGTTACACCCTGTTACAACATGTTCTCTTCATGCTCATGTGTCCTGCCAGGCTTTCCTTACACCTGAATGTCTAATTTCAGTCCAAACTTGCAAGTATGTCCAATGACTTCAAGCAAGTACTGGAAGTACGAACAGAGGTAGGGATATGTTACTTTACATTACAGTGTAGCACTGATTGACAGACAGTTTGTTTCAGTGTGTAAGGCAATTTGGCCATTGTACAGATTAGACAATACATTTATGAGAGCTTCAAATCACAGCTCATCTTTGGAACAGCCTATTTTAAGTGCGCTTCATGTACTTTCCACTCAGTAAATATGATATGTATGATGTAACACTGATTGGATAATTCAGAAAATAACTTTAATTAAATCATTTACTGAGTTCACACATTTCTATTTTCATGTAACATGTGCCATTCGTTTAGTTTGAAAAGTGTGATCCATAGAATAGTAATAGTTTGTTGTGTTGTTTACTGTTGCTTAAATTCTATTATCATCTTTTATGGATTGAGCATATATGTGACTGGAAGTGTTAAATGCTTACATTTAAATATTCTGGCTGCCATTTATTTTCAGAATCTGAAACATCAGAAATCAAGACGAGAACAGTTTTCAGAGTCTGGTGTGTCTTCGTCCCTCCCTCCCTCAGCTCTCAATGGACACAGTAAGTAGCTTACTGCACCACTTGACACAGGGAACAGTCATCTTGGCAGTTGTTCTAAGGGTCAAGCTTTTAACAATTCAGTATGGTCCAAACAGTAACAATTAATAAAAGTATGTTTGCTCAGTATCATCACATATAACCAGGAGAGATGTGAAGATGTTGACTTGTTTTAAACACCCAGTAGTTGCCATGGTTACATTGTTTGCACTGTATGGACGATGATGCATTAGGCCCAAGTTTAATTCCTATCATAGTTTAAGCGAGAGACGGCTTCGCGGTCTAGTGGTAGAGCGTCTGGCAGGAGAGCGGAAGGTCTGGGGTTTAATCACTGCCTGTGTCATACCAAAAGGCGTTAAAGATGGTACTTGTTGTTACCCTGCCTGGTACTCTGCTAAAACAAGGACTGGTCAGCTCGGAGTCAGTATACTCTGTCTGAGTGAGGTATTCATGTTCAACTGCAGCATGGTATTCCGTTGGCTAGCTCTATAAAATAGGCATCAGTACGGACTAGTACAAGCACTTGCATGCACGTCACTATATAAGTGCATTAATCTTGGACGCGAAGTTAAACCCCATTTCACCTCACCTTTTAAGCCACTAGGTACAAATGGTATTTATTCGTCAAGGTTATTGATCATGTTTCTTGTGTGTCAGATGGATCGGTGTTGTTGCAAGATGAGGCCAACAGTGGGGATGTGGCCATCAACATGGACGGCATGTCCAACCAACAGTATCAGAATCAGCTACAGCTCATCGACGAACAGGTGAGTCTTGATTGGCTCGTACCATGAAGTGTAGTCCATGTTATCATGGAGTTATCAGGAATTGTGTGTTCTTTGTGAGTCACCATGACTTGTGTGGTCCTTGTGAGTCACCATGTCTTGTGTTGTCTATGTGAGTCATCATGACTTATGTGGACCTTGTGAGTCACCATGTCTTGTGTTGTCTATGTGAGTCATCATGACTTATGTGGTCCTTGTGAATCACCATGTCTTGTGTTGTCTATGTGAGTCATCATGACTTGTGTGGTCCTTGTGAGTCACAAAGACTTGTGTGGTCCTTGTGAGTCACCATGTCTTGTGTGGTCCTTGTGAGTCACCATGTCTTGTGTGGTCCTTGTGAGTCACCATGTCTTGTGTGGTCCTTGTGAGTCACCATGACTTGTGTGGTCCTTGTGAGTCACCATGACTTGGACTGAGTCACCAAGACTTGTGTGGTCCTTGTGAGTCACCATGTCTTGTGTGGTCCTTGTGAGTCACCATGTCCTGTGTTGTCCTTGTGAGTCACCATGTCTTTTGTGGTCCTTGTGAGTCACCATGTCTTGTGTTGTCTATGTGAGTCATCATGACTTGTGTGGTCCTTGTGAGTCACAAAGACTTGTGTGGTCCTTGTGAGTCACCATGTCTTGTGTGGTCCTTGTGAGTCACCATGTCTTGTGTGGTCCTTGTGAGTCACCATGTCTTGTGTGGTCCTTGTGAGTCACCATGACTTGTGTGGTCCTTGTGAGTCACCATGACTTGGACTGAGTCACCAAGACTTGTGTGGTCCTTGTGAGTCACCATGTCTTTTGTGGTCCTTGTGAGTCACCATGTCTTGTGTGGTCCTTGTGAGTCACCATGTCTTGTGTTTATGTGAGTCACCATGTCTTGTGTGGTCCTTGTGAGTCACCATGTCTTGTGTGGTCCTTGTGAGTCACCATGTCTTGTGTGGTCCTTGTGAGTCACCAAGACTTGTGTGGTCCTTGTGAGTCACCATATCCTGTGTTGTCCTTGTGAGTCACCATGTCTTGTGTGGTCCTTGTGAGCCACCATGTCTTGTGTGGTCCTTGTGAGTCACCGTGTCTTGTGTGGTCCCTCTGAGTTCCAGGACTTGTGTGATCCTTGTGAGTCACCATGTCTTGTGTGGTCCTTGTGAGTCACCATGTCTTGTGTGGTCCTTATGAGTCACCATGATTTGTGTGGCCCTTGTGAGTCACCTTGTCTTGTGTGGTCTATGTGAGTCGCCATGACTTGTGTGGTCCTTATGAGTCACCATGATTTGTGTGGTCCTTGTGAGTCACCATGTCTTGTGTGGTCCTTGTGAGTCACCATGTCTTGTGTGGTCCTTGTGAGTCACCATGTCTTGTGTTGTCCTTGTGAGTCACCATGTCTTGTGTGGTCCATGTGAGTCACCATGTCTTGTGTGGTCCTTGTGAGTCACCAAGACTTGTGTGGTCCTTGTGAGTCACCATGTCCTGTGTTGTCCTTGTGAGTCACCATGTCTTTTGTGGTCTTTGTGAGTCACCATGTCTTTTGTGGTCTTTGTGAGTCACCATGTCTTGTGTGGTCCATGTGAGTCACCATGTCTTGTGCTGTCCTTGTGAGTCACCGTGTCTTGTGTGGTCCCTCTGAGTTCCAGGACTTGTGTGGTCCTTGTGAGTCACCATTATTTGTGTGGTCCTTGTGAGTCACCATGTCTTGTGTGGTCCTTGTGAGTCACCTTGTCTTGTGTGGTCTATGTGAGTCGCCATGACTTGTGTGGTCCTTGTGAGTCACCATGTCTTGTGTGGTCCTTGTGAGTCACCATGTCTTGTGTGGTCCTTGTGAGTCACCATGTCTTGTGTGGTCCTTATGAGTCACCATGATTTGTGTGGCCCTTGTGAGTCACCTTGTCTTGTGTGGTCTATGTGAATAGCCATGACTTGTGTGGCCCTTATGAGTCACCATGATTTGTGTGGTCCTTGTGAGTCACCATGTCTTGTGTGGTCCTTGTGAGCCACCATGTCTTGTGTGGTCCTTGTGAGTCACCATGTCTTGTGTGGTCCTTGTGAGTCACCATGTCTTGTGTGGTCCATGTGAGTCACCATGTCTTGTGTGGTCCTTGTGAGTCACCAAGACTTGTGTGGTCCTTGTGAGTCACCATGTCCTGTGTTGTCCTTGTGAGTCACCATGTCTTTTGTGGTCCTTGTGAGTCACCATGTCTTGTGTGGTCCATGTGAGTCACCATCTCTTGTGTGGTCCTTGTGAGTCACCGTGTCTTGTGCGGTCCCTCTGAGTTCCAGGACTTGTGTGGTCCTTGTGAGTCACCATGATTTGTGTGGTCCTTGTGAGTCACCATGTCTTGTGTTGTCCTTGTGAGTCACCTTGTCTTGTGTTGTCTATGTGAGTTGCCATGACTTGTGTGGTCCTTGTGAGTCACCATGTCTTGTGTTGTCCTTATGAGTCACCATGTCTTGTGTGGTCCTTGTGAGTCACCTTGTCTTGTGTGGTCCTTGTGAGCCACCATGACTTGTGTGGTCCTTGTGAGTCACCATGACTTGGACTGAGTCACCAAGACTTGTGTGGTCCTTGTGAGTCACCATGTCTTGTGTGGTCCTTGTGAGTCACCATGTCCTGTGTTGTCCTTGTGAGTCACCATGTCTTTTGTGGTCCTTGTGAGTCACCATGTCTTGTGTGTTCCATGTGAGTCACCATGTCTTGTGTGGTCCATGTGAGTCACCGTGTCTTGTGTGGTCCCACTGAGTTCCAGGACTTGTGTGGTCCTTGTGAGTCACCATGTCTTGTGTGGTCCTTGTGAGTCACCATGTCTTGTTTGGTCCTTGTGAGTCACCTTGTCTTGTGTGGTCTATGTGAGTCGCCATGACTTGTGTGGTCCTTATGAGTCACCATGATTTGTGTGGTCCTTGTGAGTCACCCTGACTTGTGTGGCCCTTGTGAGTCACCATGACTTGGACTGAGTCACCAAGACTTGTGTGGTCCTTGTGAGTCACCATGTCTTGTGTGGTCCATGTGAGTCATCATGTCTTGTGTGGTCCATGTGAGTCACCATGTGAGTCACCATGTCTTGTGTGGTCCTCGTGAGTCTACGTGTCTTGTGTGGTCCTTGTGAGTCACCATGTCTTGTGTGGTCCTTGTGAGTCACCATGTCTTGTGTGGTCCATGTGAGTCACCATGTCTTGTGTGGTCCATGTGAGTCACCATGTCTTGTGTGGTCCTTGTGAGTCACCATGTCTTGTGTGGTCCTTGTTAGTTCCAGGACTTGTGTGGTCCTTGTGAGTCACCATGTCTTGTGTGGTCCATGTGAGTCACCATGATATGTATAGTCCTTGTGAGTCACCATAACATATGTGGGTCACCATGGCTTGTTTTATCCATGTGAGTTGCCATGGCTCGTATGGTTCATATTATAACGTCACACTTGGTGCCTGTGAATATTGAGGGACTTGTTCGTGTGTTACTGTATATCTTAGGATTGTGCATTGCATGTTCTACATCTGTGCTCTCTAAGTCATTATTCTTGTTGATCTGTTTCAGGATTCCTACATCCAAAGTCGGGCTGAAACCATGCAGAACATTGAGTCCACAATAGTGGAACTTGGATCTATATTCACACAACTAGCTCACATGGTCAAGGAACAAGAGGAAATGGTTACAAGGTGAGTCAGTGCAGGATATTCATACCATGGCAATGGGTCAAAGGTCAGCTTTGAGTTGAAACATTGCATTGTTATGTCTCACTTCTCCGTGGGGATTCTGAGTTGGAATCGGAACCTATGCTGTTCATAGAGGCAACATAATGAATTGGGTGGTCAGGCTTTGTGACTTGGGTGATACTGTGTCAAATTATCAATCACTGGATTGTCTGGTCCAGACTTGATTATTTATAGGCCGCAGTCATCTAGCTGGAATATTGCTGAGTGCGGTGTTAAAAAAAGAAACACAAGCTTATGTCACACTTTTAGCTCCTGACTATATGAGGTATGTTGATGTACCAGTAATATTGTTTCATGAAGTTTCAGGGGGCAGTAACCATGGTAACTGCACAAAATGTTTCATTTTCCGACTGTTTTCAAGCTCTGCATGTTTTTTGAGCACTACAAAACATGCCACATAAGTCATTTGTTTATTTCTTCACTACTTAGTGTCCATGATTTGTTGCAGGATTGACTCCAATATCGAGGATACCCAGATGAACATTGAGGCAGCTCACAGTGAAATATTAAAATACTTCCAGTCCGTCACCTCAAACCGATGGCTCATGATTAAGATTTTTGCAGTTTTAATTGTATTCTTCATTATATTTGTAGTCTTTATGGCTTAGGTGAAACAACTCCATGATTTCATATCCCAGTGATATATTGACTCCAAAGCAAAAAACTATCATGTTCAAGACTTGACAGCTCAAAAATATGTGTTGTGAAGGGAGATAACTCTTCATTCTATCATTGTCTCGCCTAGGTGCTGGTCATAACATGGTAAACAATGGGACATTCGAATCACCAGGTTCAACTGTCGTTTCCAGATCACATTCTGACAAATACATGGAACGATTAATCTTTTTCTACTTGATGTTTTTGCAATTAAAACAAATATCTCATTTGAGAAAGAATTGTTGGCACTGTGATAACAGTTTGGTTATAATCTCTAACCAAAAAAAGATAATTTGAGGCCAGACCAATTTGGTAATTTGTTTTACAGACATGCCTGTATAGTAACTGCTACTATGCAGTAATATGTTTGGTCATTGATTTTGATTTTAAAATAAATATATTTTTCTTTTTTCCTTCCTGCCTTCAGCTGATTTCTGTAAAACAAATAATTACTTTGCTCTGGCATTCTCATACTATTATAATTATATTGAAAGTCAAAGGTACTTTCCAAGTACTGGAAGTTGTTCTTATATATGGTTATATTCAATCGATTGATATATGTGATAAGCGCACTCCTGCGGCCAGCATAGTACCTCTGCCACAGGCCAGCGTGATGTGACGATTGGTCACATCTTACACAGTCCTTTCAAGATATTTGCATTTGTTTTTCATGTGTTTCATTTTTTATGAGTCTACACATTTAGATAAACATATGTCATGGAATTGTTAACTTTCATTGAGAAAATTTTCTAAAACGTGAAAAGATATTTCCATAGTTGTCGTGTGTTTACATTGGTTGTACGGCTCCTGGTGCTGTCATCGAAGCCCTACAGAGAGCTAGTGATGTGGCAACTGTTATGTATAAAGATAAATCGTCATGCACCTCACTGTTGTATATGTAATAGCATATATATAATTCTGAAAAACAATATGTAAAACACACCAAAAGACATTAGGCCAGTCTGTTCTGAGATTAGAATAAGCGTGTTTGGTTACAAACAAGAGAAACGTCCGGACACGTGATATGCAAATCAGCCTGTGGCAGTGGTGTTATGCTAAGTCACAAATGAGCCGGAGTGGGTGTGAGAAGGATACAAACAGACAATGTATGATTAACTCCAATGGTGGCATGGTGACCTGTGGTGACATTTGCAGTACTTCCGACTTACTCTTCTCCAAAGCTTTCTGCATGGACTGGCATTATGAAGACACCCTGGTCCTTGCATCTCCACACTGTGTCTCAACACAATCACCTCCTTGTACCATGGGGATCTTAGTGTATCAAAAGCTGTACATATTTGCTGGGGACTTCATGATATGTACATACCTGTATTTATATTTTTGAATTGGGGAACTTGCATGTACTACTTTCTCAGACCAGAAACCTATTTTCTTCCTTGGAACATAATTGTTAATCAGACTCCATGCATCCTGAAGGATGATCTAACATCACTGTACAACCGGCATCTTCCCGAGGCAAGGGAGTTAACTGACTGTAACAGTCACGTTTCCACCCTTGCCCACCTAGGCTGGAATTATGGAGTTATATTTTAGCTGGACTAACGAGTCTATGGATAGTCCAGTCAAAATCGCGTAACAAAATCGACATCCGGTTCATAAATTGCAAGATTTTGGTTCGATTGCAGGATTTGTATAGCATGTGTACCACCAACTCGGTGTCCACAAATATCAATCTGATCGTCTTGTCTAGGCACTGGCATTTTGTTTGAAGCAAATGCATGTGATATGAGAGGTGGAATCTGATTGGTCAATATGAGGGACATATAAGGGACATATAAGGGACATAATGGTAATAGCCACTAGTGGCTCTACAATTGAGCTCACAAATGCCAGCCTTGTTTGGCAAGGGTGGCAACTGGACTTTTACAGTTAGCTAACTCCCTTGCCTCGGGCAGATGTACAATAGGATGGTGTAAGATCATGTAATATGTTTATAGTGTAATATGGTGTTTGATTTAAAATACAGAACAAGAAGTATATTAAGTAACGGCCAGACATTATGGGAATTGCATAGACTTTTCACTGTACAGGGATGAGAATTGTCCGCGGATTTCGTTATGTCAAGGGTCACTTCTTTGATACATGCAATTACAAATACACGTAAATTGTATAGTCCCACTGACCCTCGGCTAACTCTCACTTGTTTTTTGTTTATTTTAACATCAATTCTCATCCCTGAATGTAGATTTAAGGACAATCGTAAAGTGAATGTTTCTACAATTGTAATAATGAGGTTGTCATCCATGCTGCCTTGCCATTACTTAATATCCAACTTACAAATACCACACAGAGGTACTGACTCCGATAAATGCAATAGTCCTAGATTATTGGTTGTAAAGTGTATATTAAGCTGTATTTGTGAGAAGGGAGTAGAACACTGGATGTAAGATGTATTGTATGTTATATTGCAAGGCAAATGTGATTGTAATGTTTTACCATTTATAACATGGCTGTAAATATATTTGTGTGGTGTCTGTACAGATTGCATGTGTTGAGACAGGTGGAAACATGTAACTCATGACATGAAAATAAAGACATTTCCAGCGTCCTGCATCAAAGTGTCCTGTCATTGTAAGATGAATCAGACCCATAAAGATGCATGTGAGAATAGGTCTTCAGCAACCCTTGCTGTAAAAGACAACTATGCTTGTTGTGAGAGGCAGGAGGTCAGGCTTGCTGACTTGGTTGATGCATGTCATTGTATCCCATTTGTGTGGATCAATGCTCATGATGTCAATCACTGGATTGTCTGGTCCAGACTCATTTATTTATAGACCGCCGTCATAGCTGGAATATTGCTGAGTGCGGCAAAAACAACAAAGAAAGAAAGGAAAGATGAGTTCCTTTGATTGTTTTGCCTTTGGTTGTGTTTGTAGTCCCAGCATTGAACATGTGTCTAGGGTAAACTGTAATTATGGCACCTGCAGGGACAGGTTACTTTCACACAGACTATGTGAATCCTGGAGCTGAATTTGCCAGTGATAACATTAACACAGGAAAACACACGTACCAGGAGGTAAATTAGTCACCATGCACAGGGGCGTTTGGGTAGCCCAGTGGGTAAAGCGTTTGCCCAGCCCAGTGGGTAAAGCGTTTGCCCATCACGCCGAAGACCCGGTTTAATTCCACATATGGATACAAGCCCATTCCTGGTGTCCCCTGCCCTTATATTGCTGGAATATTGCTAAAAGCGATGTAAAACCATACTCACTCAACAGGAACATTTTTGCTATAGCTTTGCATCAGAATTCACTTGTAAAGAAATATCTGTATGATGAAACTCTGAGACAAAAATGATGTGGTGCATGGAGAGTGCATGTTGCTGTGATGATTTTTCCCGTGCATCATGACGCTTTAGGGGTCAGTAGGGTAGCCCAGTGGTCAAAGCATTCGTTTGTCACATAGAAGACCGAGGTTTGATTCCCCACATGAGTACAATGTGTGAAGGCCATTTCTAGTGATGTTGCTGGAATACTGCAAAAACATCAGGCATCATAAATATTTTTTGGATATTTTTTTGACAGATTTGACTCAATCAAGATTTGACTCAATCGAGTAGTATGATCTAAACAAATGTGTTCGTGTGAAAAAAAGGATTATTTTGGTAAAATGCAATGAATATTGTATTCCACTTGTGTATTACAGGTCATACTGTATGACTTCCCCAGATACAGCCCTCCAGACGACATGGGGGGAACATGTTGTTATGGGCCTCATTCAACTGACTCGGGTAGAGAAGGAGCCTGTCTTATGTCAGACTTGGCTGTTACATGCCAATCAAATTGTCATTGAAATATGACATGTTTCTGTGTTTTTTACTTATATGTAGCACTTAAGAGCAGTATATTTTCACAGCAATGCCAAACAGAGAAAACTACCCTGTTCACCAAACTAAGGAAACAATGCCCTGTTCACTGAACAGAGAAAATAATGCCCTGATCACTGAACAGAGAAATCAATGCCCTGTTCACCAGACAGAAAACAATGCCCTGTTTACCAAACTTAGGAAACAATGCCCTAATCACCAAAATGAGGAAACAATGCCCTGCACCAAACAGGAAACAATGCCCTTTCACCAGCTGAGGAAACAATGCCCTGTTCAAACTGAGGAAACAATGTCCTGATCACCAAGCAGAGGAAACAATGCCCTGTTCTGCAACTGAGGAAACAATGCCCTTTCACCAGACAGAAAACAATGCCCTGTTCACCAAACTGAGAAAACAATGCCCTTTCCTCCATACTGAGGAAACAATGCCCTGTTCAAACTGAGGAAACATTTCCTTGTTCACTGAACAGAGAAAACAATGCCCTGTTCACCAAACATAGGAAACAATGCCTTTTCACCAACTGAGGAAACAATGCCCTGTTCAAACTGAGAAAACAATGCCCTGATCACCAAGCAGAGGAAACAATGCCCTGTTCTGCAACTGAGGAAACAATGCCCTTTCACCAGAGAGAAAACAATGCCCTGTTCACCAAACTGAGAAAACAATGCCCTTTCCTCCAAACTGAGGAAACAATGCCCTGTTCAAACTGAGGAAACATTTCCTTGTTCACTGAACTGAGAAAACAATGCCCTGTTCACTGAACTGAGAAAACAATGCCCTGTTCACTGAACAGAGAAAACAATGCCCTGTTCACCAAACATAGGAAACAATGCCTTTTCACCAACTGAGGAAACAATGCCCTGTTCAAAATGAGAAAACAATGCCCTGATCACCAAGCAGAGGAAACAATGCCCTGTTCTGCAACTGAGGAAACAATGCCCTTTCACCAGACAGAAAACAATGTCCTGTTCACCAAACTGAGGAAACAATGCCCTTTCCTCCAAACTGAGGAAACAATGCCCTGTTCAAACTGAGGAAACATTTCCTTGTTCACTGAACTGAGAAAACAATGCCCTGTTCACTGAACAGAGAAAACAATGCCCTGTTCACTGAACAGAGAAAACAATGCCCTGTTCACCAAACATAGGAAACAATGCCTTTTCACCAACTGAGGAAACAATGCCCTGTTCAAACTGAGGAAACATTTCCTTGTTCACTGAACAGAGAAAACAATGCCCTGTTCTGCAACTGAGGAAACAATGCCCTTTCACCAGACAGAAAACAATGCCCTGTTCACCAAACTGAGGAAACAATGCCCTTTCCTCCAAACTGGGAAACAATGCCCTGTTCAAACAGAGGAAACAATGCCCTGATCACCAAGCAGAGGAAACAATGCCCTTTCCTCCAAACTGGGAAACAATGCCCTGTTCAAACAGAGGAAACAATGCCCTTTCACCAAACTGAGGAAACAATGCCCTTTCCTCCAAACTGGGAAACAATGCCCTGTTCAAACAGAGGAAACAATGCCCTGATCACCAAGCAGAGGAAACAATGCCCTGTTCTGCAACTGAGGAAACAATGCCCTTTCACCAGACAGAAAACAATGCCCTGTTCACCAAACTGAGGAAACAATGCCCTGTTCAAACTGAGGAAACATTTCCTTGTTCACTGAACTGAGAAAACAATGCCCTGTTCACTGAACTGAGAAAACAATGCCCTGTTCAAACTGAGAAAACAATGCCCTGTTCACTGAACAGAGAAAACAATGCCCTGTTCACAAAACTTAGGAAACAATGCTCTGTTCACCAAACAGAGGAAACAAAACCCTGTCCACCAAAGAGCTGAGAAAAACGTGTCTATGTCTGTATCAATGACTTCGTTCAGAGACCATGTACCATATATACCGGTATATGGCCTCTGCTTTGGTTTACAAATTATGAAGAAATTAGTTCCTGCATAAGGGTGGGGATTAGGGCTGGGACGGGTAACTCGGGTACTCGGGTCGGGTGGGTACTGAGTAGGACCCGGGTAACCACAGGACTACCCGGACCAGTGGTTTAATGACAAAAATTATCTAAAACTCTATGGTTACGCTATAAGTCACTAAGTTTCCCATTTCTTTCTGACTATACACCCATTCCTTCTTACTTTTATATGTCTGAATAAAGATATAACTTCATGCAGTAAACTTCAGTGTATGCATGGCCAGATTGTTTTACACGTATATCTAAATACATTTTGCCAGGGCTACGGTCAAACTTTTCCCAATCGGACAGTCTGTACCTATCTCTAGATATCTACAGTGGGTACCCGGGTAGGGTCGGGTAATAGGGAGGTGGGTACCCGGGTAGTAAATGTGGAATCGTCCCAGCCCTAGTGGGAATGCACTCAATATGAAATCACTTTATCTAACAAATTAAGAAAACAAAAACTGTTTTCATGAAAATGAGAAGGCGGTCTCCTTTTCGCCAAAAGGGAAGCAATGATTTGATTTGCTCAAAGTCAAGAACTCGTCTAATTTTAAATGTGGTCATCAAACCAATATCAGTTCGAGTTACTTCCCTTTATTTAATGTTTATGTTTTCGTTCATGCACATGTTCTTGGTAATGTGAACATGATGTCGCGAGATGAGGTCGTTATCACTGACAGGCGGCGACATTGAGGAAGTAAATTGTGTATGTGACACGACCCCAACAGCAGCGTATCATATGACCTCGTCAAATTGTTCCGGGTCGGGAATATTCTTACATACCGACATTTGGCGGCTGTCTGATGTGCCACGCCCACCAGTTCTTGGAAATGTCACCCCAGAAGTTGATATCAAATGACTGAGGACACGTTACACATGTAAGCTGTTTTACAAATATCGGTCCATAAATATACTCTCTGGTGATAAAATGGTTGCATTTGAATTATTGTTTATCCAATCGATTTGAAAGCAAATTCTAGTGCAGCATGCACGAGCTGCCCTAACCGTACCTTTGAGATGCTACCTATTGACGATTTCAAAACTGACTTGTCGCATTTGAAATGCATTGAAGATTTGCATCTATTAGAAAAAACACTATAGGACGGCCCGTAGCTTTGCGTAGCGACAAGTCAGTGTCAAAATCGTTTAATATGGAGCACCACAGAGATCCCGTTAGACTAACATTTAGTCTCTGAAATCTTATATTACACAATATCCTTCTTCACTCTAAAAATAAAAAAATAATTCCCTATAGAGCTAGCTTGAGCTGGCTAGACTTGCTTTTGTATGCATTTCTAGATTATTTTTTTCCATAAAATAAATATATTCCTCGGTCATGGTGCAGGACTAAGATCCTGTTAACGCAACTAAGTATGCAGTGGCTATCAACTATGCATGCATAGTTATTGGCAAATTTGGAGGCATATCAAATATTTGAATGGTTTCTGAGTCTCAGTGTCTTTTCATCAGTGACAATAAATAAATGCACACCTGGAAAATTTGAATGCTTATGATAACCAGATGATGATAATTTATTATATTTTTGTATCACATGAGTGTTAGTTTTGAGATGGTTTAATTATTGATACTTTGTGTACTGATGGTTTTGCAGGCTGGGAGATAGAAATGAAAGGGACGAAGCCTGTTGCCTCCTGTCTCCGACCTGTCCCAACGTCACCCAGTCATCAGAGGTGTCATGACCGCCTACCTCTCCCCGAGTCCATCTTCTACTGGGTGGCCGGTGTAGGCAGTATCATCTACACCTTCTACATCGTGCACCTGGAGTCCCAGAGTGAGTACACACCAATAGTACAGTATCATATTCAAATTTCTTCGTCCAATATTCATTCAATGTGGTTACAGTTGTGATTAAATTTTGTTTTGATTTAACACGGCACTCCGCAAAATTCCAGCTGGGTGACGTCAGTCAATGAAAATAAATAAATGAGTCTAGACGAGACAATCCAGTGATTGATGTCGTGAGTATTGATCTATGCTATTGGGATACGATAACATGTATCAACCAAGTCAGTGAGTCTGACTAACCAATCCTGTTAGTCACCTATTACGACATGCATGTGGGATTAAGTGCACACAATGTATTCAGAGCGGGGATTAAATGCACACAATGTATTCAGAGAGGGGATTAAGTGCACACAGTGTATTCGGAGCGGGGATTAAATGCACACAATGTATTCAGAGAGGGGATTAAGTGCACACAATGTATTTGGAGCAGGGATTAAGTGCATACAATGTATATAGAGCGGGGATTAAATGCACACAATGTATTCAGAGAGGGGAATAAGTGCACACAATGTATTCGGAGCGGGGATTAAATGCACACAATGTATTCAGAGAGGGGATTAAGTGCACACAATGTATTCGGAGCAGGGATTAAGTGCATACAATATATTCGGAGCGGGGATTAAGTGCACACAATGTATTCGGAGCGGGGATTAAATGCACACAATGTATTCAGAGAGAGGATTAAGTGCACACAATGTATTCGGAGCAGGGATTAAGTGCATACAATGTATTCGGAGCGGGGATTAAGTGCACACAATGTTTTCGGGGCAGGGATTAAGTGCACACAATGTATTCGGAGCAGGGATTAAGTGCACACAATGTATTCGGAGCGGGGATGAAGTGCACACAATGTATTCGGAGCGGGGATTAAGTGCACACAATGTATTCCGAGCTGGGATTAAGTGCACACAATGTATTGGGAGCGGGGATTAAGTGCACACAATGTATTCGTAGCGGGGATTAAGTGCACACAATGTATTCGGAGCGGAGATTAAGTGCACACAATGTTTTCGGGGCGGGGATTAAGTGCATACAATGTATTCAGAGTGGGGATTAAATGCACACAATGCATTCGGAACGGTGATGAAGTGCACACAATGTATTCGAAGCGGGGATTAAGTGCACACAATGTATTCGGAGCGGGGATTAAGTGCACACAATGTATTCAGAGCGGGGATTAAGTGCACACAATGTATTCGGAGCAGGGATTAAGTGCACACAATGTATTCAGAGTGGGGATTAAGTGCACACAATGTATTCAGAACGGGGATTAAGTGCACACAATGTATTCAGAGAGGGGATTAAGTGCACACAATGTATTCAGAGCGGGGATTAAGTGCACAGAATGTATTCAGAGTGGGGATTAAATGCACACAATGTATTCAGAATGGGGATTAAGTGCACACAATGTATTCAGAGAGGGGATTAAGTGCACACAATGTATTCAGAGTGGGGATTAAATGCACACAATGTATTCGGAGCGGGGATTAAGTGCACACAATGTATTCAGAGCGGGGATTAAGTGCACACAATGTATTCGCGGCGGGGATTAAGTGCACACAATGTATTCCGAGCTGGGATTAAGTGCACACAATGTATTCGGGGCGGGGATTAAGTGCACACAATGTATTCGGAGCGGGGATTAAGTGCACACAATGTATTCGGAGCGGGGATTAAGTGCACACAATGTATTCGGAGCGGGGATTAAGTGCACGCAATGTGTTTTGACATAAGAGATTTTGCGACAAGAGATTCAATAATGAATCAAAGGGACTCCATCATCTCTACTGTTTGTCTGTATGTTTCAGAATTCTTCATTAATCTCAACAAGGAGGACTTTGTGGAGGGATGGAAGTTTCTCCCTTATAAGAAGGTTAATTTCTTAATCATTATTCGCTGGTATAAATGTAATTCTTTGTTCAAGCAAATTATTTATGAATTCCTGATATTTAACAAATAGTCACCAATATGTTTTGTTACAGGATATTTCAAACTTTGAATGGAATTTTTGGTCAAGCTACTTCTGGGAGATTCTGCCATGGGGAATTGGTCATGTGGTCATAGCTCGAACAGTGGACACCTACTTCTGCAACGTAGGTAACTCATGTAGAATAGTTAGTTAAACTAACTTTTTACATATATTTACTTTTTACCAATATATTACATTCCTGGAATGTGTTCATGAAGAAGATCCCCGGCCGGGATCAAAAGCTGAAACATGATATATATCCTTTTTCATGAATCCGAAATCCAAAGTGAGGCTTTACAAGCTGTCCTGTTTGTTTGTCCTTGTCTGTTATTTGTTTTATTTCCAGCTTCGTAAACCAGTGTTTCTGACATTCTCCCTCGTGAGAGTGTCGTATCTCCTGGTCTACATGACATTGTTACGTTGTTTTTATTTCCAGCTTCGTAAGCCTGTGTTTCTGACATTCTCCCTCGTGAGAGTGTCGTATCTCCTGGTCTACATGACATTGTTACGTTGTTCTTATTTCCAGCTTCGTAAGCCTGTGTTTCTGACATACTCCCTCGTGAACGTGTCATATCTCCGGTCTACATGTCATTGTTACTTTGTTATTATTTCCGGCTTCGTAAGCCAGTGTTTCTGACATTCTCCCTCGTGAGCGTGTCGTATCTCCCGGTCTACATGACATTGTTACTTTGTTGTATATTTCCAGCTTCGTAAACCAGTGTTTCTGACGTACTCCCTCGTGAGCGTGTCGTATCTCCTGGGATACCGGACGGTGCTGTTCTTCATCTCACATGGCTGTATCTGCTACCTGGCCTCCTCCGTCGGCAGCTTCCCCCTGGTGTGGGTCGTCAGTCTCCTGCTGCTGTCCACTCTCAACTACAGCAGCTTCACTCCGTGGATGGTCAGTGTCGTCCCGAGCTGTTTCATTCAACTTGGAATTTGTTAAGCTTTATACTAAATTTTGAACTGATTTTGTACTAGTTGGATTTTTAGTGGCATGATGCCCATACCATCTGTCCATCTGATCTGTCCATCCATCTGTCTGCGCGTCTTGTGAATTTCATTTTCGACATCTATTTTAACAAAGGACCTGTGATGCTTAACATGGCTGTCATGCACAATCCTACATTTAATTACCATTTTGATTTGGCATGGGTGATCCAGTTGTCTAAGGCGCCATAATTCGCTGTGCAGAGTTGCGTCCCTTGGGCATGCCAGCAACTTATGGTCATAGGTACAAATCACCCTAATAAAGTTTTAGGTTTGTCAGCACCATACCCCTACTCGTGGTTGAAACTCACTCTCGCAAAATATGAATTTCCTCTGCTCATACATTTCAGAAAAGTTTATGTGCGATTCCAACGGATCCGACCGACAGTGGGTACTACTTCTTCATCTTTGTTTTGGCCCTCGTCATTCTGCGATACACAAGCTTTTGTCTGGAACGCAGCAAATTCGTGCAAGCAAGGTCAAGTAACTCTCATCGACAGAACCCAAAGGAAGATAGCTGCTTCTCTATTCTTGATCTGCTACTCTACATTTTCTATCTGCCAATCTTCTTCACAGGACCGCTTCTCACATATGACCAATTCAGACTACAGGTAAGAGAAGAGGATTTGGAGTGGGTGAGTTAGTTTGGTTTAACGCCGCTTTTAACAGTATTGCAGTTATATCACGGCATGTCAGCTTAATGTGGGAGGAGTACGGGTATGGTGCTGACAAACCTAGAAACATAATCGGGGTGAACCAGGATTCGAACCCACAATCATAGGTTTCTGGCGTGCCCAAGGAACATAACTCTGCACAGCAACGACTGGGCCACCCGTGCCCCCGGGAGAGAGAGGATTTGGAGGTCAGATAACAAGACAAATTATTAATTAAAGGTGTAAGGTCAGCATGCTATGTCTCATCTTCCCGAGGCAAGAGAGTTAACTGACTTTGAAAGTCCAGTTTCCACCCTTGCCGAACTTGGCTGGAATTCCTGGGCTCGATTGTAGCGCCACCAGTGGCTATTACGGGTTATGTCCTTTCTATGCCTCTCCTATTGACCAATTAGATTCCACCTCTCGTATCATTTGCATTTGCTTCAAACAAAACGGTGGCACCCAGTCAAGACGATCAGATCAATAATCAAGATCTATATTGTGATAAAACAAGTCTTACATCGCGAAGTGCATCAAATCACGTGAGCACCTTGATTAAAAACATGAAAAGATTTAGAAAATATCTGTTGACAACGAGTTAGCAGTGCACATGCTTTGCAAATCCTGCAGTCGACCGAAATCTTCATGACACTTTACGAACCGGATTTTGATTTCGGTGTGCGATTTTGATTGGACTATGCAGAGACTTGTTAGTCCAGCCAAAATGTAACTCCATAATACCAGCCTAGTTTGGCAAAGGTGGAAACTGGACTTTTATAGTCAGTTAACTCACTTGCCTCGGGAAGATGGCTATTTCTAAGATATGTATCTATAAAAGAACCCCAAATATGCCAGTCTTTGCTTCATACAGCACAGGTATCTGCTTAAAATGGATCCATTAATCTAAGATCCTATCTTGGAATGTCTAAAGATGTCTCAGAGCAAGGAGAACCAGCAACCATCCTGTTTTAATATCGTATCATATCCTTCTCAATATGACACCTGTAATGAGCTGTTACATGCTTCGGAAGTTGCTAGTACACATATAAACAATTTCATCGCTCGTTCATGGAAGGATGAAGGTCAATTTAACCTAAGTAAGAGTCATGGCGACAAATTAAAAAACCTTTGTCAAAAACATTTCATGTGTTGATAGAATATACCTGTATGAAAATATGCAAACATTCCTTTGGGCCCTGAACAGTCGGTGCATCTCAAATGTTTTCGCTTTGATTTTGGAGATAAACCTTGCATGTTTTCAGTTTAGAGGTTTCAAAGATTGATTCAATATCTATGAATTTAAATGGAAACCAACCTGATCAATGAATAAATATTTCCTTTCGTGGTAATACGGCCATCAGCAAGAATTACCAGGGAATTATCTAATATGTTTGATACCTGTGGCAGACACATCAAAATGCAGGATTCTAAAATGTTTTGGAAGAGTTCAGGATAAAGACTTCTGATTGTTTGTTCTTGTTTACAAAAGATCTCAAAATAAATGTCAAATGTGATTACTACCATATTTCTTTCAATCTGAACAGTTTTGTTCCTTGTTATTTTATTGAAAATTTAGGGAAGGCTCATATTAAGAATAAATAGTGAAAACTGCCTTTCAGATCTCCTCTCCCACCCCGAGCTGGAACACAGACAGGGTACTCCAGACCTTGGGTAGCTTCCTACGGGTGTTCTTCTGGTCAGCATTCATTGAGCTGTCTCACCACTTCCTGTACCATGATGCCTTGCTGCGGTCGCCGGCGGTGATGGAGCAGGTGTCGTTGTGGTGTCTGCTCGGCGTTGGCTACATTGAAGGGCAGCTGTTCATGGTTAACTACGTCGTCCTGTACGGCCTGCCAGCACAAGTTGCTAAACTTGACGACATCGATGTACCCAAGGAGCCTAAGTGTATATCACACATATACCGCTACTCTGACATGTGGAAGTAAGTATCTCATTCCAAACTCAGAAAACATATGTCCTCATAGATGCTAGATTGGATTTGCATTTATTTTTATAGATATACTACTCAACTTTTGATAGAGATAATCAGATATGTCATTCCATTTAAACATACATGTGACATATTTTGAGGATCTTTTTTGTTTTATGGAAAGATAAAGATATCCCTATCAAAAGTGGAGCTGTATATTATTTTTCTCCTACTGGTGGCCCAGTGATTTAAGGGACTGAAATTCATTATGGAGAGTTACTTACCTTAGGGGTGCCAGGATCTGCTGATCTGTCAGCCTCTGTTCCCGTCTTTGTGGATTTGAAAAGTGGTAGACATCCACAACCTGTGCAAGTTGTGATCTTGTTCCCACATTAAGCTGACATGCCGGGATGTAGCTGAAATAATGTCCGAAGCAGCTATAACCCAATTCACTCAAATTGGAGAAAGGTTTGTGTATCAGTGCTGTTCAGGTTTGTGTCTGACCATCTTATTAGTACATTTTCTTCAGTGAACTATCTTTCATTCCAGGTACTTTGACAGAGGTTTATACACATTCCTAAGAAAGTAAGTATTTTACCATTACACTATAGAAGCTACGAATTATATCATATCTAAAGAATATGTTTTCCTGTCATTTAATTGCATCATGAATATTTTTCAGTCTCATTAGAATGAGATCCTAGTGCTAGCTACCGCTACACAAAGGACAGTTCATTACAGGTCATGTCAGAACAACCTTTCGCGAACTTTGACCGACCAATGAAATGACTAACAAGAAGTTGACATCAGCCAATCAGCAATTTGGATGAAAGGTCGTTCTGATGTGACACATAATGTAATGTCCTTTAATCTTTACTGGTAACTAAGATCTGATTTTAATGAGGTTGTATTTTTTAACTGTTATTGTGGTTTTCCTCCCCAGTGCAAATGTTTGTCATCAGAGTTGCCTAAAATAAGGATTGGATGTTTACAATGTCTGACCTGGTCGACTCAATGTCATCACAACTCACTGCTGTGATGTGATATCATGTTCAGTCAAATTTCCTTCTGCATTTCCTCAAGGCATAATTCTTCCACATACATGTGAATTGAAAGTCCGAGTTTTGAAGTCCTGGAAGTGTAACCTGTAACTGATATCTGCAGCTACATCTACATCCCCCTGGGTGGGTCCCAAGCCGGGATGCTGATGCGGCTGCTGGCGTCCATGATGTGCTTCCTCTACATCTACGTGTGGCACGGCCAGGAGAAGTACCTCCTTCTGTGGACAATGAGCAACTTCTGTGGCTGCTCCCTGGAGCTCATCTGCGGACACATCGAGAAAACCGCCATGTACACCCGCATAAAGGTATCATATCATATCACAACAAGAACTGACTGCAATATTTTTTGTGTTTATGGAAGTATAAATGTAAAAGCCAATGTGCATACTTTATACAAAGTGTGCACACCATTTTTTATGTTTAAAACTTCATAAATTCAAAAGAGTTTTGAAGTCAAATCTTTTGAATGAATGTGACCCATAATAACTTCACAAACTGCTTATGTAATAATTAACAAAAAAAGGTAGACAACAATACAAAATCAGTGACAGCATTATGCAACACAACCCCCGCCCATTCTATAATTAAGAAATCAAGAAACAGTTGTCCCTTAGTGGGAATGGCCTAATGTTTTTTCGGTTTATGGAACCAAGCGAAAAAAATTACTAGATTAGGGACCGATCATTTATTATAGGGGGTAGGGTGTCGGAGGGAATATGGAGGGTCACCAAACAATATGACAATCTCAAGGGCAGGGTCATAACACAAAATTTGGTAGGGTCATGTTAAAATGGACATTTTATAATATGATATATAGTGTTCTTGGGTTTTGTAATTTCAGGGAAGGTCATGAAAAAAATGTGCAAGGATATGGGGAGGGTCATCCAAAAATATGACAAGCATTAGGGGAGGGTCATGATTTAAGTACATAGTTGCATCAGAAACCTCTGCTGTATGTCTTTTGGAAACAGTTCTTCTTGTTTCTTTAAGATGTCTGCTGGTATGTTTTTGTTTTCAGAGCTCTAATGACATAGTAAGACACTGTAAGACCATCTTCCTGAGGCAAGAGAGTTAACTGACTTTGAAAGTCCAGTTTCCACCCTTGCCGAACTAGGCTGGAATTCCTGGGCTCGATCGTAGTGCCACCAATGGCTATTATGAGTTATGTCCCTTCTGAGCCTCTCCTCTGGACCAATCCGATCCATCTTTTGCATTTGTTTCAAACAAAATGGCGGTCCTTCTATGCCTGTCCTATGGCCCAGATTCCACCTCCCGTATTACTTGCATTTGCTTCAAACAAAATGGCGGCACACAGTCAAGACGATCTGATCGATAATCAAGATCAATATTGTGATAAAACGGGCTTACATCGCGAAGTGCATCAAATCACGTGAGCACCTTGATTAAAAACATGAAAAGATTCGGAAAACGAGTTGGCTCAGCACATGCTTTGCAAATCCTGCAATCGACCAAAATCTGCATTACAGTTTCCAAACCGGATTTCGATTTCATTGCACGATGCATAGACTTGTTAGTCCAGACTACTCATTAGTATTATGTAACTCCATTATACCAGCCTAGTTCGGCAAGGGTGGAAACTGGACTTTTACAGTCAGTTGACTCTCTTGCCTCTGGAAGATGCAGTAAGACATAGTGAGATAGTGAGACATAGTGAAAAGCTTCAGATGCTTGTTTCCATCAACGATGGCACCCTCACTTGTGGAAGAGGTAATTTTATGATTCTCATGTCCTGATTTAAAGACAGATCATTGTGTCTTTCAATTTAAAGCTGCCAAATTAATAGAAGTCTATTGAAATACTGAAGGATGTTTGTAGGGAGTAGAACTGTGTACCTTCCCCCTGTGTCATGAAGATGATCCCTCCTACCCCCAGGATGCCTACCTGTCCCCGGCGATGATGAGGAGGATCCACTGCGCCCTCTACACGCCCCTCTTCCTCATGTCGGTGTTTGCCGTCTTTTACTTCTTCAGCGGCCTAGCGGTGGGGGACATCTTTGTCAAGAGACTTGTGACACATGGTGAGTAGATTAAAGCAGGATGTATGTACAATATTACCCTATGGTGAATGGATTAAACCGGGCAATATGTACAATATTACCACATGGTGAGTAGATTAAAGCAGGCAGTATGTACAATATTACCCCATGGTGAGTAGATTAAACCTGGAAATACTTGCAAAATTACCACATGGTGAGTAGATTAAAACAGGATGTATGTACAATATTACCCCATGGTGAGTAGATTAAACCCGGCAATACGTACAATATTACCACATGGTGAGTAGATTAAAGCAGGCAGTATGTACAATATTACCACATGGTGAGTAGATTAAACCTGGAAATACTTGCAAAATTACCACATGGTGAGTAGATTAAAACAGGATGTATGTACAATATTACCCTATGGTAAACGGATTAAACCGGGCAATACGTACAATATTACCACATGGTGAGTAGATTAAAGCAGGCAGTATGTACAATATTACCTCATGGTGAGTAGATTAAACCTGGTAATACTTGCTATATTATCACATGGTGAGTAGATTGAAGCAAGATGTATGTACAATATTACCCCATGGTGAGTAGATTAAACCGGGCAATACGTACAATATTACCACATGGTGAGAAGATTAAAGCAGGCAGTATGTACAATATTACCCCATGGTGAGTAGATTAAACCTGGTAATACTTGCTATATTACCACATGGTGAGTAGATTGAAGCAAGATGTATGTACAATATTACCCAATGGTGAGTAGATTAAACCCGGCAATACGTACAACATTACCACATGGTGAGTAGATTAAAGCAGGCAGTATGTACAATATTACCCAATGGTGAGTAGATTAAACCCGGCAATACGTACAACATTACCACATGGTGAGTAGATTAAAGCAGGCAGTATGTACAATATTACCACATGGTGAGTAGATTAAACCTGGTAATACTTGCTATATTACCACATAGTGTGTAGATTAAAGTAAGATGTATGTACAATATTACCCCATGGTGAGTAGATTAAACCGGGCAATACATACAATATTACCCCGAGGTGAGTAGATTAAACCTGGTAATACTTGCTATATTTCCACATGATGAGTAGATTAAAGCAAGATGTATGTACAATATTACCACATGGTGAGTAGATTAAACCTGGAAATACTTGCAATAGTACCACATGGTGAGTAGATTAAAACAGGATGTATGTACAATATTACCCCATGGTGAGTAGATTAAACCGGGCAATACGTACAATATTACCACATGGTGAGAAGATTAAAGCAGGCAGTATGTACAATATTACCCCATGGTGAGTAGATTAAACCTGGTAATACTTGCTATATTACCACATGGTGAGTAGATTGAAGCAAGATGTATGTACAATATTACCCAATGGTGAGTAGATTAAACCCGGCAATACGTACAACATTACCACATGGTGAGTAGATTAAAGCAGGCAGTATGTACAATATTACCCAATGGTGAGTAGATTAAACCCGGCAATACGTACAACATTACCACATGGTGAGTAGATTAAAGCAGGCAGTATGTACAATATTACCACATGGTGAGTAGATTAAACCTGGTAATACTTGCTATATTACCACATAGTGTGTAGATTAAAGTAAGATGTATGTACAATATTACCCCATGGTGAGTAGATTAAACCGGGCAATACATACAATATTACCCCGAGGTGAGTAGATTAAACCTGGTAATACTTGCTATATTTCCACATGATGAGTAGATTAAAGCAAGATGTATGTACAATATTACCACATGGTGAGTAGATTAAACCTGGAAATACTTGCAAAATTACCACATGGTGAGTAGATTAAAACAGGATGTATGTACAATATTACCCTATGGTAAACGGATTAAACCGGGCAATACGTACAATATTACCACATGGTGAGTAGATTAAAGCAGGCAGTATGTACAATATTACCTCATGGTGAGTAGATTAAACCTGGTAATACTTGCTATATTATCACATGGTGAGTAGATTGAAGCAAGATGTATGTACAATATTACCCCATGGTGAGTAGATTAAACCGGGCAATACGTACAATATTACCACATGGTGAGAAGATTAAAGCAGGCAGTATGTACAATATTACCCCATGGTGAGTAGATTAAACCTGGTAATACTTGCTATATTACCACATGGTGAGTAGATTGAAGCAAGATGTATGTACAATATTACCCAATGGTGAGTAGATTAAACCCGGCAATACGTACAACATTACCACATGGTGAGTAGATTAAAGCAGGCAGTATGTACAATATTACCCCATGGTGAGTAGATTAAACCTGGTAATACTTGCTATATTACCACATGGTGAGTAGATTGAAGCAAGATGTATGTACAATATTACCCAATGGTGAGTAGATTAAACCCGGCAATACGTACAACATTACCACATGGTGAGTAGATTAAAGCAGGCAGTATGTACAATATTACCCAATGGTGAGTAGATTAAACCCGGCAATACGTACAACATTACCACATGGTGAGTAGATTAAAGCAGGCAGTATGTACAATATTACCACATGGTGAGTAGATTAAACCTGGTAATACTTGCTATATTACCACATAGTGTGTAGATTAAAGTAAGATGTATGTACAATATTACCACATGGTGAGTAGATTAAACCGGGCAATACGTGCAATATTACCCGATGGTGAGTAGATTAAAGCAGGCAGTATGTACAATATTACCCCATGGTGAGTAGATTAAACCTGGTAATACTTGCTATATTACCACATGGTGAGTAGATTGAAGCAAGATGTATGTACAATATTACCCAATGGTGAGTAGATTAAACCCGGCAATACGTACAACATTACCACATGGTGAGTAGATTAAAGCAGGCAGTATGTACAATATTACCCAATGGTGAGTAGATTAAACCCGGCAATACGTACAACATTACCACATGGTGAGTAGATTAAAGCAGGCAGTATGTACAATATTACCACATGGTGAGTAGATTAAACCTGGTAATACTTGCTATATTACCACATAGTGTGTAGATTAAAGTAAGATGTATGTACAATATTACCCCATGGTGAGTAGATTAAACCGGGCAATACATACAATATTACCCCGAGGTGAGTAGATTAAACCTGGTAATACTTGCTATATTTCCACATGATGAGTAGATTAAAGCAAGATGTATGTACAATATTACCACATGGTGAGTAGATTAAACCGGGCAATACGTGCAATATTACCCGATGGTGAGTAGATTAAATCGGGCAATACATACATTATTACCACATGGTGAATAGATTAAAGCAGGCAGTATGTACAATATTACCACATGGTGAATAGATTAAAGCAGGCAGTATCTACAATATTACCACATGGTTAGTAGATTAAAGCAGTATGTACAATATTACCCCATGGTGATAGGATTAAAACTGGCAATACGTGCAATATTTCCACATGGTGAGTTGATTAAAGCATGCAATACATACAATATTATTACATGGTGAGAAGATTAAACCGGGCAATATGTACAATATTACGACGTGGTGAGTAGATTATAGCAGGCAATATGTACAGTATTACCACATGGTGAGTAGATTAAAACAGGCAGTATGTATGATATTACCACATGGTGAGTAGATTAAAGCAGGCAGTATGTACAATAGTACCACATGGTGAGCAGATTAAAGCAGGCAATATGTACAATAGTACCACATGGTGAGTAGATTAAAGCAGGCAATACATACAATATTACCTCATGGTAAGACTGTAAAACCTGTCTCACTGTACATATGATACCCGGTTCTCCATCTGCAGCCTCCATGGAGACGCGGCTGATTATGTTCGGGGTGATCTATGTGAACATCCAGAACGCTATGGAGATAGAGAGATGGGCTGCACTCAAGGCCAAGCAGCACACCTCATGAGTCTGCCGGCACCAAAAGCCAGATGCTGACCGCAGACACGCTGGGAGGAGTGAAAAGGACAGGAACATAATGTAGGCTTATGCAGGGAGAAATGGGACTTGGGGAGTGGGGAAGTTGCTTTGATAAAGAAAATGACAGCAACTAATGAATGGAAGAAAAACCCATCTCCAGAATGCTGTTGAAGAGTTGTATTTATTGAGAAGTGCTTCTTAGTGAATAGGTTAATTTTGAGGCCTTACCGAGCTTTATGAGATATGCAACATTAAACCATTTCCTGACCATCCACCGTAGTGGATCCTGGGGGGGGGGGGGGGGGGGGGGGGAGCAGGGTACTTTGTCACTTATGTGCACTCTCCCTGTAACAAGACTCTGGATCCGCCTCCAAAACCACAGATCAGCATCATGGTTCTCGAGTTTCTAGTTGAACCATGACAGCATGATTAGGTGTTTCACGATGTTACAAAAAGTTGAGTCTTTGAAGACAGTTCCTATTGTTGCTACAGAGCTAAAATTACCACCAGTGCAGAATCCTTTGACTAAATAATGTTTTAAAGGGCTAGTGGCTGGATGACTGGACCTATAAGAACACATTCTAGGCTGATATCCTCCACAAACTCAGTAAAGTAATTTGTAATTAACAACACTATGTATGCTGTAAGTCATGACCATCTTGACTGTGTTACCAAATTAATACAAGTGCCAAAACCTTGCCTACAATACATCATGAAATTAATGCAAGGAAACACAGTCTCATTAATTCCTGTGCTTGTGGGTTTCACCAAAGTGGTAAGTATCTGAGACCTGCATCACTTTCCTCTCACAGTAATCAGACAGGCCCTGATATAACTGTAATACTGTCAAAAGCGGCATTAAACCAAACTCACTCTCGCTCCATCACTGGTTTCAACCGGTTCAGTGAAACCTTCCTATATTGTCGTTCTTATACGGCATCCATTGTTGTCATATTTGACATTGTTTCTGCTGCCATTATGAGGACATAGCTGTCTTTGTGTACTGTGTGTCAATTTTTTTGCCAAAACTTTATTTTGAAGGGTATATTATGCAATCAAAATATTTATGCCAACAGCATTATGACCTGATTTCTTGCCAACATTGTTGCTGGTACATGTACTGCTCTCTCATGCCATGATTAAGTATAGTAATAGGAAGGAATCAGGTAGTCCTTAACTTCTTTTGAGTAGTATATATAGTATATATAGTAGTGTATATATATATATATATATATATATATATATATATATATATATATATATACAGGGACGCCATATCAACTTGTATACCAAATTATTTGATTTTTAGAATTATTAGATTAGACGTTAAACAACAAACAAACAAAATATGAGGGGCAGATATACCAGTAATATATTCTCATAGAGTATTCACATAACTTGGACTTAGAAATATGTATATATTGATTGTATTTGTTTGTTGATATACGAGACTTGCCTATCCTGGAACAGCTTTAGTTTCATTGTACAGGATTAAGCTGTGAATAGGGTTATAAAGCTGGAAGCATCCCAGCTGTTACTCATTGTATTTCAATTCTATCATGGGACAAGCATCCTGTGCTTGTTGGACGAGGAGAAGGTCAAACTCGAGGACTTGTCTGATTGCATGTCATTGTATCCTAATTGTGTGGATCGATGCTCATGTCAATCCCTGGATTGTCTGGTCTAGATTTGATTATTTATTTACTTACTCACTCACTCACTCACTCAAATACTCTCTCAAACACTCATTCTAACACTCACTCCCTCATCCAAACACTCATTCTAACACTCACTCCCTCATCCAAACACTTATTCTAACACTCACTCACTCATCCAAATACTCATTCTAACACTCACTCACCAAAACACTGACTCACTGAAACACTCACTCACTCACTCAAACACTCATTCTAACACTCAGTCATTCACTCACCCAAACACTCATTCTAACACTCACTCACTCACTCACCCAAACACTCATTCTAACACTCACTCACTCACTCACCCAAACACTCATTCTAACACTCACTCACTCACTCAAATACTCATTCTAACACTCACTCACCGAAACACTCACTCACTCACTCAGTAAGCTGTATTAAGTGTTCCTCCCTGTGGCGTGTGTGGATGCTCCTCTCTCAGGACATGGAGACAAGTGACATCATGCAATATTCCTGACAACTCCAAATACCATGAGACATTAGTGACACTGCCAGGAGTCATGTCAGCTGAGTTAGTTAAGATTTATTACGTGTAACAAACCAGAGTTACACAATGATATGTGGAATATTTTACCATACGAGCATTTGATATTGACATGTAATATATGTTTTACTCCAAGTTATTTTGCTTCCCAATGGTCTTGCCAAAAGAGATCTACATATATATAAAGTTTTCATTTATTTGCCCTTGCCAAATCATGACAAATATGTATTTCTGCTTTACCCCAAAAGAGTATTCATTTGTTTTGCTTCCGACTTTGGGTCCTGCCAAAAGTGATCTACCGGTACATATGTAGTGTTAATGTTTGTGCCCTATACATATTACAGCTCACATATATATTTACTTTTCCAGGATGGAGTATAAATGATGTATTCCCAGCAACGTATGATTGTTGACATACCATATTCGACATAATAAGCACCCAGGCACTCTCAAAATTAGAAATAGGGGACACTTATTAGAATATTATTTTGGTGAAAAAAAACAGTTGAAAGGTCGTAAATTTCGTGGTTCATGCTGACAGCCTGAAATGTTTATGTTAGACATATATATCTTCAAGATTTTAATTGCCCATAATTAAGGGTGCATATAACACACGAGTGCATATTATACATGAATAAATAAGTCTTGTGTACATTGATCATTCACAAGGGGTTTTAATTTGGATTGTTCATTGTGCCATTATATTAGCAAATATCGCCATGGGCACTTATTAAAGTGAGGCGCTTATTACGTCTAATACGGTACTTGACACTATTGTAATGTCACAGTAATACTCACTTCACAGTCTGTCATTGTTGATGTACATTTGCCAGTGCCAAGTTTCTTACTCAGTTCTCAGAGTACAAGACAAACTTTAGTGTGGATAATAAGGAAAAAACTGTATTTTCTTACTTATTTAAGGAAATGTGTGAAATCAGTATGCCATAAACAAATGATTATTTTATCGTTTTTATGTGTAGAGTAATCTTCCCAGATCTTCAATCATTATCCCAGCAAGTTGGAAGAAAATGAATGAAATAAGTACTCAGTGTATGTAGTTAGTTAGTTGTTGAGCATATAGTATTTGACTTTCTGGTGCGATTATAGAGTCTGTTCACCACATATTATAAAAACTAGATCTCAAGATAGTATAGGAATACATATTTACGATTTCCTCTTTGATCCTTAGAATTTGAATTAGGGAAAGTTACTCTCGCTTTGTCCTTAGCCTCTGGATCCTTGAATGAAATAGGGCTGAATGTATTCTATAGTGGCTCCATGTTTATCACTGCTGTGGTACTTTTATGCCTGTTTTTTTATATATATGTTTTCTTTGTGAGGAAGAAACAGACATGACAACAGATCTGATTTATTATTGTAGCTGACATTATAGTGAGGTTGACTCTGAACTCTTTTCCTTTTGAAACAAACATGAATGTTCTCTGATTGTTATTCTGACAGTGGTACTGAGGCCAAAATTGTACTAGTTGCTTGAAGACAATTGCTGATTTTGAAGATTGAAACATTTGAAATATTCACTGTATTGATGTGAGCTAATGTGATGGTGTGCATCTTGTTCCCCATCCATCCTTGCAGCCTGGTGTCTTCGTCACTTTTCCAACATCTGAAACTATCAGGCCATGGTGTCTTACAGAATTCTGATACAATTTCCAACATGGATTGTCCTCTGCATGTATCACTGCACAATTTGACATGCAATATTTGATGTGCACAATAACATATTAACTTATGTTGTATTGATTATATTCATGTTTATTCCTTTTCTATGAAGCAGTGACTTCTATGGGTTTGTTAATTCCACATTGGACCTATTTTGGTTCCAACACTAGTCTTTAAAATTTGCTCTCATATATCCAAACAACTGTATTTGAGATATACAGTAAATTTGGTTATTTATTGTTATTTATTGGTCTTACTACCTTTCGGCATATAATAGTGTCATTAATAATTACCTGTAACTTTGATATGATTTTAAAAATGTAATTTTGACCAACCAATCACCATTTATTCCTATATCAAACATACCGGTATCTGTTTTTATGACATGTAGGGTTGGAGTGTTTAATAATTTAGAAACAGATCTGTGATGCTACGCAATTTCATTAAAATCATTTTCTTTGAGCTCGCTACCCCTACACAATGACCTGAGAGCATCCCACTATGGGTCGTGTTAGAACGACCTTTCAGTCGACCAATCGGAGCGTCGCTTAAGAGCTCACAATAGTGAAAGTCTAAATCTGCTTTCTGGTCATGCAACCTCCAAAGGTTGACAAGAGGCATTCTGAATGACAGGTACCGGCAAAATCATCATCTATCTCTCGCTTCAGTTGGATAAACATTCAAAATGGAAGACACTTTCCACAGCCTGTAGGAAGTACTGCCATACAATCTCGGCCATCTATTAGACTTTCATAATTTTCTTTTGTACAGTTTTCAAATTTTGAATCAATATTTTTCAAAGTGTAATCACAAATGGAAATCTCCAGTTTGAAACTAGTGTGTAAAGTTAGAGAAAAATGATTTCTGATTGGCTAATGTTGACTTCCTGTTAGTCATTTCATTGGTCAAGTTTGCAAAAGGCTGTTCTGTCGTGACCTGTAATGGGATGTCTTTAGATCTTTGTGTATAGAGATTGTGATGTTCTGGAGCCTCAAATGCCCAGTTTAATTCAATGAATCATTGGATGTTGATAAAACCACAGCTGTATTATGTCAGTGACATCTTCCTGAGGCAAGGGAGTTAACTGGCTATAAAAGTCCAGTTTCCACCCTTGCCGAACTAGGCTGCAATTATGGAGTTACATTTTGGCTGGACGAACGAGTCTATGGATAGTCCAATAAAAATCGCATAACGAACTAGACGTCTGATTCGTAATGAACATGGATTTCAACGTGCAGATTTAGGTCGACTGCAGGATTTGCAAAGCATTAGTACTGCCAACTGGGCGTCAACAAATACTTTCCAAATTCTTTCATTCTTTTAATCAAGGTGCTTATGTGATTTGATGCACTTTGCAGGGTTAGACCCGTTTTATTACAATTTAGGCCTTGATTATGAAACAAATCGTCT